TGTCCGCTACTGCTGATGGTTCCCGTTGCTGCTGCTGTTGCTGCCCGCTGCCTGCTGTTGCTGATGTCGGCTGAGAGACCCACATTCTGAAAAAGAAAGAAAAATAAGAAAAAGAAGGGAACAAATTAGAATAAAAAGAGAAACAAATTAAAATAAAGAATAAAGTTTAAATAAAAGGCTCCTTAAACATAAAAGTAGGGAAATAGAAAAATTAGAGACAAAAGACAGAGATGAGCGAAAGCTCGAAACTGTAAAAGGAAAGAGAATTAAATAAAAAAAAAAAAAAAAAAAAAAAAAATGCCCGCTGCTGCTGCTGCTGTCCGCTGTCCGCTTTCCGCTGTCCGCTGTCCGCTTCTCGCTGTCCGCTTCCCGCTGTCCACTGTCCGCTTCCCGCTGTCCGCTGTCAGCTTCTCGCTGTCCGCTTCCCGCTGTCCGCTGTCCGCTGTCCGCTTCCCGCTGTCCGCTTCCCGCTGTCTGCTGTCCGCTTCCCGCTGTCCGCTTCCCACCGTCCGCTGTCCGCTTCGCGCTTTCCGCTTCCCACCGTCCGCTGTCCGCTTCGCGCTGTCCGCTGTCCACTGTCCGCTTCCCGCTGTCCGCTGTCTGCTTCCCGCTGTCCGCTGTCCGCTTCCCGCTGTCCGCTGTCCGCTGTCCGCTTCCCGCTGCCGCTGTCCGCTTTCCGCTGCCGCTGTCCGCTTCCCGCTGCCGCTGTCCGCTGTCCGCTTCCCGCTGCCGCTGCCCGCTGCCCGCTGCTGCTGATGTCGGCTGACAGACCGAAATTCTGAAAAAGAAAAAAAAAATAAGAAAAAGAAGGGAACAAATTAGAATAAGAAGAGAAACAAATTAAAATAAAGAATAAAGTTTAAATAAAAGGATCCTTAAACATAAAAGTAGGGAAATAGGAAAATTAGAGACAAAAGACGGATATGAGCGAAAGCTCGAAACTGTAAAAAGAAAGAGTATCAAATTAAAAAAAAAAAAATGCCCGCTGCCGGCTGCTGCTGCTCGCTGCCCGCTGCCCGCTGCTGCTGCTGCTGCTTAATTTTTCCTTTACTTTTTCACTTTAGTTTTTGCTCGCGTATTGTCCCGCCAACGGAGAGTTAGAAGCAATGGATTTCTTCATGCATTTATAAATTGATATACGAAATGCAATATTTCGCGCCTCGCGTCTCACACAATGCGGCCATCTTTTTTGCTGTTTAGTATCGCCATCTGCATTCGCGTTAAACGCCAGAATTACGTAGTCTAAATACTTCGACTGCCTTACCGGCAATCATCATTTTGTGCATGTCGGTAAATTGTTAGAATCACGTCGCGCAAGCATGATTTTTTTTATTTGTAGTATAATAAAATATGTAATTAAAAATTCATATAAGAAACGTATTTTTAATCAAATTACATATACTTATTCCGTTACTCTAATACTTGTACGTTAACAGATTTAGTTTACACACATTGCATAAAGCTTCCAGAGAAAAGTATCCAGAAGCACAAATATTTTATAGACGAAAAACATGCGAAGATGAAACAATAGATTAAAGAAGCCTTATAATCATTGTACTTTTATGTATAAACGTTTCACAAAATAAAATCTTTATAAATGAAGTGTTACATTAAAAATATTAGTATAAAATTAAATATCCATGTCAGATTAAAAATTTTTTGTCCTTTTTTTTCTTTAGAATTTTTTTATTTTTTTTTTCTAAAGATTCTTTAAGCGAAAACTGCTTCTTTCGCAAGACTATTGAACAATTTGAATATTTGATATTTTTCTAGTAGTTTAAATTTCGTGAAAAAATTCGAGAGAAAATTAGATTTTATCGTATTACTGAACATATCGATTAAATGCTATATCAAATATATAGTGTAAATATTTTAATTTTTTTATATACTATCTACTATTTATTCTATCGATGTTTTCATAGTGATGCACCTTGAGCACTTTGCTTCATATGTTTGCAATAAAAATATATTAAACCAAATTATTTTGCAAATTTATTATTCTAATTTTTATTTAGAAAGATTAAGATTAAAAAAGACGTATGAATTTTTTCAGATATTTCTATTGAAAAAAACGCATCAGATAAAACTGACTTTCCTGTACATTCTAAATGTGCCAAAAGATTTGCTCTTTATTCCACTTACTACAATAATGTACACTAAAAATGACAGATCTATATTAAAAATGATAGATCTATATTTAGTAGTTGAAAAGAAAGAGAGGAGAAATGAAAAGTGTATCTAGAGAATTTAAAAGAATAAAAAACAAATCTAAAAATAATAATACATAAAGATTAATATTATGTATTTTTTTCATGAGGAATGTGGGGCGCACATTTATGCATTTATTTATTTAGATGAGATTTACTTTAGAGCACATTCAGTATTCAACTTTTATTTTATTTTCTCTTTCTTACGATATATAAGTATAACATAATTACCTGCAATTAACCAATCAACCAATTATTCCACCGCTCTGTTTCATTACAGTTGCAATTTTCTTTTATAATATCACGAATATTATAAATAAGATAAAGATTTCAGTACGTTTCAAATAAATTTATATATTTTATGTATGTAATACTGCGCACACATATTAAAAGGTGATAATATCGCAGTTATAATAAGATACAATCCTGGCAATGTAGCGATGTTTGGATTCTGAAAATAATTTAATTTGATTTATTTTTGAGAAATGCACACAATACTTGAGAGCAAATTATTTTTGTGCCATGTATTACCTGTGTAAAATTCCACACGCAGTATCATATTGTCTGCGATATATGAAAAGCTTCATCGATGAAATAAATGGTTGAATATGATTGAGATATAAGAAAAGTACTTGTAATGTAGTAATATAGTACTTGTAATGAATAACGTTAATGTGGAATACATAAATATTTTATATTTTAATTTCATGTAATCGAGATGTGATAAGACACTCATGATTACTTTAAAAATGTGTCCACAAATATCATGTAACTTCAATAGCTGCACATTCGTCAAATTAATCCTATTACGTTAAATGAATCACAGCAACTTGTTTTAATTTAATCTAACCTAACCAATTATATTATATGCTACTCATTAAAATGTGTAAAACTCTACGTCGCACATTTAATACGATTAATATATTACGTAATAAAATGTAATAAACTAATGAAATAATTAAATACTATTTTTTAAAGCATGATACAATCCAGGCAGCATACGCTTGTGTTTACATTCGATATCCAAAGACACTGAGAGGTTAGGTTAGGTTAGATCAAACAAATTTATCGTTTAACAGATGGCAACCCTACGAGATAGGCTGTCTGTGCAGCACTGCGCGCGCGTATACAAAATTCAAATCGCTTCTAGCAAAATCATCTTCACGCGATCGACTTATTTGAATTGCACCGAATCGAATTATGATGCGGCGCCGATTTGTCCGAATGTAATTCGGGACATCGCGATGCTGTATAAGCGTCGAATGAGCACGAATTGTCACGCAAATATGATAAATCAAATCTACGCACCGGCTGTTCCACAGGCCGCTCCACTCGCTCGCCTCCGGACGTCCCATTCCGATCTTGATGCACACAAACTCACACGATATCATCAACGCGAACGCGCAACACTTTATTCGGCACTCCCGATACTCGCTCGCATCCGATAATCATCATCAAGGGCGCAAATAACGCGACGCGACTTCGCTCCATCTTCGCGATCGCGCTATCACTGAATTGTCGAAAACGGCTGTCGCGCACTTTCACCGACATATTATGAAAGTCGCGCGATCATCCTTGGACACTTTCGACGCTCTTTCACTCGCGATATTCGTTTAAAAACGGTTAAAAGACGCGAAAAATGCGGACGTACGACGATCCGTGTAACTGCGTATGACTCCGATTTACGTATGACGCGTATGACGTAGCAGTGACGCGTATGACGTACAGTCATGCGCCAACATGGCGGCCGAACCAGTGCGCAGTAACAAATGCGCACTGGTTCGGCCGCCATGTTAGCGCGTGACTGCTACGTCATACGCGTCATACGTGAATCGGAGTCATACGCAGTTACACGGATCGTCGTACGTCCGCATTTTTCGCGTCTTTTAACCGTTTTTAAAAGAATATCGCGAGTGAAAGAGCGTCGAAAGTGTCCAAGGATGATCGCGCGACTTTCATAATATGTCGGTGAAAGTGCGCGACAGCTATTTTTCACAGTTCAGTGATAGCGCGATCGCGAAGATGGAGCGAAGTCGCGTCGCGTTATTTGCGCCCTTGATGATGATTATCGGATGCGAGCGAATATCGGGAGTGCCGAATAAAGTGTCGCGCGTTCGCGTTGATGACATCGTGTGCATCAAGATCGGAATGGGACGTCCCGAGGCGAGCGAGTGTAGCGGCCTGTGGAACAGCCGGTGAACGGTGAGTAGATGTGATTTATCATATTTGCGTGACAATTCGTGCTCATTCGACGCTTATACAGCATCGCGATGTCCCGAATTACGTTCGAACAAATCGACGCCGCATCATAATTCGATGCGATGCCGTGCAATTCAAATAAAGTCGATCGCGTGAAGATGGTTAGGCTAGAAGCGATTTCAAATTTATTTTATATACGCGCAGTGCTGCACAGCCTATCTCGTAGGGCTGCCAACTGTTAAGGTTCAATTTCATTGACGCTAAAAAGTAGCGTCAATGAAAAGGCCGCTTTAAGATGCGGCCTCATTGACGCTAAAAAGTAGAGTCAACCATTGGTTGAACAATGAAGCAACTATACTTACCTCTTTGTTCAACCAATGGTTGACGCTACTTTTTAGCGTCAATGAGGCCGCACCTAAACAGTTTCAACCATGGTTGACGCTATTTTTAGCGTCAATGAGCCGCACCTTTGAACTTTATTTATTGACGCTAAAAAGAAAGTAGTGTTTTCATTGTTCAACCAATGGTTGACGCTACTTTTTCGCGTCAATGAAATTGCACCTTTAAAGGTACCTTTATGCTTACAGCCGTGGAATTTCGTGTGTGATAGCCTTAAAGTATATATGACTGATGGGAGGTTATGCTCTGTGCAAATTTTTAAATTGTGCCGGAGGCATATTCCCTTTTTATGGGGAATGAATTATTGTAGATCTGTACAGACCTAAGATGTAACGAAATTTAAGGGTTCTTTTTATCAAGTTTGTGAACAATTACATAGTCTCAAACGATAATAACAGAAAATGAAGCTAGTCAAACCGAATTGGGTTACTCATGATGGTTCGTAAAGTTTATCGCACTATTTTGAATAGTTTTACAATTCTGTTGTTACGAAAAATCTATTATTAATCTTTTTTTTTCATCAGGATATCCGATATTTTCCATTGATATACATCCCGATGGGAGAAGATTTGCGACCGGTGGTCAAGGTATTTTGTTTTTTTTTTCCTCTAATATTTTATTATTTAATGGAAATCATATTTGCTAAGTTAAAATAATTAGTTAGAATAATGCTGAAAATTTTATTCTCATTCTTTGTATATTTAAATATTAGGTGGTGATTCTGGAAGAGTTGTCATATGGAACATGGAACCAGTAGTTGATGAGACTGCTGAAATGGATCCTAATGTTCCAAAAATGCTTTGCCAATTAGATAATCATCTAGGTAATAATTTATCTCTTATTTTCTATATATTATAAATTGACATATATGTATATAAAAGTTATACATATATGTATAACTTATAAAACATATATACATATGTTTTATTTTTTGCATATAGCCTGTGTAAATTGTGTGAGATGGAGCAACAGTGGATTATTGGCATCAGGTGGTGTGGATAAACTTATTATGATTTGGAGATTATCAGGATCAGGTGGAAGTTCTATTTTTGGTGGAAAGGCCAGTGTGGAAGCTTGGAGATGTATTGCAACTTTACGTTCACACGAAGCTGATGTGCTAGATCTTGCATGGGCACCACACAGTCCATGGCTGGCTTCAGCTTCAGTAGATAACAGTGTGATAGTGTGGGATGCTTCAAAATTTCCTGCAGTTGTTGCTGTGTTAAAAGGACACACAGGTTTTGTAAAAGGTATTACTTGGGATCCTGTGGGAAAATACTTAGCATCTCAATCTGATGACAAAACATTGAGAGTGTGGCGTACAACGGATTGGACGGAAGCAGCATTGATATCTGAACCTTTTGATGAATGTGGTGGAACAACTCATGTCCTGAGGCTTTCTTGGAGTCCGGATGGTCAGTATTTAGTGTCTGCCCATGCAATGAATGGGGGAGGACCTACAGCACAAATAATAGAAAGAGATGGTTGGACACAAGATAAAGATTTTGTTGGACATAGGAAAGCAGTAACTTGTGTTGTATGTATTAAAAACATTTTATTTTGTTTTTTGGATTGAAAATATACTTCTACCAAAAGTAATATTAAGATATTTATAAATGAGATATACATATTTACATCCTCTTCTTTTTCTTTATAGAGATTTAATGGTAATATTCTACAGAAGAAGCAGCCAGGTTCCTCTAAACCACAACAGTATTGCTGTGTTGCAATAGGATCACGAGATCGTTCTTTATCTGTGTGGTTAACATCATTAAAAAGACCTCTCGTTGTAATACATGAATTGTTTACACATTCTGTATTAGATGCTAGTTGGTCACCATGTGGTCTTCGCCTTACTGCATGTTCTTGGGATGGTACTGCTGTGTTTATTGAATTCACTCAACAGGAATTAGGACAACCTCTCGATCCTGCTGAACAAGTAATTATACATATTACATATGCAGTTTTTATTATTTTTAAATATTTTATTTGAGAATGGGTTATTTATTTCTTTGCATTTGTAGAGCAGCCTTCATGAGCGATTGTATGGCAAACCATTAGTTCAAGGAAGTTGTATGGTGATGGAAGCTCCGGAACTTCTCAATTTAAAACCACCCGTGTCAAATCAATCTCTTCAAATGTCATCTGCTCCAAGCATTCCACCGACCACTAATAGTTCGGCTACTTTGGTTAAAGGACCTATTAATAAACAAATTGAAACAAGGACTTCGGATGGTAAAAGAAGAATTACACCTATGTTTATTCCACCGCCAGCAGATACAACGTAAGTTAATTTGTCGCAATTTTGAATTTAATCTTTAATCTTGCATTGAATCTATTGTCAATTTTTAGGGATACAAATATCAGCAATAGTTTAGGCACACCGACATTTACAAGTAAAGTACAAACAAAAAGTTTAATTGTGATAGAGAAACGCAACGATGTTGTCGCGCCTAATGTTACTTCATCGTCCGTAAAATCACCTGCTATCGATATTCCGGCAGTCTCTCTTACATTGAAACGCAAGGAACAAACAACGCCGAAAATACATCATTCCTCACCGAATAAAAAACCTAAATTTGTATCTGACAAGGCTGGAGGTCAGATGCTACTGCCTCCGCTGAAGCCATCCAGCTCATTGTCTCAGCAGGCAGGTCATTATGCTGTGACAGTCACTAATAGTCAGGGCTTAGCTCATTTGCAAGTATTCAGAGGCACAGATTCCGAATCGACATGGGACCTTTACTTAGGATATAGCGCTGTAGCGTTAGCGGCATCACCAGCTGTGATAGCTTTGGGTTTGGAAGACGGAAGTCTTCACACATTTCATCCCGTAAAAGGATCCCGACCAGCACCGCCATTAGCACCACCAGCACCGTTGGCAAAAGTTCATGCTGTTGGAAATACGGTAATTTATTCAATTTCCGATTGTTAGTCGATTATTTTTCTTATATATTATAGTCATAGTTTTGTACTTATGAGACACATACATCATATGCATCATATGCATATATATATATATATATATATATATATATATATGCATATGATGCATATGATGTATGACAAGATTCATAATTTAGATTCGATAGTAATCTTTACATTCACGAATAAACAAAATTTAGCAATCGACATAAATGTATATCTATAGCAAATAAGAAATTGAATTATAATGATTTTAAATTTTACAATTTTAAACAAATGTTATACTATGTTAAACAAATGTTATATGTAATATTACATGTAATATTGTTTATTTATGAAATAATTTATATAATAGGTGATGGTAATATCAAGCTGTGGTGCAATTCGTGTGTGGGAAATAGGGAATACGTGTAGAATGATTGTTTCAACCTCAGCTGCTCATTTGGCTCCGCCTGGAACATCTTTACTGACGTGCACTCTGTACAACGGAATGCCTCATATAGCGTTTACTAATGCACGAGCATATATATACCATAAAGACATGGGTAAGTTTATTTTTTCTTTTTTCGCTCGTATGATTGTTCATTATGCATAAACGATCATTGAATATTGTATAGGAACATGGTTGTTAATTGGAGATAGCCAAGATCCTATATGGCGATGGTCGTCATTCAATGTACTGAGCACTTCTGGAAATAGAGCTCCTAGAGGACCTTTATCGTCATTGCAAGAAGGATTACTCAGAACTGCAGGGAATACTTTGCCAAATCCGCGGTTACCGCATAGCGCACCAAGCGTGGTTTCTTATTTAGAACAACAGTTACTCGCATCTAAAGCTCTTGGAAGCGCTCAAGAATATATTTATTGGCTCATGGCTTTAGTGTCATTTTTATTAACGCAAGGTAAGTCATGCAATTTGTATCGTATTTTCGTGCATCTATCTATTGAATTATTTTTATAATATCTTTTTAGATGGTTTGGAGAAACGTCTAAGATTAATTTTGGATGATCTTTTGGGCCCAAGTCACACATCAGCTTCTAAGAGCATATGGGAGCCTGCAATTTTGGTAATATTATTTATATATCATTAATTTTTAATTATATCAAATAATTAACTTATTTTTTATATCCGAATATAGGGAGTAAAGAAGCATAAACTTTTGGGTGATGTATTAACTGTAATTGGTAGTCATCTTCGTTGGCAAAGGTTATACCTCGAGTATTCGGAGCAATTAACGACACTGAAAAATCAAGTTAATTAATTCATTCATTACAATGCAAATTCATTGTTTCAAAACAATTCATGTTTTCTTTTAGATATCACATATTGTATAATGTTAAAGATATTATGGATGTGTAAGACTGTACAGTTTTTATAACATTTGCAGTTTGGCATACCACACTTGAGGTATAAATGTATTATAAGGAATAAACAACATTTAGTACAATAGCATTTATCACACATGAAAAAATTATCCGATTTTAATCCCATTTTTTACAATGGATGAATTACTTTAGGAAAATGGATGCGGATAATGACGATACAGGTAAATTTTTTATATGTATGCATATACGCGCGTGTTCATGTATGTATGTATACATAGAGTATTCCAAAAGCATCAATTGTCTTTTTAATAACTGATTTTTTTCGTCAATTTGGAAATAATTTTTCCTGCATGAAAATGGTATTAATAAATTTCAGTTATAAGCAATTCAAGAAAAAGAGTCTTTTACTAATTAAACTTTGTTAAGTTAAAAGATTAGCACAAAACATTCTTTATTTAATCTTAAAGTTTATTTTAATAGAATTTTAATTTAAAATTTAGTTACAAAGATATATAATGATAAAAATTGGAAATTTATAAAAAATAACGATTTTTCTTCATACTTTTATTAAGGTAAATAACGTAAAATCTCCAAATTAATCAAAAAATCTGTTATTAAAAGGACATTTGTGGAAGTTTGAAATATACATACGTGAAGTATTTCAGATGCTAATTTACAATGAATTTAAAATTCCAAAATAAATAATTAGTGAGCACAAGCTAATTAATCTTTGAATAAGATGAATTAAATGCGTTCGTTCTGTGCGTTGGTATTATTTTTGTCTCGTTATTCTTAGAAATAGATCACACAGTCATTATTTAACTTCTCTCTTAACTTTATTCATGGAATATTAATGTAACAGCAAATCGATTGCAATTGATGTTTCTTTTCAAGCCATTCTTCCTTATGGAAGAAATTGTGTTCTGAATTAGCACCATCAACTATCATAATATTACGTTGAATCGAGGGAGAAAGAGAGAGAGAGAAAGAGATTCCAAGTCGGACCTTCTGCTCTCCAAAACCGATTCAACGCGACGTTTCGATATATAAACGCAACGTATAAAAAATAAAGTTAGGCAAGTTATTTCTTATGTCCTCTATCATGAATATTGCATATAGTAGAAACGCGCGTTAATCCAGGTTTAACGCATACATATGTTTTATTATATGCTGGAAAGATGTATCATTAAAGTTCTTTTTTATCGTGTTTCGTTGTATACACATTTCGCGTTTAGAAATAAAAATAAACTCTGTACAATAGAAATTAGCAAACGCGAAGCATGACGATAGAATCGTATTCTAATTTCAACTTAAACACATCGTTTGATTATGACATAAGCTTATATGTATATACGAACGCTTCGAGAGCAAATCAGCTGTTTTTTTTTACAACGAATATTTTCTTGAGGATTCATTGTCATACTGAAATATTCGATCGCGCATATTTCGCGCGGGAATAGCATGAGATTTTGCATAGCGAAACATCGGGAGGATATACAATATCATATATGTACAATAAATTAAAGAATGCGTTCTTGTCGTGCGGTTTATACATATTCTCAATTACCGCTTGGTCCGTTACATAATTTACGTAGAAATACGTCATATGTAAAATTACTATATTTATAGTATATAAAGATTTTTCTATATGTATTATAATTGCGACCGATGGAAATACTAATGAGGCAAACTTAGGACAGTACGAATCTTATCTTTTTTTATGTCCTCTGATTGTAGAGGGAAAGTAAAAGAAATTTGTTTATTATGCTTCTTACATTGGCTTGCTAATATTTGCGGAGGACCAATTTCGAGTCATGTACACAGCGAAATGAGAGCGACCAATACATCGCGTTCATTCATTACACTGGTGGCGGTCCATTCGGATAAAGGGCAATCGGCGTAAAGCTCCTGGCGAGATTATTAGAGAGCATACAACTGTAATCTTCTTCTGCAGACGGTACCAACGATGCGACGCCAAGCAATAATAGCATTAGCGCTTGAATCGGTATAGAAACTCGTAGGACTCTTCCTAGGAAGCGATATCCTCGCGCCAACACTGTTCCGTTGTTTTCGTCACCACTAAAACAAGTTTTCAACAATGAAAAATTTAATGGAATTTTCCATTGGAGCGGAGATATTTTACGAATATAATAAATTTTATTTATTAGAATTTATTACGAATATAATAAATTTTATTTATTAGAATAAATAAAGAGGAAAGAGATATGTCTCTATGTAACATAATTTATGCAGTGCCTGATGGAATATTTTCTTGAAATTATAGAGAGCATTTTCAGAATGATCAAAAATTATTATATAAAGAAGAGTTATTTTTTAATGTTAATTTTATATTTTTACAATTTTTGTTTTTTTATAAATGTGATTATACCGAAATGGTATTAGAAAATTGCGTCACTTGAGAATAAAAATTATATACATAATTATAGACATTAAGATTACAAAAAATATGCAATAAAGAAATGGAAGTTTCTATTTTAAAAAATTGATCTTAAAAAGATCAAGACTTTTATATGATTTTTTAAAAAAGATATCGAAAGCAATAGCATCAGCATTTTTATATTTTCTTTGAATATTTTCCTTTATACATATTCTTTTATAAATTCTGCAACTTTTATATAGAATTTTTTTTTAATCAAAAATTTTGGCAATATAAAAATGGATAATTTAAATTAAATCACCTTGTACACAACATTCACACACAGTGGCAAATTATATACTTTAAATTACATACTTTGTATATACCGTTGTGTTTGTGTACATACATACATACAATATACATACATATGCACATACGTACATACATTCATGCACGCACACACACTCACGCGCGATAAATGAAGTTTTATCACAATGCTAATCTACAAATATTATGCAATAAAAGATGAAAAAAGAAAATAACATACTTTGTGCTGGTGTGAGGCTGATCAGTTCCAGAGGCAGCTTCGTCGAGTAGCTACAGTTTAATAAAACAGAAAACAAACAATAAGATACTGTGCAAGTGATCACTACGAATAATTCAGGCATAGAAGCGTCATCTCTCTCAATGAATACAAAATCGAAATTTATTCAATTGTTTTTTATATATATATAATCATGAGACGAAGCTTCTCGCCTTGAAAAGTTAAAGTCGTGTGATTTTATTAACAATACATTGTGCAATAATTTACAATAAACCTATATAGAACCTATATAGAACTACCTATATAGAAATATAAATAAAAACAAATATCATTTTTCTTCGAGTGATATAAGAGTGATTATTGTAGAAATTATAAAATGCAAATACGAATTTTTTAATGCATATTTTAATGTAATATAAAATAAGTTTTAAATATGCATTTTTTAATGCATATTTAAAACTTATTTTATATTACTCTACTAGAAAAAAGAAAAAAGTAAATTAACAACGAAAATTTTTAAAATACTGAAATGTCAAGATTATGATTTATGTGAAAAATAAAAAAATTAGTTCAACACGAATCATAATCGAATTGCATTCTTAGAAAAAAACCAAAAAAATGCGCCTTTATCAAGAGATACCAAAATTGTAATATTTCGTTATTATTGAATAACAGTAATGATAACAAGTTTATTTTCAAAAAAATTGATAACAACTAAATTAATTGATAATAGCAAGTTTGAATTATTTAAAAAAAAAAAGAAATAATACAATACAAATGAACATGTAATAGTAAATATTTTTAAAGTTATTTTGAATGTAAAGTTTTTAGAGATAAAATTTTATAAATTTTAAATGGTATCTTAAATGGACACAAAAATGCAAGAATTTCTTAAATAAAAGAACTATAAAATCTACAAAAATGGTTTATGATAAAAATAATTGATTTTATTATATCTAAAAATAAGAATAATTTGAAAATTTATCTCTAGAAAATCAATATAAAAATATTTATTTTTATCATTTTGTCAATCTCTTGAAGCTCAACATAAATCTATCAAAAATTTATTTTTCAAGAAAGTAATAATTCAAGTGATCATAATAAATACAATAAAATTCTATATAATATTATATAATATTTCACAAGTAATTATAATATATATAAATTATTTTGCATATTAATAAATAAATTTACATATGTGATAATATGTGATAATGCATTACAAAATTAGAATTTTTTCGCAATAATTTTCGACGCGAAAGGCGAAATTTTCTTTTCATTTTCAATTATAAATATACCTTTGTTGAGATTTGTATAATATTGTAATATTATGTATACCAATATCATCTACTATTATCCAGTCTAGATTTAATATACATATATATATGCCAGTGTCATCAATCGTATCATGCGAAATTTGCTTCAGGACTATATATATAAGCTCGATAGTAATATTTAAATATTAATGAAATTATACGATTGTTTTAATCAGACATAGATTTATTAGTGTAGATAGATAATTTAACTTACGTCATGTGAAAGAGATGCGAGAGATGTTGATGTAGCGGCGAGACCAACATCTCGCGGGTCCAGCCCAAGGGCAGCTCCTAATTTAAGAGTATAGATTCCGGTTAATCTTCTTAACGATTGCAGTCTTAATCGTAGTTCCTGCAAACGTATTCTAGTTTCCGTCTGTTCATCTAAAAGATGATTAGTCGCCTCTTGCAACGATATTACTCGTGGCTCGCAACGCTCAAGATCATTTCGCAGTTCCCTGAAAATAAAGATAAACTAAGAATTTGGTATAATATACTTTTCTATGTATGAAAATACTTTTCGATATATCGTATTTGTTAAACGCGATACATCTCTATAATTTTTACCTAAATTTATTATATTTTACTTCTATAACATTGGTAGATTCAGTCAGATCAATCGGTTCGCTGGCTCGAATATTAACTTCGGTGCGCTCGAGCCAAGCTAACAATTCCTCTATAATGCGGTAAAACTGATGATTTGTCATGAGGGCATTTTGCAATTGTTCTTGCCATTGCACGGCAGCTGTACAAATTTTTTCCCATCTGTTGTTCGCCACAGATAATCGATCGCGAAGCTCTTTCGCGCGTTCTATGTCTTCGGTATGATCGGCCAAGTGAGCGCCGACTATATTCAAACTTGTTACGATACTCTTGTGGCTGTCAAGATCAAGTAAGAATTCGCGATGATCTTGAATCACATCTTCTAGTTGTTCTATGTCACTGGGTGGCGAGTGTTGCTCACTTTGCGTACCTTCGGCATACTCTAACCATTTATCCAAACGCCAGAAGTCATTGTCCAACTGAGCCCAATTGCGGCGAGAGCATAGTGGACAGGTCAGTCTGCCATTATCGCTGTAAGAATTATGATTATCTTTAAAATGTGTAATATTTTTTTAAATTATAATTTAAACAGATTAAACAAATATTTTTTGAATGAATTATTTATTATTTAATGTATATATATATATATATATATATATATATATATATGTTAAAATTATAAATAATAACATTTTTAGAATTCATTTAATATTTGTGAAGCATTAACATTTATAAAAGCGTGTTAGATATATTTTAATTTGTTATACATAAGATACTATATTCATAACTTGTATTTTGACAATACATTAAAAATTTTTATATGATTAGTTACTCACTGATCACATGGAAAAGCGTAAGCATCAGTGATGGGCGATCTGTGTAGAATAATGGATAGGCATTATTTTAATCGGCTTAAGCATTATCATCTGCATTAAAAATTATACGAATCAATATTATTGCATTTATACTGGCGAAAAAAAATAAAAAATTGAAGCAATGTTTGAAGAAGTTTATGAGATATAGTTAGAGATGATACAATAATCGATTATTATTTAATTTATTATTTAAAGCGTTAATGGCATGGAAATAAAAAAAAGTGCATGCGTCTGAATGGATGCGATTATATTTAATTTATTAGATTATATTAATAATTATATTAATAATTATATTAATTTATTATATTAATAATTTTATGAAATATTGTTAAAAATAAATATCAAGTATATATGTATAAGAAATAATTGCGTATATATATATATATATATATATATATATATATATATAAAATATTGAAAATTGTAATACAAATAAAATGCAAGTAATTTTTCATGTAAATATAAGTGAACTTATAGAATAAAATTTTTTTATACAAGATTTTGTTCTCGAGATCGACTTTGAAGTATGTATGTAAATAATAACAAGAGTTAGCATTTTCAAAGATCACGTTATACACAATTATTTCTATTTGTTTTTATAATCAAATAATCAATTCACGCTTTTTTAATTCGTCGAGCAATATTTTCAACGATTTTTAATAAAATAAATGCATTATTGAGACTTGCATAAACATTGAAATGAAATTAAAAAAAAATTACCTGAGCTCTCTGATTTGTTGTTCACGTGCTCTTGCTAATGCAATAAGTGTGTCGTATCGTGCTTCTAGTGTTGTTACTTCGCTACTTTTAGCAACTCCTAAACTCAGTTTGCCATCTTCCATGAGTAGAGTATGAAAGTGGCGTACTAGTTCTATTGAAGACTGACAACTTCCAATCAGTTTAGCCTGTAATAGGCGCGTTAGCTTATAATAATTTTCAGTAGCTTATAATAATTTTCACATCAGAGAAATATCGATTAACGTATTTAACGTTATTATTTTCTTCTAATTAACTTTTTGAACAATTTTCATTATTTAAATACACTCTAACTTCTGATGTTTTTTTATATAATTTTATGACTTTCTCAATCTTCCACTTCTTAAATAAATTTTTAAGATAAGAAAAATGGATATATATATAATAAATTTATATAAATAAAATTTATATATATATATAATAAATTTTTAAGATAAGAAAAATGGATATATTTGAAAATCATATTAAACTATATATATAGGTGCTCGTTTGAATTCGATTGGAATAAATGTGTACATATATACAAACAAAACATAACAGAATTAACTGATAAAAGTCTTACGATATTCTTCGCAGCTGTGTTGAGTCCAGGACCGGAAACGGGATCAGGCGTCACCGCTGCTTCCAGAGTGTTCAGGGCGTTATTACATTCATTCAAAGCAGCTTCCAGTTCCATCAGATAAGCATCGCACGAGGTCATCTTGATAAGTCTCGGTAGAGTATCCACCTGAACTGCAGTGTCCTGCTCGAATTTTAAGGTCTCCACTTGCACCGCCTCGTCCACTTCCGATTTTTCTTGCATCTCCAAGTCCGTTTTCAGCACGGTTACCCGTCCCTTGATATCCCGCCACAATAATTGGTACTCGTCTACCAGTTCCTGAATCGCGGCCACGTCATCAGAATTGCTCTCCTGCATGACCTTTAATGCAAGCTCATCCGCCTTTCGCAACGTGACGTTTTGAGTGTCGAGCTCTTCCTCAATCTCCTTCAACTGTTGACGTCTTCGTCGTAAGGATGATTTCTGTTCGGGCGTAGCGAGATGTTGCATCTGCGTCAAGCGAACGTCTACCTGTGTCAGGCCTACTACCGCTGCGCCATGCATGAATACGAACTCGCGATAGGTCTTTTGTTCTTGTTGGAGGCTCGGGATAATTGCGTTGATTTTCATTCCGACAGCCAACCACCTGTCGATAATCTTCCGCGTCTCACTCGTGAGCGATTTGAAATTATCAGGATCCAGTCCAGACTTGGCCAAACGTCCGAACGTTTGTTCGAGGACTTTCAAGGCTTTTTGATGCGCCTCGATGTCTCTAGCGATCGACTTAGCTTTCTCCATTAACTTTTCTGATTCTTCCTTCGAGACCTCGGTGAGATTTTTCTCCAGTTCCGATAGAGACTTCTCCGTTTTGGACAGCCACGGTTCATACTCGTGTTTAATTTTATCTAGTTCTTGCAACCATTTCCAAATCGTCATGATTCTTCTTTTGCGCTCAGTAGTCTTGATACATACAGCTCTCCATCGTTTCTCCAGGTAGTTCATACCATTCTTTATTGCATCTGTGTTAAAGGAGGCTTTCCACGTGTCACAATCGCTCAACAAGAGCTCGCACAGATTCAACACTTGGCTGATATTACTGCTTTCGGTCTCGATAGTGGTCTTGAGATATTCGTGATCTTCGAGTTTCTTATCGATACTTTTCTGCATGGGTTTCTCGATTATGAGAGCCTCCGATAACTGACTCTCGATGCCTGTCAACCAAGCTCGTAGATCAATTATCTTCTTCAGTAACGAGTTCATAGTTTGAATTAGATCGACTAGTTTGCTGGTTCTCGCTTTGCCATCAACCATCAGGTGATTCCATTTTTTATTAACTTCGGCCAAGGATTGCTGGAGCTTTGCTTTCTCCGTCTCCTCAGCGATATCTATCAGCTCCTGTCCGGTATTTTGCAACCATTCGAGTTCGCGCTGTTTCAAACTCATCTCCGCTTGCAGCTCATTTGCGAGTCGCTTCACTGTTTCCTCGGGCTCGTCCAACGCTACTGTGTTATAGTCCTGCATTCGGAGCGTGGTGTCTTCTATCCATGACAACAACTTGTTTAACCTATTTTCCCATCGACCATGAAGATTGCAACGTTCCGTAAGCCTATACGCTAACAGGGCCAATTGATACTCAAGGTCGCCGTACTGTTGTGACAGAAGTGCATCATGCTGGTTTAACGTCTTCATGTCACTCGGACTTAGGCATTCCCTCAACTGTTCCGTTATGACACCGAGAGATTCGAGATTACGTTGTGCATCAGCCAGACGAGTTCTCAAATGCTGAAGTGAATCTAATTGTTCCTTCGTTTTGAATAGACTCGTCGGTTTCGCGTGAAAAGCCGCACTCAACGCCTGACTGATTTCTTGGAAGATCGCAGTGATTACGTTGGACTGTTCGATGTGTTCCTCGTACAACTTCTGTACTCTCTGAACAAAGTCTCTCCAGGTCTCGAGGCCGGCACGCAGATTGGCAATCCGTTGCGCATTCGCAGCATGTTCCATGCGTATCGAAACGGCTAGTGCTTCCTCGCAATTAGTCAGAAGGTATTCCTGTTGCTTCTGAAGGGATTCTATCTGCGTCTCGCCGGTTGGTACCTTATCCAATAATGCCTGAATTCTCTGTAGGATCTTGTCGAGCCGTCTCAGGTGAATAAACTGCAGATGCATACGTTGCCGTTCTTTCTCGACTTCTTTTAGCCATGTTAGCAATTTACTTTGATCCAGCCTGTACTTGTCCCAGGCCGATATTCTGTCGCGCACCGCCCCGTGTCGTTCTAATATTCTCGCCAATGTCTCGTTGTGCAGACTAGTCAAAGCGTTGAACTGCTCGGCGACCGACCTGTCATGTTCCTCCTCTTGCCGTACCGTTAACATGAGGTTTTGTTGCTCAGGTAGAAGCTTCCGATGGATCTCGCAGAGATTCCGATGTTCCGATAGACCGTTGTAGTCACTAGGTACGCCGGTCGACAGGAAGTCCTGCACATGTGTCAGATATTCCTCCCAGAGTTTCAGTGCGGCGATTACGTCTTGCGAGCGGATCAACCGCGTCGACAAACGATGATACTGTTGGAAGGTTTCTTGAAATACACGTTGCCATAATCGGATCACCTCGACTATCGACGGTTCCTGTACGGACATATCTAACGCGCGATCCTTGATGAATTGAAGCTGCGGTTCAGTTCGAGTCAACGCAAGAAGATGGTTCCGCAGCACTGTCAGCTGCTCGTTGGACTCACCTTGATCCACCGTCATCAGATTCTGAAAATTGGATAAGCTCTTCTGATTACGATTTGTCGATTCGGGGGGGTTCTTAAGAAATAGATTAAAAAATAAGAGGAAAAAGATAGGAATAAATTTGATATACGCAATTGATTCCGCGAATCTTCGATAACATGATTTATGGAGCACAATTTTTAACAGTCTCGAAGAAATCATGATTAATAACGTCCTCCTAGCAAGTGTAATCGTATGTAATCGCTTTTATACCGATCGACGTTGACAGTGAACGCTATGAATTCGCGTTGAAAAATGTAACTCGACGCGGCACCAGTTCTCAAGTTCGAAAGTTTCGGCCGACGATGTGTGCACGGGCGTTGCAGCCATTCAGCTGTTGCAGATTTCGTGACTGATGTAATTGCCACCACGGGTTAAGCCCTTCGGCCTTGACATAACAAATTGTTTCGGAACTACTGCGATTAAAATATAAACGCGCGTGCGAAGCGATGATCGAGGTTGTGCCAAGCACCAATGGTGCACCGCCCGAGAACTGATGGACGCCTTAATACATGAGACTAAAGCGGCCTAACGCCGCGGGTCTAACTATCACTTTCTAAGTACCGGCAAATGTGTACATCGATCCTTGAAAAATATTTTAATTGTGAGATATTCGAGGAAGGTCTTGTTCTCCAAGGTTTTGAATTCGTTTACACATATACAATGAAATATGCTAGAATATAATTAACTAACGCGCTGAATACACCTGGATCTTGTAAAATTATATCGTCATGTACACGTATTTTTTAAATATTTTTAAAGATATGGAATCAAAAATCAAAATCTCTTTCGTTCTTTATAATTCTTTTACAAACTTGCTATTCTCTTCTACATTAAAAGCAGAAGATATATAATTTTCTTAAATCTTTATATACATCATAACACTTATAATGGTTGAATGCGTCATGTGTTATAAGGAGTGGAAAAGATTTGATTGACATATGATTAGATAGAAGCAGAAGCAGCATATCGGAGGCACATACCTGTTGGACAGAGTCTAGAAAATTTTTTGTCTGGCATAGATCACTACGAGCAAGTTCCTGGTTGAGAACATGAGCATCTACCGTATCTGCGAGAGTCGACAAGGTTTCCCGAACATCCTCGAGTCGTTGACCGAGCGCTTCGACTTCGCAGTGCAGCGGTCCATCGGCGTTCAAACCTACGTCCGAAGCAATCTGTGCTACTAGACCGCGTAGTTCCGCTAGTCTCTCCTTGTGTTCTGCCAATGTCTCCTCGCAAATCTGAAATGAATTTTAAATACGCTCAATATTTAACATGTCTGTGTTAACTGCTCAAGCTTTTACCGCTAGAGCAAATCTCGAATCTAAATCTTAAATCTTTAATTTTAATTTTACACAGCATATAATATAAATATTGTGTAATAATTTTTACAAATAGTTTTATATTATTGTTTATGATTTATTATTACTCTTTATTTTTCATAATCGTGATCATTATTTATTATTTTTTTTTATCATTATTTATTTATTATTATTTATTATTTTTAATTTTATATTTTATTTTACATCGTATATATCATAGTTGCAAGTCCTCTCGATACATTATAAATTTTAATAAAATTGTTTTCCTCGTAAAAATTATATACGAATATATTTCATGTTATACTTCACAATTCTCACAATTTTTATATCAATTGTAATTTAATTTCTAAAGTAGCAATAAATATTTATATATATATATATATATATATATATATATATATATACTTAATAACATATTTAAAAATATTATTAAAATATTATTTAATAACATATTTAAAAATATTATTAAAATTATAAAGTCGATATAATTGTAGAAAATAACATATTTAATATATAATTGTAAAATAAAATATAATTATATATGACATAATTAAATAATATTAAATACAATAAAATTTTAAATTAAACAAATAATAATGATTAAATTATTAATTAAATAAATAATAAATTAATAGTTATTTACTTAATTTTTAGTAGTATATAGAAACTACAAAGAATTTCCAAATTTTCGACAAACTTGTCTCATATATATATATATATAACATATTTATTATTTATATATATATATATATATATATGTAACGTTCACTCTTTCCATCGCACGGGAAAGAAAAAATACTCATGTGCAGATTACTTTAATTACGTTTAATCCATAAAAATTATGTTTTTGAAGAAACTATGATACGTCAAAAGTTATATAGAAAATTCTTTTCAAAATTTTTTGTATTATATAGTTTTCGTAAATATTATTTGAAAATTAAATATTAATATTATAATATGAAAAATCTTCCAAGGGATCTTTAATTAAAATTTAATTTCATCTAATTTGTTTTCCTCTTCCTTGCCAGAATTTTTCTCATGTCATTGAGATAGAAGCGACGATGGAAATACGGACGATACACGCGCAATTTTCGTAGCACTAAAGTTATTTCTGTCGCATTGTTACATTCGGTAGGAATCTCCGGTCCGTAGCGAACAATCAGGACTTTTCGTATCTCTATTGTATCCGTCTGTCATTGTGTTACCTTTATTTCTTCCGGCGTGCACATGTCTTTAGTCCAGTTTGTCACTCATACTTTCTGCTTTTTGATGCGCGTTCTTATAAAATACTGCTCCGAAACTAGACGCACACGTGCGCCGCTATACAGCTCCCCGTCGTCTGAGCACATGGTCCAAATTGTCGATGCGTATTCATAAACGCGCATACACTGCCACACTCGCACGCATATACACACATTTACACGTCATGGACGCGCATCTGTTCACGTTCTCTGGCATGCCTAACAAATACGGCGCGAATGTTTAAAAAATCCTCCCCCGCTCCCTGATAAGGCGGTACGATAACAGAAATATGTGTTTGCGTCGAGATAAATGAATACTTTGAGAACGCGTATCGAGAGAGTAGCTGGATGCTGTAAACGTTGCAACGCCCTGAATCTAACTGGCGTAGTCTCCGAGGGATCGATGCGCGCGTCCGTATGGCTCACCCTCTTGCCCCCTATTCTCTCAACGACCTACCCTTGGCTAGCTTATGTCTCTGACTAGAGCGAGGAGATGATAATGAGTCAACCTTTACTCTTGTTCGTCCCTTCTTGTGTCCCACGGTAGCATAGTAGTAGTGATAATACTATGGTACGTGTGTAAATAAAGAATGATATAGGTTCCTTCATTCAAGGTATGATAATCTGTTAATCTGATATTTTTATGATCCTAACTGAATCTTGAAAAAAATAGCTTTCCTCATATACTGAGATGCGTATAAGATACGAATTGTAAAAATATTTAATATTTTTTAATAGATGTGTATAATATTTAAATATAATATTTTAATATTAAATATAATATTTAAATATAATTATGAATATAATATTTCGTTGACAAAAAAATGAATCGTATTGGCTCAAAAGATCAATAAGATTAACAGAAAACATGTATGTGTACAAGAATCAATTATTATTAATATGCAATACACAATTTAAAATGTATGTAATATTAAAATGAATCAACATTTTTAAATATAAACAAAGAGAATTATTATTGTCTCAGCTGCGATATTGATTGTTAAGTGTCTTAGTTATCGGATACTTGATTAACAGTTATTGCTTAACTGTTCTCGCAAACAAGTTTTAAGTCAGCATTCACTTTTCTCTTTCCTTTTTTTCTTTCATACTCATCATTACTTATTAGATAAAACAATATGTGTGTATAGTTGCACTTATCATTTGTCAAAACATCCATATATAAGTATCAATAAAATTTTTAAAATATAAATGAGTTAAAAAAAAGGAGAGTTTTCCGCAAATTTAATTTAACAAAGATGAGAGATTAACAAAACTCTTCAGTTAATTTTAAGTTAAATTTACTTTAATACAATTTTAATTTAAGACTTTGTTACAAAGATATGATGACGATTTTTCGAAATTTTTGCTAAAGAAAAATGATCTCCAAGTTATGTCAAGAATCCATTAATAGCAAGTGATGTAGTGATCCATTATTAGCAAATGATGCAATGATCCTGCGATGTTTTGTAGTTCATTTTCATTGCTTTTATCGGTAAATCTTAATTTTTATTTTTATTTATTTTAAAATAACTTTTTAATTATAAATTTAAACATAATTTTATAGTAATTATTATAATTTATTTAATATTCATATTTTATATTCTAAGCTTGTATTTTGAATCAAACTTTGTAATCAAAATTCCAAAGGAAAGAATAGATAAATCTATTTGTCACAAAAAAAAATTTCAAAATTTAACAAATCTCTCTCTCTTATTCTGATCCTTAATATTAATTTTAAAATATCGGCATTATCTATTACATATTTCTTAAATTTTTGCAAAAGTCATTAAAAAGGTAACGTATTTATCTATTACTTATTAGCATTAGCAAGTTCTCTTATGTATCTTTCGTTTCCGGAAGATTTTAGAGAGTAAACTATTTTAAAAATAAGAGCTCCTCATATTTAACTTATGACAGTGGTAAAAAGTCTAGGTCAACATCACCTACCTTGACCTGCTTGACTGCTTCCTCCGGTGGCAAATTTACCACAGTGTTCATTTGAGTGTCTACCCAGTCCTTTACCGCGGCGCTGGAGTCCCTATATTGCTGCCAGAGCCTGCACGCGTGCTGGTATCGGGTGCAAAGGGCGTTCAATTCGGCCCTCGTATCTTCCCAAGCCTGTACGGCTTCATTTACTATGGCATCGACTCTTTCGCGGACTTCTACAGCGCAGCTCTCCCGCAGAGGTTCGGCAGCGGCACGTAATTCGCCAATGAGAACTTCTCTGGCGCCCAAATCACCGTTTAGACCCTATCATTAAAAAAAAAGAAAAAGGAAGAGCATGTTTAATATTTGCAAATATTGTCATGAATATAGAAATTAAATGCATCACTTCTTTGACATAATACACACTTTTTGAGTTAATTAATATTTAAATTTAAATTAATAGTTAAATAATATTTTAATTAAGACGGTTTAAATTATATAATTATAACAGATTAATAATAAATTTGTCAAAAATATTTTGCTGTTAATTTGAATCTCATAGAACGCTATTAATGTATAATGAGATTGATAGGAGTAGAACTTATTAATTTTTTATTAATCTCCTTTTTTTCCATATTATTCATATATTTTGAAAATAATAATAAAAATTATATTTTGTCTACTAAAGCTTCACATGCCAGACAATTCAAAGAAAGTATAGGCATGTCGGTTCTGCTTTAAAACTCGCTATAAATAAATTCGCGACATACCGCAACACCTCAAACCATATATGCGCACGAGACTTACATGAATTCGGTCACAACGTGGTTGAAATAATTCTATGTCGCGCGTACTTGAGTTCGTTCACCTCTCTACGAATTTTGCAAAAGAAATCATACGTGGAAACTACCTCTTGATGTATCGAATATTTCTATCAGATATAATAAATTTATAGAAAAAATATTTTTTTGTAAATTATTAAAAATAATTCGTAAATAAATAAATTATTCTAGCTATTTATGATAGATATTTTATTCTATTTTATTTTCTCTTGTATATTGTATGCAACTAAATTTATACAACTAATATTAATTGATAATTCGTTAGTTTTTCGACGTTCAGAGAAATATGAAAATAAATTCATAGTATAAGAAAAGGAAATCATATATATATATATATACGTTCGGGTAGTAGCAACGACTCTAAACATAGACATTCCCACCATAGTTGAAATACCCATCGCGTTATTTATTCATTAATGATTTTAATCATTTATATCTTTCGTAATTATTTTTAAAATAAATTAGATAATTCGCTCTGATGCACGCACTATATCTGTTGCACTAAAGAAAAGAAAATTTTTAAGTATATTTATCCATAAAGACATTATCATTAATTATGCGTGCATTATTGCTGTAGTTGCGAATTTTATCTTTGGAGGGATCTTATCATTGGAGGATCTTACAAAAAAAATTATATCTCATGCATTAACATCTAGCTAATTGAAGTGATTGCATCTCAGAAAGTCGGAACGTTTCACATTATTTGCAATTAAACGATGTTACAGTTAATTATATGCAATTAAAACGCATCGTTGCAACACACGGGCATTGTATCATCTATGCATATTGTTTTAATATTAATTTGTTTTCCGAAGAAAGAATCGGGGATAAAGATTTTGTATAAAATTAGCATATATAATTAATTGCGTTTAATCTAATGTTCTTTAAGTTATGTTGATGTCTGTTGATCGTTCATAATGTCGATTGTTTATAGACGTATTGTGACGAACATGTAATTTCACGTGGTCACGAGAAAGAAATTATGATAATAACTATATATTTAATATAATCGTCTTTTATTTCGATTAAGCGACATATGAAAGAGAGAGATTCACAAGTTATGCATGCACATATTCTCGTTGGTTTAGCTACATTATTTTTGTTACAGACAACCTGTTGCTTGCAACGACTGTACACCTGTAATATATGCTGATTTAATACATATTATGCATCGATGTGGATAAAGAGGATTACTTTATATGTTTCGTCGTGATGCATAAACAACGCAACGGTATTGGGTGCAAAAAAAAAAGAACAGATGCAATGATCTAACGGAAATAAATTCTTACAAAATTATTTTCTCGTGCATGCATTCGCGGAAAATAACCGACCACTTCCGGAATACTAATAAAAATCATGAACGCGTGATATGCCAAGAAATCAACGAAGAACTTTACAAGTTTTTTCAACGGTATGAATGATTGCTCTGCAAAGGGTCGGCCGAAAAGGGCCCATTCATGCGCCCTCGAAATAAACATATGTGGTAAGATGTACAAAATGATAATTCATGAAGAAGAAACTCACACATGTGCAACAAATAATTGTTCTTGTATGCAAACTTTTGTAGAGTAATTAACCGTACATCTTAAAAAATACAGCGGCATTTATGTCTGTCTGGAATAAATATATATACATTTGTTTTTTCTTTTACTAGATAGTACGTAAGTAGTTTTATTCTGCGAGGATGGAGCGGATTTTTTTTTAAATCAATAATCAGTTTATGAAATGTGTAAAATACAGTCAGTATATTTTTGATAAAAATAGAAAACCAGATATATATACGTATATATATTCATGCCAGACTGACATAAATACCGCTGCTTTTTTTTTAAAGATGCATGGCTGATTAAAAATACAGTCAGTTTTAATTATCATATTAATACGTTTTTGCGCATTACAATAAATATTGAAAACACTTTGAATCATCGTTATATTAAATCATCACTAATAACGGAGCATTCTTTTAACTTCAACATTCATATCAACCTTCTGCAGATATGCAACTCCGGAAATCCTGTTCCGACTATTCTTCGTGCAGTCTGAGTGTTTTGGCACGAGACGCGAAACGGAAACGTTCTGCATCATTCAGGAAAATGTTTGATATCTACGATATTTAATGCGACATTACCTTGAAGTTATTTATCGTATTTGGTCTTCGTCGTGAAGCTTCAACTTAGATAGAGAATTGCGCGAATTTGTGAAGAATAAATCTCATTCGAACGACTTGCAAATGATGCGCGTTTATCTGTCGTCGCGACCGAGCGATAATACAGGTCAAAAATACCAATAACACGCGTTGAAATATATTTACACAGGTTCGGAGATATTCTCGGCAGCGACGTAAACGTGACCATGGGTCTAGCGGTACTGATAGGTGCCGCGGCGATAACGCGGCTCTCAAGCCTGAACGAGTGAGAGCGAAAATGCGACGCCTGCGCGTAACGTGTGTGTACTCTTGTATTTGTAGATCTGTTTAATAACGCCTGATGAATCATGAAATTATAAGGAGAAGAATTTAATTGACTATCCATGAACCTCGAGATAAATTACTCGAAAGTTTACTTAAAATTGGACTTCAGTCCTACTTCGTATTGCTCAATTTGGCGCTTTTGATTAAATAGCATTAAATTCATTTGCAGAGAATAAAAAATATAATATTGTACCGGAATCATGCCAATTTTATAAAAAGAATTATACAAGACGCTGATGATTTTATTGACCTATTTCTCAATGCGATAAGCAAATCTCATCGCTTGACCTTTTTTATATATAATGTAGAAAAAAAAGACTTACCTCGAGTCGCTCGGTAGCCTTTAGTAATCTTTCGTAATCGACAGAGCCTTGGACGGTTAATAGTTCCATCATATAATCCGCTTCTTGAACAGATTGTTGTACAGTTTCCAACTGTCTTTCGAATCGTCGCCACAACTCCAATCTATTCGTCAGCAATGAAAGCAGACGCGTGCATCTCGATTCGAGTTCAGTATGAACGTCTTGTATATTGGATAGATCCCTTTCGATGCCTACCGGCGATACTGTTACTCTCATGCCAGTCGGCAAATTATGCAGCGTCTGTCTTAAAGCCATTAGATCTTGCCAGAGAACCGCCAACTCATTTGCGACTGATTGACATTGATTCACAGCCGCGGCTACTAAGTCGCTTTCTTGTTTCTCGCTGCCCTCGCATTGATCCAGTATTGTCGACAATCTTTTGTAAGCCTTCCTGAAGCGATTTAATCCGCGTTGAAGAAGTTGAATTTTTTCTCGAAGTAATTGCGCCGAATCTAGCTCTTCGCTTATCTGTCCCTCTATGCAACGAGCCGATGATAGTAAAAATCCGACTCTTTCGCTTTCCGTTGCTGGTAAAAGACCCAATCGACCTATCTCGTCCTGAATCAAAGAGATTCTGTCGAATAGCACAGTGAGTCTCTCGATGTACAAGTCGAGTTCTTCTTTGGTCTTCAATACCCCATAGAAGCTATTGATAGTTGTTCGTAATTCGTTCAGCTCCTTTTCGAGTAGCTTCAGTTTGTCGTTCGATGAGATCTCCTCCGAGGAAATGCTGCGAGTGACATCCATCTGAATCTCGCTGATCTTATTGCTAATCTCCTTCCAACGACCTTGCAATTCGTAGTGGAATTGTCGCTGTAATATTTCGTCCGACAAAGGTATAATTCGTAAAGCTTGCTCGAAACCATTGTCTGCTTCATTACGCATGTTGTTGTTAACTTCGTATTGTGCCTTCAATTCCTATAATAATATTGATATAAGATTTTTCAAATCTGATTGAAAATTAATTGAATCTAATCGAATTTAATTTTTAGCACGAAAATATATATATTTTTTAAATGAAGTTAGTCCTTATATTTTTTTTATATTTAGATTTAGAAAAACTTAAGGATGTATTGGAGATATATTACAATCAATGAGATTGCCGTGAATTTTTAATTTAACTTCTTAATAGCATTCTAAATCGTCATGAATTATTTTAAATTTTATTACTTGCTCCTTTAAAAGTTATTAATTTTTGAATTTTGCGATTTTAACATAGGATCTTATGTAAACGTTCAAGAGACAGGTAATAAATTATTCACAAACTATAAAAAAACAATGATAAAAATTTCATTTTGTAATATTATATTCTTCATACGTGTAAAAATGTTTCCATAAAGTTTTAAAACGATTTACTTGCTCGTTTTGAAATTATTATTAAAAAATAACTGTGATTATCGGTTTAACGCAATATTGATGATAAAACGTGGCAAAATTTTATTGGAAATTAAGACCTATTTATATTAAAGAATACTTTGAAGTATAATTTCGTGATTTTTAAAAAATTTTTGATCAATTAGAATTTGTATTCTGCCCAACTTTAATTTTTTGATACTTTGGATTAATTTTTGAGACGGTCCGTCCAATACATTCTTAAAATCAGATCATCCTTTTCAAAATTATTCAATTTTATCTGAAGAATTTTTTTTATCGCTAATAGTTTTAAAAATGTTTATGCCTCATATAACAAGAGATAATATTCTACAATATAATATATTATATATGTACACACATATGTATAAAGACTGTTATGTATTAAAGTTTGTAGATAAAAAGTTTGATAAAAAATGATGCTGATAACGATTACGTAATACTTTCGTTTTCCAATTTTAATCGTGCTAAAAATACGGATCTCGAACATGTGCCTCCGATGGCACGAGGCCAAATGCGTTGGAAAAACGTGACCCAGATGCATATGCGGATACAGCCCACCAATGGATGTTCTCGTTAGATTATCGTATTATAAATACATTTACAAGATTTTAGAGAAAGATCGAAAGTGCTTACCCAGAATTGACGCATAGAACTTCCTGAGGGATCGCGTAGTATGGCAAGCTCCTTCTCAGCCATTGTCATCCACTGTTCCACACGACTCATTAATGTCTCTTGATTATTCCAACTCTCTCTGAAGGCCAATAGTCTTCTCAAGGAGGATTCAATGTTATCTTGCAGTTTTACGATCACATCTAAGATTTCCCCGTAATGATCTTCGGGATCCTCGATATTGATGAGATCGCGAAGACTACAGGCCACGTCGAATAATTGAATTAATCGTGCACGATGGGTTGCTACGTCTGATGATAGAGACTAAAATGTAACAAATTGACAAATAATTAAAGTTAAATTTATGGAATAATCACATAAATAGTACAAATTTGTCAATATCAAAAGAACAATAATGCTTTTTGTAGCTAGAATTTTTCGTAACAACCGGCTAAACACCATGTGATTAATGCTTTTCTGAATGACATTAAAAATAGCCCTGAACATATATTTTTTATCCACATGGTACAGATAAAAAATAATAGATTAAAAATAATATATTTAAATTAAATTAAACTTAGAAAATGTCTGCATATAAATAAATTTGTCAGCATATATTTAGTATATATTTTAATAATAGTTTTTCTTTCAAGATCAATTAATATATAATATATATAATATAATGTAACATATAAAATATTTTTTGAATTTTATGTTAATTAAAAGTAAAAAAAATGTAATACAAAAAATTTAATGTTCTACTGAAACTATGTCTATTGCGTGTATATTTAAAGACATCTTTTATGCTTACTTCCGACACTTTTTATCACATTCAGCCATTACGTATGTGAAAAGTATACATGTATACTTACGAAAGGCGTGCAATTATTATTTAAGTATAAAAGTGGAATTAATATAAAATTATTTAATAAGTGAAATTAATATAAAATTACTCTTAATAAATGGAATTAATATAAAATTACTAACTTGATATAAAGAGATGTATTGATCGTAATCGGTCGAAGTCACTGTTTGGAGATCAGGGACACGTTGATGTGCAACTTGGAGCCATCCTTTCTCTTCTTTCATACTTTGCTCCAGTAGCATCCATCTTGACGCGGCCAACGCCATTTGTTGCGCTCTTGAAGCCGCTTGATCGAGTAACACTGTCGCTTTATCATGAAGTTCTTTATGCAGATCTGAATGTTTGGCCCTGGTTTCAGGATCTAGATTGCCTTCCAGCGATTCGAGAATCGCGCGACAGTGATTTAAGTTGACGAAGAATTTTCTGTGTTTTTGCATCTCTTCTTGAAGATATTCTAGGCTCATCACCGATATCGGACTGTCTAGTAGATTTTCAGCAATTTCGGTAATTTGCGCAAATTCCTGAAGTGTTTGCTCGTATTCTTCAGCTAAGACGAGCAATTGGAGAAGACGCTCTCGTTCGACGTACACATTATGCCCGATAATCTTTGTCATTTCGTGCGCAGCGTACGTTTCATCGGGTATAACTTTGCCTGGATAATCGTGCAATAATCCGCAAGTAACATCGAGGAGTTGACTCGTTTTCCACATGTGACAACGATTTGTGTTCTCCAATTTATCGAGTTCTTGTAATTTCCAAAGTGTGGAATTTTCACTTTCAATTATATAATCGAGCTGTTTACGTTGTTCATCGACTAGCCTGTAACAAGAATTTTGACTATTTTAATACAGAAAAAAATGCGTGCATTAAACAATAATAAAATTATTTAAATTTTCTCTCTTTTATTTCAGACTTTATTTCTAAATTTAGTTTAAAAAAATATGCAACAAAATATATTACATTTAATAAAAATTTAATTAATATTTAATTAATATTTTTTCTTAATATCTTACCTATACACATTGTTTATGCCATTTATAAATTCGTCCCATTTTGCGAGTTGTTTGCTGGCATGTTCCTCTTCATCAATCGTAATATGCTCGATGATTTTCATTTGATGTTCAACAGCGTCCATACATTTTCGTAATCTTTCATGTTCCTGTTCCGGATAGCTTGGCTCTAATTGCTTCCAAATGTTATCAAGTTCGCAAATATTTTCCTTGACATGATTCATCTCTTCTCTCAATTCGATGAACGTTTTAACGTCCTCGTGAGAAGGTCCACTCGGACATTCTTTGTTTAGAAAGATTCGATACTCAATAGTTTCCAACCAAATTGAGATTGTTTCGATGACAGTGACAAAGGTTTCCTCGATGATTATCACGTCGTTCTCTTGAATAGCATTTCTTAGCTGCGCCAATTCCTTGCGAACATCCGAAGAGCGTTCCTCCACAAGCTTTTCCGTAGTGACTTGTTCGAGATGTGCGATGTGCAAAATGTTACCTAGATAACTCGATTCGTTGGTATTCTGTAGATTTTTCACTCGATTAGTTATTATTTTAGCAGCTTGCATCGCTTGTGGTATCCTCTGATATTGCGATTTAATGTCACATTCCAAAGGTCTTTCTAGAAGAGAAGTTGCAGATAGAGTGTTGAGAGATGGTACTTCGGATTCTTGCCATAAATTCGTATCTTTTTTCTCGTGTATTTCGGTGCTAGGTAACGCTGATGTAAGCTTTTTGTGCGATTCCGATATCACTTCGGCGTATGTCGGGGTCTCTGCTTGGAACGAATCGGTGATTTCTTTATCGCAAATAGATTGCTCGATTTTTATGGGTGACAATAGCTCGTCAGTGGTATCCATTAGTTCAGGAGATAATTGTGTAGGTACAATTATGGATGATTTCTCTTGGTCCGTCGACATCAATGACGACTCCATCATCGGTTTATCAGGTAAAAATGGCATTTGTACTGCTGCTACTTCAGATATTGTTGTTTCTGGAATGTGACGATTTGAATCAATTATAAATTGATCTGACATAATTGTTTCTGAGGTAGTTGAGATATCTTTTATGTCTTCTTTATCTCGATTCCTGCTTTCTACAGTTCCCGATGCAACATCCTCCGATTTTATTTGATCTGAATCGATTTGAGAAGAATATTCGTGTACTACGTCATCTAAAACATCATTATTTCCTACTAAAGATGTTCGCCTGCTGACATTTTTCTTGGCTACATCGCAATAAGACAATTTCAAGGTAGTATCTTGGGATTTCATTGGCTGCCCAAATATGGATTCAAATTCCGACTTGTCTTTGTTAGGTAAATTAATTTCCATGGTCTTGTGTTTTCTTTTCCTTTTTTGTCGTTTAATCGCTTTGCTATTGTGCTCTGCAACATCCGCGTCGTTGTTGAGGTCTTCGGCAACTGTTGTCTCCTGCGAACTATCAGGTGTTTCTTTGCTAACAGTATCGAGCGTGTCACTGGCAGATAATTCTATGCTCGCGTGCACGTGGATTTCAAATGATGTATCCGGAGTAGTGCTTTTTTCCGATGTCGAAGATGGTATCGTAGATTCTTCTGTTTTTGCGCTAATATCTAATGATTTTAAACTATCTTTTACTATAGGTGTTTCAGAAAATTGGTGCATCTCTTCCTCAACAGATGCTTTTCTTTGCTCGATATTTTCCGTTGTGGAAATCTCCGATATTGGTTTGTCACTCGCAACTTCCATTTCTCTTACTTCTTCTATTTTTCGTACTTGTACATCAGGTGCTACTGGAGTTTCCGTTATTTCCGTAAATATTATTCCTTCTTCTTTCGTCTCTTTCAAGATGTCCGCTTCCGTTAAAACAGGCGTTTCCTGCGCCTCTTCTTTTTCAATTTCTTCTACTTTAGAATCTTCCGTAAATGTTTCAACAGTATGAGTTGAAATTAATGTTGTTTGTTGAGATATCGATGTCATCTCGACTGGTTGGCTGTCTTTCTCTAATGATGTTTGTGCACTGATTTCACACATGTCAGGAATATTTTGTATACTTTTTTCGATTTGTGGTATCAGGTCTGTTTCTATTTGCATCGAACTATCGAAAGTTTGAATTTTCGCTGGAGAACTAGTCTGCGATTCTTCCTCGATAGTCTGTTTCGTTTCTTCGAGGCTGGTTTGAATAAATTCTTCGCATACTTGTATAGGTTCTGGACTGACAATGATTGGACTGGTCTGCATGGTAGCCTCTTTGATTGATTTTATTGGCATTTCAGTTTCCGCCTCTACTTTTCGAGGGCTTTCTTCAGGCGTTGTTTGTGTTTCAATTGTATCAGTAGGCGCCGGTATTGTGATTGTTTGAGTATCTGCATGCAAAACATTCGGTTGCTCCGGACTAGTCGGGACACTTGTTTGTACATCTTTTTCCAAAGATTCTGGTACTTCTGGAGGTAATGTTTGCATACCACTTTCCTGCAGAATGACTTTCTCTGCTATTGGTGGTGGAGTAGTTTGTTGCTCGACTTCCATCGCGGTATTTATCGTTGTCTGAGTTTCATTTGTTATCATTGAAGCTACTTCAATAGGTGAAGTCTGCATTTCCGTCGAAAAAACATCAATTTCGGTTGTTTGTGCTTGAGAATCTTCCATTTCCGTTTCAATAAAAGGGACATCCTCAATTGGACTAGTTTGAATAGCAAACTCCTCCCTTGGCGTGGCTATGGGTGTCATAGTCTGTATGCCTAAATCTTCGACTTCCGGGATTCCTTCCACGATATTTTGTGAAATAAAATCAAGTTCTGGTTCTAAAATTGTTTGTGTTTCAATATGAATCTCTTCAGTTTTTTCTGTTTGACTCTCTTCTTCTAAAGTTAACGGTAGCGGTTCAGGAGATGTTTGTATAAATGTAGAAAAGCTCTCCTCTATCTTTGGAGTAAGTGAAGTTGAAACATCGCATGTTTCTACAGTTGTTTGAGTGTTTGCGTCATCTAACACAGCTTTATATTCAATAATATTCTCTTGTTGTAGTATCGTTTCGGTTTCAATTTCTTTCGTCTGATCTTCTTGCTCCATTATATCTTCAGTTTCAGTTTCTTTTGTCTGATCCTCTTGTTCCATTATACCTTCGATTTTAATTTCTTTCGCCTGATCTTCTTCTTCTATTATTTCTTCGATTTTAATTTCTTTCGTCTGATCTTCTTGTCCCATTACATCTTCGATTTTAATTTCTTTCGTCTGATCTTCTTGTTCCATTACATCTTCGATTTTAATTTCTTTCGTCTGATCTTCTTGTTCCATTGCATCTTCGGTTTTAATTTCTTTCGTCTGATCTTCTTGTTCCATTACATCTTCGGTTTTAATTTCTTTCGTCTGATCTTCTTGTTCCATTACATCTTCGGTTTTAATTTCTTTCGTCTGATCTTCTTGTTCCGTTATATCTTCTAAATTATTTTTTTCTATTGCTTTATCTGCTTTTATTTCATCGTTTTCTTTTATATTATCTTCTACTTCAGATTTAGGAATCTCTAAATAAAATCCATCATCTGTAAATGTCGCATCATCACTACTAGTTTTGGGTACTTGAGTTAGATCCTCATCTTGAATTAATCGAATTTTTTGCTTTTTCTTCGTTTTTCTCTTTCTTTTCGTGCTATTTTCATCTTTCAATGGAATCGATAATACATCATTATCATCCGGTTGATATCCATTTTCTTCGGCCACAAAATCGTCATCTAAGCTTAAAGACGATTCAATGTTAGATTTGATAATCTCCACAATATCCGGTTGCGGCTGTTCGCTAGCATGTTTAGACGAATCAGATGATGGGACATTAATCTCCATAGATTCAGCAATCGATGTAGCGATAGAAGTGCTAGATTCTTCTTCTACGGGCTTTTCTAAAGACTCTGTCTTATCTTTGTGGCGCTTCTTTTTTCTACTTTTATGACTTGTGTCTGATTTGCTTTGCTCCGAGGATTCGATATGAACATCGATTACTTTGTCTGCCGTCTGTTGTAAGGTTTCTGTTCCTTTTTCAGCTGTAAGAAAAGCGCTGGTTTGCACGATCTTATCATGTATTATTCCTGTCGTTCTTTTATCTGTTGGAAGACTAATATCCACATCCTCTTTAACAATGCTATATGGAACAATCTCGGATCGCTCTGCTTGAGTTTTAATAGAGACCAATGGTTCCATTTCCTCATCTTCTTTACTCACAGATAAAGCTATCTCAACCTTATGGAATATTGGCTTATACTCGGGCTTGAGTGCTTGATCCCTTAAATTATCATCTTCTTCTTCCATAAACAATTCTGAAATTTCTCGTTCTTTAAGTGATGCTTCGACATCTTTTGAAACAGATTTTTCTACGCGTTTGTCGGATTCAATTTCGAATTCACACGGTAAAGTGATCGATCCATTTTGTGGCTCTAATTGTTGCGATGTTATATCTTCTTCTTTACTCTTGGATAGTTCAAACAATTCGTCTTGTTTTGATATTCCTTCCTTTTTATCTTCTTCCTCTAACAGAATGACATTCGATATATCGACATTTGTATCAGCTTCTACAGTGCTGCTAACATCATGGTGCATTTCTACTTCTACCGTGCCGTTTTCTAGCTCGATATTGAGTGTTTCGATTTTTATTGGTGCATCGTCAGACTTACAAGTAGTCTTGGTAACCATCGATTCGTCATCTGTTATGGTCGGCTCTAATGGCGATTTTAGAGATTCCGGCTGTACTGCATGTGTAACATAGACATCTTCGACAGGAGTCTGCAAAACAGCAGATCGCTCAGCATCAATTAACGCTTGATTATCGACAGCGAGTGTATTTATGCCATTTACCTCAGTAGGAAAATGTTCGTATTTGTGTTCTTTCATCGTTACTGTTTCCATTTCTTTTGGCACTATATTTTCATCACGTTGTAAACTAGAAATGTTTTCATCATCTGGAAGATTAGTTAAATTTTCCGATTGCGATACATGCTCTCCCAGAGAAGGGAGCATTTCCTGCACCATAGTTTGTTCGGAATCTGTTAATTTTATCTTAGACTCTGTCGTCAAAGGTTCTTTTAACGACGCGCTTTCATCCACAATATTCAATGTGTCAGCTTCCATAATGTCATCATTTTTCTCCGCGATCGTCATCGGCTTCTCTGTGATTTCTTCTTTCGTTTTATCTTGACGCGTACTCATCATATCCTTAGCAAATGGCCCGAAAAACGGTCCTTGCATCGAAGTATCGGAAGTATGTGGCATTGGTATCTCCGATCTCTCCTGTTGTGTTTCAGTTGACTCTTCCGCAGGAACTAATATTTTGTGATCCTCGTTTTTAACCACATTGATACTAATATGCGGTATGTCTTGCTCGTTTATCTCTATCTCTTCGGGCTCCTCGATCACTTCTTCGGTGGTAGTTTCCTTACCATCTATAATAGTAACTTTCCGAATAATTTTGCGCGTCTTTTTGATGACTCGCTTAGTGACTTGCTGCACCACAGCATGAACGCTTGCAGTCCTCGTTTGATATTCACCACCCTCCATCAATATTTCCTCTTCGACCGGTTGGCAACTGATATCTCCTATTTGGCCTTGCGTCACCATGTGCGTGTACTGAGGTTCGGATTCGTACTCCTCCACGTTGATACCTTCGCCGGCGCCCGTGGTGACTTTACCACCGTAAATCTGTCTCGTTATAGTCTCTATGGTACCATCTGGTCTCGTTTTAGTTACGGTGACTTGCTGATCTCTCATCGCAGCCTCTGAAAAAGCTTGCATCATCAACGGCGTGTCTCCGAGTGCTGTCGACAGAGTAGACATGTGCTGCTGCGTAGTTTGTTTACTGACCGTGGTAGTACGTCGTAATTTTCTTACTATGATTCTTTTGGTGCCATCAGCATCGACAACTACCTCAGTGGTAATGTCATCCGGTTCGACTAAAACCGTCTCAAAAGACTGTGGCGCAGCATGGACAATGTTTAATTCACTTGTCGCGCTGTCGGTTTGTTTCGCATCTTGATACTTCATATTGACGACAATGTCTTCACTAGACAAGGCACCAGGTTGTTCCTGTACTAGTTCTTGGCTGGAATTAGCTGGCAAGGACTTGGTCGCTATCTCGATTACGTCGTGATCACCTTTCGTGGTTTTTAAGATCTTTATAGCCTCCTGCGTTTGAGCACCCTCGCTCGGTAGTAAAACTTGCGTTGTCTGCGTCGTGAGAGAATGACATGTAGTCGACGATGGAATTTGCGTCGTAGATGTTTGTTTTGTGAATTGGGCTTTCTTCTCTACAACGTCGTCGATTAATAAACTTTGACCCGTTTGTAAAGAAACATCAGCCAAAGATGGCGGACCGCCTCCCAGGGAAGAATTAATCGAAGGTGCTTCGTCCAGAGTAGCATTATCTCTCTCTGTCGATTCATCGTCAGCTTGTGCTTGCTCATCACAGATTTCCTACGAGATAACAATTGTCTTGAAAAAATGTGACGCTATATACACCATTATATCTTGAATAATTATTGTATGTATGTGTGCGGGCGTGCGTGCGCACAAATATACTTGTACTTTCTATATTTTAAGTTTCAAAAATGCGTCACTTTATTGTTACTGATTATTTTATTGATGAAAAATAAATGGAATATTAGTGTAATTTTGTGTATGTATATGCAATGTAAAATTTTCCTTGTTAAACGGATAAGAACAGAAATTTAAATTGGATACTACACGATTATTTAGAGTTTATAAATTTTATTTACTTCGTTGATTATATGATTCAACAAAATAATCTTTTTATACTGTATTTCTTTTTTGGTAATGCAACATGTTTCTTTTTGTTTATTTAATAAATCGTTTGTGAAGAAGCAATTCCAAAAATTCCCATTATTTTTCGTATCTTTATACATGTTCTTCTAAAAGTTTTTATTTAATATTTATTAATATATATATATATATATATATATATATATATAAAATAAATTATAATTAAAAGTATTTATGTTGCACTTAAATAATCTTTACATATATAAAGTTTTTAAGTAATATGAATAATATATTTGTCGTGTATTTTCTATGGAATATTGATATTCTATTGAATATGAAAATTATATAATATTTCTGAGAGATAACGCGTTTATTGAATCTTAATAATCTATCATCTTAATAATAAAATAAACATGTTGTATATACTTTACGCATAAAAAAATTATATTTATGATAATATTATCATTAATTATTCACATCGCTAAGTATGGCATATAACTACAATGATTAACAAGTGGAAAGTAAAGGGGAACAGAGGATTAATGAGAATTCTTTAATTGACATGAAATATTACAGCAATGTATTAACATTCCTTTTACTAATTACATGCAATGCCTATACTACATCCATCACCTTAAGATAAACAGAAAAATACATAACAATCATGATACAAATAATGTACAATAAATCAACAATAAGAAATAATGTACGATGCGTGATATCTATAATGAAATGTGCGTGATGAGAAGCGCATATGTCCGTTTGCAGCGACAATGATAAAGAAAAAAATATATACTCAGAATAATGCTTTCTATATAATTGAATTATTTATGTCCGTAAGCCGTGCAAAAGAAATTGTATTATTAAGCTCGATGACTAGAATGGCTCATATATGGCTGTACCATATGTCGAATAATGCGTTGTGTGTGTTTACCGCTTATTACAAAGAATTTAGCGTTTATGATTAAACATTACACATTGTTTCTTATGACTATCCAAATTTAAAGCAAATATTTCAAATTCTTACTCGAGGAAAAAGCAGAATAGTTTCAATGCAGATGTTCACATTACGATATTCACATCCGAAAATTCTTTTTATCTTACGTGCAGCTATTAATTAATAGCTTAATAATTTTTCTCTGATATTTACAGTTCTTATAATTTGCATTTACGAAGCCATCAACTTTGTAATAACCGCAACTTGCAAGCCTTTTATATTTTCTTCCGTATGGCATGAAACTTTGGCAACTTTCGAAACCAGAATTGATTTTCTCGAATCATTTGTAATATTATTTTAAGCGATCGAGGCACCAAAAAGAGTAATGTTTGCGAAAGCCCCCAAACTTTGGAAAACGTTGAATACCTGCTGCTTTTGTGAGAGCTGATTAATTGTGCTCACGAGGGCTTTCTTCAGTTCTATCGCCAGCGTGTTCACTTCTGGTAATGACTCGAGTTCTGAGACTCGATGCACGCGACTCCTTAATTCTTCCTGTAAAATCTGCCGATTGCGACAAGCGAAATATCGATATTATTTCACGTGCGGTGAAATAATTGTATTATATAATTATTTGATGAAATTAAGTCTCGATATTGAGAAATTGCGATATCTTAAATTTAATATATAATTATTTAATCATTAATGAAAAAAATAAGAACGTTAAATGTATGTTTCACTAAACCATTAGAATTAATTATATTATTATGCCGATAAATGATCCAACAGACCAACCTTGTTGGTGTTAAACGAATGCTGTTCGTCTATTTTCGATATGACACTTCTTAGCCAAGTGTCTGTTTCTTCGAGGAATAATTTGTAGGCATGAATTTCTTGGCTTCGTCTTTCTTGGCTTTCTCGTGCCTGTTCGACAGCTGCCCGTCCTTGTTCCGCTTGATTGAAAAGGGAAGTAACACGCGTGTGAATTTCCGTCAAAGCTACTAAAAGTCTTTGAGATTCAATATCAGCAGGAATCTCGCGTAATCGACTTTGAAGTTGTGCAACTTCCTCATCGTAGGTGCGAAGCTCCGTCAACATGGTCTAAAATAGATAAAGAGGATTTCTTGTGATTTTATAACATAATATATATATATTCATCTTTTAATTTTCTTGTACAATAAATATAAAATTAGCAAGAATAATAATATAAATTTAAAAGTCTCTTTTATTTTTCTCTTTTTTCAATTGATCTAGAATCATTCATTTTACATTCTTACCATGAGAGATGATAATATGGATTCTATGCTGTCCACAGGCAAATGAGATAGTGTTTCTTCGAAAGTTGAAAATCTTATTTGCAGAGAAGCGAGGCCTTCCTCAACGGTATCCTAAAACATAAATGCTTATTAGTAATTTTATTGATTGTGAGATTTATTACTATTTCAATTATGCTGTGCACACGACGAAGTCCAATCAATTTTTTCACGCTGCGCATTAATTTCGTTAGCATCGAAAACTTTAAGAAAACCTGTAAAAGAAGGTGTTGTATGATATGAGGTTACAAAATGCCACAGTATGAAACACATTTAATAAGGCATATCGAAATGAATATCATTCCTTTAGCGTTTATAATCATCCGTATATAAAAATATTTTTGTTACTATATGGAACGAAAAAATTTTCATGCAACATGTCAGTGAATATTTTGCTAAGCAATTCGAATGCAAAGACCTAACACGTAAAGTTGCCAGTAACCAAAGATCAAAAAAATTAAAATCAATTTTTATTCCTTATTAGCTGCTAATTCTTTATTATATAAATTTTCGTTTATTTATATTTTAATTTTAATTTTTTTTATTTATATTTTAATCTTTGGTATTACAAGCCGTAAAATAATATAACAATAATAAAATAATAAAAGATAGGCATGTGAAGTGTGCGTAATGTGAAGATACTATTGCAGGTAATAATATTTTTGTATATATATTTACGTAAGAGCGGAATAAGCACGTAAATATAATGCAGATAAATATTATAAAAAGATGATTAAATTATCACTATTTCATGCAAACGACAAAATATATTTTATTAATTAACTTTAATTTGTTCCATTTATTGATAGAAGATTAAATGTCCTGCTGTGAAGGATTAGAGGAAAGTTAAAATAATAATAAATATCGAGCAATAGCAGGAAGAGAGAGAGAGAGAGAGAGAGAGAGAGAGAGAGAGAGAGAGAGAGAAAGAGAGAGAGAGAGTAATATATACATATAAAATACATATACATATACAAATAAATGTACACATACATACACACATACACACACACATGCACGCTACACCAATGGATCACCACACAGGAAAATTACACATACTGGACGTATTCAACAGCAAAAAGAAAACGTAATCGTTATATAAAATGAGAGATAGAGAGGGAATGAAAAAACTAGCGGTAAACAATAGAAGGAAACGAGTATATACATGTACATGTATATACACATATGACAGTGGACTTGGTTCAAACTCGACTAGAAGACCGAACACTGGCCATGACGGTGATCGCACCTGGATCCTGTGTATCCTCTTTTCAATCTCGTCTTCGGCCGTTTCTTTCTCCACTCCCTCATCCGAACTGCACCGCTGCACAGATCCTTGCGTCGTCTCTTTACCTAAATGCAGTTTGGATCGTGGACGAAGATGGGCGGAGGTCGACGATTGGATGCAAGTGCTAGGATGATCGGGACTTTGGAAGCTATTCGAAGAAGAGGTGGCGGGACACTCCTTCGGATTTACTTCGGAAGCGTCTACGAGAGACTTTGTATACGACTCTGTCCGTGGATCGTGGGAAGGAGGAGACGTTAAAGGGAGATCGGGGGACGACAATCGGACATTGTTTGGCAAGCAACGATCCAACGACAAGTCTGAATCGATCGCTTGATTGTTAATCACGTCAAGTGACAAGCTATGATCCGGTCTTCGCTCGCTCTCATTCGATAGATAAGTGCTATAGTCTCTCCAGCTACATATGCCACCGGGCAAATCGGCTATCATACGCTCCGTATTGGGTGTGCCGAAAAAGAAACGCGAATCTCCATAAGTGTCCCGTGATCTACCGCCCGAATTGTCGCCGTCGCGATCATCGTCACGATCTCTGGGACGATGACGATCGTCGGAATCGCGGACGTTACTGCGTGAGAGTCTTTTTTTCATGTGAAAGGCTAAGTTCTCGAAGTGATCGCGTTCAGCTTCGTGATAGCGTCGTTTGTCAGGCCAAAAACCATGGTCGATGGAGAGGCATTGCGAATTAGATAATTTGGACGTAGGTTGCTCCTGCAGGAAAGATACCGATGAGACGTTCTTACGTCGGTCAGGACTTAAAACTAAAATCTCATCCGCTATGTAGAATTGTACTTTGGACCCCTTCAGGGGCTCGATTGAAACATCGAAGTTCTCTTGTTCGATGCTCTCAACGCGTTTCAACTCGTCTTCATCTTTGAAGGAGTGTTGCCCGGCCGATGATAATTCACCGAGGGGTAATGAATGCTTTATAGCGCTATTCAAGTCGCTCGAAGATTCTACCGGCGTGTCATTAATTTGCTGAACATCACTAATTTGATTGGATTGATCTATTCTAATTTTATCAGATTTATTTATTTCAATATCATCTGGGATTGATTTTATTTCTGTGACGTCTCTGTGAATCATCGGAATATCGTGTAATTCCAAAGTGTCATCAGATTCAGGATCGAGTTTTTGTATTTGAGGCAATTCGGTTTCTTTTGTATCAGCTATCGTCAAAGTGATGTTGCAGTCGGATGCAGCTTCTTCGGGTTTAATGAATTTTTCTTTTTGATCAATAATTTGTTCAGTCTCCGTGATAGTTTCCATCTTTTCTGAATCTACTATTGATTCTGCAGCATTATTCTTTTCTAATGTTTCTATTTGTTTTTCATAAGTTTCCTGTTCTTGCGTTTCTCCTTTTATTTCTTTATTAGATGTTTCAAAGTTTTCTTCAAGTTTCTCAATTGAAACATGTTCTTCTTCTTCCCTGGAAGCGAAACTAGATTCTGTTTTCAAGTCTATTTCTTTTTCAGTTACATCAATCATTTTGCTTGTAGTCGGTACATTTTCAGTTATAATATCAATAATATCTTCTTTTATTTCTTTATTAGATGTTTCAAAATTTTCCTCAAGTTTCATCTCAATTGAAACATGTTCTTCTTCTTCCCTGGAATCGAAAGTAGATTCTGTTTTCAAGTCTATTTCTTTTTCAGTTACATCAATCATTTTGCTCGTAGTCGGTGCATTTTCATCTATAATGTTGATAATATCTTCTGTCGGACATTTTGACAAATCTTTTTGTTCCTGAGACTCTTGTATATCTTCGATTTTAGCATCATACTTTTTCAAGGATTTTTCTTCAAGTTCATCTCCCTTTTCAGATGGCGGATTTTTAATTTCAGATATTTCCGTTTCTATAGAAGATGAAAGTAATTTAGATTTCTCAATATTTTCTTGTTTAATTGTTTCTGATGTGACAGAGGAATCGTTTTTATCAATTGTGTCTATCAAAATTTGTGAAGTTTTAGTTGATTCGTCCTCTACTTTTTGATTTTTGTCATCTTCCTCTTTGGTCTGTGTAATATCAGGTATTACATCTTTAGACACATTTATAATCTCAACGTTTTCTGCAGTAAATAGAGTTTCACCTTCCGTGGAATCAGCCGTAAATGTCTTTATGGAATCTTGAGGCTTGGATTTATTTGACCGTTTTTCTTTCTTTGCTTTAGCTTTACTCTTGTATTTTTCTTTATCTTTTATAGGATTTATTTGTGAAAGTAATGTTTTATTTTCGGTTACGGCTTTAGATGTTTCTGAAGACTTCTCAGTGGTTTCTATTGTAGTTTGTATTTCAGATGACGATTGATCATTTTTCTCTGCAGATGCAACATCTATTCTATCTTTTAACGCAATATTTGTATCTTCTTCTGTTATTTCAACTGTTTTTTCGACTTTAATATCTTCGGTAATATTTGTGTTGTCAATTGAGTCGATGGATTTGTTTTGAACAGCATCTTCTTCCACATCAAATTCTTTTTTCTCGCTTGGCTCATTTTGCAATAAAGTTTTTGCTTTTTTCTTTTGCCTTCGTTTCTCCGCTCTTGTAAGTTTAGAAATTTCTTTCTGTTTCATTATATTTTCTTCTATTGGTTTTATGTTCGATTTTTCATACATCTTTGTATCTTTTGGTTCGTCAACTGTTATGTTCTGCTCGCTTTCTTGTTCTATAGTTTTATCAAAAATCATAGTCTGTTCAATATTTTCTTGTTTGTTAATCTCCTCCGCTGGAATTTGTTCACTCTCCGAATTCGTTGATTTACTACATGCTATATCTGTAGTACCTGCTTCTTCGAGTTTTATTTTTACTTCGTCGTCTAATTTTGGCTCCGCTAATTCCTTCTTCTCTTCCAAATCTCCAGTTACAACCGCTTCCTTACTTGTATCGGATACATCTTCAATCAATTGTTCAGTAACGACTTTTACTTTCTTATTTTTCGATTTTTTCTTAGATTTCGTAACATTACTCTGCTTTGTAATTGGACATGTTTTTACATTTTTACATTCATTCTCTTGCGCATTTGTATCTTTAATTAATTGTGTTTCTTTTATCGATTGGTCTTCTATATTTTTAATTTCCTGATTTTCAGTCGCAATATTTTCTGAAGGAAAATTAGATATTTCCACCTCAAATTTCTGCTCCTCTTTTGGTTTTTCGATATGCGTTAATTCTTCTTGCTCATTAACTTGAGTGTGTTGTTTTATTTGACCCTTGCTAAGCTTGTTCTTCTCCGGCTTACTTTTTCTGGCTTCAAATGTTTCATCTTGTTCGGGCTTTATTTCTTGAATAGTTTCACTCTCAACATTCTGAATTTCACTCTCGGTAAGTAATTTTTCATTTTCTTTTTTACGTTTTGAATCTTTTTGCCGCTTTGCATTTTTATTCTTAGATACATTCATCTTTTCAGATGGTTCAGCAAGTTCTTGCACAACATCTTTTTTAATAATACTCGCTAACTCATCGCGTTCCACGTCACTTACTTTTTGTTCATTTTCATAACTTTGTGTAGGTTCCTTATTCTTATCTTCGATTTTTTTCTTGGTTTTAATATTTTCAGATTCTACATTTTTAATTTTCTTTTTGTCCAAATTTGAAATTTCTCTTTCAATTGCGTGTCCTTCATTTCGTCTAGCACTTCGAGAACGCGATCTAGAACGTCTAGAGCGCAATTCTTTTCGATTGACAAATTCCATGAAACCTTGTTCGTCTACTTGAATCAAATTCTCTATCGGTTTTGGTTCCAAGGTTTCTTGTACATAAATTTGAACCTGCGCCAAAGGTCGTTGTCCTACAGCCTGTTCTAGCTTAGAAAGATTTTGCTCGGGACTAGGAACATTATTAACGTCTGGCAATTCTATCGATTTTTTGCCAACTACTGCAGCCCATGTTTCCGCTTTCGTACATATTTCGTCGTCTTTTGATTCAGTATAATTAACACAAGTAGACGAGAGAGATGTTTCTTTCTCCATTTCTTCTATCCAAGAAATTGACTCGTTTTGGAAAATAGGATTTGCTATGTCTGTTTTTTGATCGGCAGATTGATGCATTATTTTATCAACTTGTTTATCCTGCTCTAATAATTTTTCCGTATTTAAATTTTCATGCATCTCGTTGGAAGTAGATACTTTTGCATTGTCTTTATCATCGAGCTTCAATTGAATAGGTTCAACACATGTGTTAGGAGTAACGCATATTTCTTCTTGAGTCTCGGAAGGAGTTCGTCGAGAAGAGGCTGCGACTTGTGCATAAGATTTATTGGTTTCTTTAAGCTGTTTATTTGATTCAATAGATTTTTCCGCGATTGGTTCGATAGTTTCATCTGTTGTTTTTAACTCGTCGTTAATATCTTTGCTTGTTTGATCTTCTAATGGAGAGGAATATATATCTTGTTTTGATGAAATTTCACACGAATTATCCACGACGGACGCTTGTGGTTGTTCCACAATATTTTTGGCGTCATTTATTGTATCTTGACAAATAATAGCGAATGTTTGAGTATTCAAAGAATCATCTTTCAAAATAGTTGTTTCTACATCTTTAGTCCCGACGATATTTGCCCACGATTTGGCATTCGAATTTAATGGACTGTCGTATTTAGGCACGTTATTCTCTATTGATTCTTGTTGTTCTTGTACAATCAATGATGTTTCAAGTACATTCGGTTCGATTTCCGTTGTAGAAGATGAGCTACTCTGATCTTCTTGATGTTTCGATATTGCTGATTTATCTTTCAATTTGATTGCAGACTTTTCCATTTGCTTCTTAGATTTTTTACTAGATTTTGATTTGTTTTCCTTTGACAATGGTTTTTCGTGTGCTTCATCAAGAGTATCTTTTTCTTTCGATAAAGACTCATTTAAAACTTTCAATTTTGCAGTTTCGCTTTCAGTAGCATCTGTTTTAATTTCAACGTCGTTTTGTTTCTTAGATGCAGATTTAATCTTTGTATCTTTGGATTTTGCATCTTTATGTTTTGGTTCCTTTTTCTTCTTTAGCTGGTTCTCCATTTTGTCGCTTTGCTTCTTGCTATCCGTATACAAAATATTATTTTGAATATCTTCTATGCCAATATGATATTCATCCTTAACAGCAATTTCCATTAGAGTTGCATTATCTAAGGTTTCAATTTGTGCCTCTTCCTTCTCAATTTTTTCCTCCGACTCTTCGATCATTATTTCCCTCTTTTCAATTTTTTCTTCTTCTTTTTCAATTATTATTTCTTTCTTTTTATCCTCTTCTTCTGATTTTTCAATCTTTGCTTCTTTCTCAATCTCTTCTTCTCGTTTTTCAATAACTGGTTCTTCCTTCTCAATATTTTCTTCTTTATTTTTAGCTTGATCGTCAAGAGTGACATTTGTTATTGTTTGAGTTTCTAGGACATCAAAGTCGTCATCAAGTATTATTTCCTCGTCAAGAAGATCAATCCAAGCATCATCAGATTTCAAGTTTATAGATGATATTACTGGTGTTGTTTTAATTTCCCTCTTTTCAATTTTTTCTTCTTGGTTTTCAATCATTATTTCTATCTTTTCATTCTCTTCTTCTGGTTTTTCAATCTTTGCTTCTTTTTCACTTTCCTCTTCTCGTTTTTCAATAATTGGTTCTTTCTTCTCAATATCTTCTTCTTTATTTTTAGTTTGATCGTCCAAAGTGACATCTGTTATTGTTTGAGTTTCCGGAACGTCAAAGTCATCATCAAGTATTATTTCCTCGTCCAGAAGATCAATCCAAGCATCATCAGATTTCAAGTTTATAGATGGTATCGTTTTAATTTCTAGTAATTCTTGCTCGGTCTTAATATTATCTTTCGTAACAGCTTCTTCCACTTGTATATTTGTGTCTGTTATTGCTCCATCATCTATCAATTGATTATCATTGATTTTTTCAACGGGTAATACAATGGAAGTATTTAATTCTGTAATTTCGCTGATTGCTTGCGATGCTGAATCAATGCTAGTACTATTTATATCTTCCGTTATATCAGTAAGTGATATAGTATTAGCAGATGTGTCAATTAATGTTACATCTTGTTGTAAAGTTTCTTCAGCTGACCATGCATCTATTGTCATTTCCTTTTCAATAGTTTGTTCAATACTATCTACTGCAGAATCGGAATCATCAGTTGATGTAGATATAGATTTTTCAGAGATGGACTTATTTTTAATCCATTGTGATTCAATCTCGTAAAAACTGCTGATCGGATATTTTGATGTCTCTATGATAAGAGCGTGTCTTCTGCGATTAATTTCAGACATTCCTTGGTTCGTTGATTTAGGTTTCATCACTGATTCTTGTACAATTCTTTCTATACTTCTCTCTTCGGATTTTGCTGGAATTACAGTAGGGGGCGGTTGAGCCTCTTTCACAACTTTGACTATTTTGAAATGACGGTAGAAATTACTTTCTGCATGATTATAAGCGTGGCGATCCATGGCATAAGGCTTGATAATATCTAATAAATAATCAGGTATTATTTGCTTCTTTGTCTTTACATTTTCGGATATATTCTCACTCTTTATTTTACTGATTGTGAGAGCATCTTCACATTTCGTCTCAATTTCTGTTGGTTCATCTACCGCTTTTTCTTGATTATTCTGAGTTATTATTTCGACACTGACTTTATTTTCTTCTGGTTCTTTCTTTTCTATATTCGGAATATATTCGTCTTGATTAATTTTGTTAATTAATGCAGTATCCGTTTCAGAATTATTAGCATCTTGATTTTGTGTAATATTATCATTATTCGGTGAAATAATGTCGTTGGAGAACGTTTCTTCTTTCTCCGTATTTTCTTCAGAAATTTTTATGTCCGATTGATGAGGTTCTTCCTGCTTAATTGTAAATTCATTTAATAAAATTGATTGTTCCTGTTTTTCGACGTTATCATCTAAATGAGTAACAAGTTCTTCTTTCTTGTCCTCATGCGCAATGATCGATGCATCATGGAATTTTTCCGAAATACCCGGGCAAATCTTCCTATTTTGCATGTTATCTAACGAAGCTGATTCATCGGATGTCGTTACGTTCTCAGTGGAACTCGCGGAAATTAAACCTATTTTTTCAAAATTTATCGCCTGATCTGATTGTGCCGGACAATTAGAAGCGGGAAAATCGTTCGGTACCCTAGCGTAAGTAGTGGTGAGACTAGCCTCTACGGTTTCAGGACGCAAAGTGATCAATTCGGTAACTTTGGAGCCTACGATTTTGGGTAGGGGTATATTTTCTAAAATCTCCACCGACTTAACGGATTTGACATCGGCAGGTTTGACTGTTATCGATCCTGGGACACTGGTGCTGGTAGTGGTTACGGTAATAACCGTTTTTTCTATGATTAAAGCCTTTCCTGTTGGCGATTGCTCGGATTCTAAATTGTTAGAAATATTTTCCTCGTGTTGCTCATGTATTTCAGCCTCGCCTACCGAATAGCTTGAAACTTTAGAATCGGATTCAGATTCAGTGTCTTTTGATAATTCTTGCGTCTCATCGGTCTTAACGTTATCAATTTTTGCAGGCGAAGATGGATTTTTGTCTAATTCTTCTTCTTTGGGACAAATTTTTGCCTCCGAAATGTCTTTTTTCTTTATTAAATGTTCCTTGAAAACAATTGTTTCTTGGAACTTATCGTGAAAGGAAGAAGAATGCTTTGTCTGTTCAGTGATTTGTTTAGGAGGTAAGACTTCTTTCCTTTTCGTGCATTTCGATATTGCTTTTTTGGACGCAACATTTTCTGATTTTTCAATTTTTATTGGAAGATCTTTATCGATAATATCGGTCTTAATATCTTCGTTGTCTTTGACAATTGATTTTTGTTTAATTGATTTTTGATCAAATTTCCCTTCTTCGATAATTTCATGTTTTTCTTCCACATTCATATCATCCACTTCTGGAGATCGCTCAGATAATGCAAGAGAAGTTTCTGTAGCAGAAATAATTTCAGGTAAATTTTCAAATGCGGTAGAATCAGTCAATTCCTTTTCCAGTACTGTAACTTCTGCAATCGACGTAGAGACTGCTTCTGGTTTATCAGCATCTTTGATAAACTCCATAGTTTTGCTATGTTCATTTTCCGTTATTGATGTAACTGGCTCGACGATTGCAGTCTGATCCACATCTTTCAATTCGGCTTTCTTTGCAGCTTTTATATCAGTTGCTGATGTGGTAGATTGAATGACAGTTTTGCTCTTGGACTTGTCCTTTTTCTTACTTTTAGAAACAGATGGTACGCGTTTATTAACTTGGCCAAGCGTCGCATTCTCACTTTCATCTATTTTATTAAGGCTATTTTCAGCATCCGCTTTTGATTGAGTAACACAACTGTTATCGGGTACATGCTCAGTCAAATTTGTTTTTTCTACAGATTGATCTTGAATGGCATTTTCTATCGCAGATGTATCTGAAGATTTTGAGAAAGATTCGGTATTAAATTCATCTTTTTCTCCAACAGATTTATTTTCGCTTTCAACAAGCTGCGGTGTTTTAATGTCATCTTTGCTTATTTTATTTTTATCTTGAGCATTCAATTTGGCTTTCTGAGATTTCTTGTGTTTCCCCGTTTTCATCTGACGTTTCTCTGTCTCGCGTTTCTCAGTTTTCTCAATCATTTTAATATGGCTACTGATAGCTTTTTTCTCATCCATTGCATCTGCGGCTTCTCTTGTAAGGTTTTCCGTTTCTAATTTTGCTTCGTTAAGTTCCAGTTTTTTATTTTCTGTCAATTCTTCAGCTTTATTTCTATCGTAACATATTTTACCATTTTTACACGTAATATCAGTTTGTACTGTATCTTGTGTTTTTGAAAGTATATTAGATGGTAATATGATTTCTTCTGATGGAATTTCAAGATTGGCAATTATTTCTGCTGTTTCTGCAATTTCAGTTTCGATTATCTGTTCTGATTTTGGAACATTAATTTCTTGATTTTTCGATTCCTTGATTTCCGTGTCATTCAAATTTATTTTAGTTTCATCTAGATCTTTGCTTGGCGGAATTAATGTATGATCGATTGCAGCCTCAGATTTTATTTTGCTTTTAGCTTTGTCTTTCTTTTTAGAATTAGTTTTATCTTTCGCATTGCTATTTACTTTATTTGCAATTTCTGCTGTGTCAAGTGCCTTTAAATTTGAATCTTTTGTTTTGATATTAATTACTGATTCAATAGACTTCAGATATTTATCGTCAGTTGTTTCTTTAGCATCTTTTTCAAGTTTTTCTTGAATTTTATTACTCTCAGCGTCGAATTCTGACTTTTTCAATTTTGCTTTTTTCTCTTTCTTTGAAGTATCTTTCTGTCTCTTTGTGCTTTCAATTTTTTCCGTATTTGATTTCTCATTATCCAACTCGATCTTGCGAGCGACTGACAGTTCTGCAATTTCTGTTATATTGCTTTCTTCTATGTTTATTTTATCATTTTTCTTATTTAGAATATCGGATTGTTTCTGGACTTTATTCTCGGAAGATTCTTTATTTTGTTCTTTGTCTTTTGTATGCTTATCCGTTTTATGTTTCGTTTTAACATCGGATTTGTTAGAATTAGCTTGGCTATCGTTACTGATTTGAGATTGGTTTCTTAATATTTCGTTGGAAATGTCTTTCTGGACTTTCTCTTCACCGTTAGAATTTGAAACTTTCATTTTTGTATCTTCTGTATTTTCTTCTTTATTTTCTTTATTTTGCAATGTAGTTTCTGACAATACATTTTCTTTTATTTTCGTTATTTCTTTAGCCTTTCTTGACTTCACGGATGTTTCGCTAGATTTTTTCTGTTTTTTATCAGCATCATCTTTAGATTTTCCCAGCGCCTCGTTAGCAGAATTTTGAGATTTGTTTTGTTCTTCGATTTGATCTTTAAGCTTTTCTCTTTGGGATTTTATTTTCTGCTTATCCATATCTTCGATCTCTTTAAGAGCTTTGTCAATTTCATCTCCTACAGATTTGTTTACCTTTCTTTTCTTTTGCTTACGTTTCTTTTCTTTCAGCAGATTCGTATCTTTGGATTCAATCATTTGTTTTTCTCGTTGCACTGGTTTTTCTTCTCTTTTCTCCTTTTCTGAGTTATCACTGATGATATTAGATTCGTCTTGCGTTTCCAATTGTTTCGACGGATTTAATTTTTCCTTTTTCTGTTTCTCTATTGGCTTATCAACAAGCTTTCGAGATTTTTTCTCATCTGTTTGTTCAGTTTCATTCGACTGCTTCTTTTTCGTCTCCCGTTTCTTTATCATGTCCCAGTCGTTCTTCTTGGACTGTTTAAATTGCTTGGATTTTGAAATCGAATGCGAATCTTCCTCGCACTTCGATTCTTGCAACGGCGATAATTCATTGAGTGATAGAGAGGATTGCTCCTTATTCTGTTGATCCACGGTCGGCGATTTGTTGGTGACACGTGTTGAAGTAATGCGCGGACTAAGTCCCTGCGAAAGTATTTGCGCGTAAGAAAAGATTTGCGCTTTGGTTTCAATATCATTCAACTCATCTCTTCCTTCCGTTTTGGCTGGAGAAGCTTCCGAGACATTTACAAGCTCTTCCTGTTTAGATTTGTCGACAGATTCAGTCATAATCGCGTCTTCGGGAATTTCCTGTCTAGCTACTGGTGCTTCAATAGGCTTCTCTACTAACATCTCGTGTCTCCCGTCATTAATAGAACATTGTTGTTGCATCGGAGTTTGTTGATAAACATCCGACGTTGGGAGATATGCAGTTTGCACCACATAATGCTCGGGCGCGTAAGTTAAAGAGCTGTTATTATAGGGATTCAAGTTTGTAGGATCGAGCTGTTGCACTTGTTGATGACCGGAAGACGGATAAACATACGAACTTACTGGATACGTTCTGAGCTGAGACCCGATAAAACCTATCAACTTCGGCATCGGTTCCGGTATATAATCGTAGATCTCGGTTGACTGCACTGTCTCGGCGACTGGCTGTCTCGGCACGTTCTCGTAAGGCTTGGCGTGTTGCAGCATATCTTCCAAGTCTTTGTCGGCCCAGTTGCTCGGCCCAGATTCGGCGTAGCTTTGTTCCTCTCCTTTTATCGCGGAAATTTCAGAAGTTTGGCAGTAAGCCTCCGCGATTTGTACATTTTCTACCTGCGTCTCTTGCGTTGGCGCGACTTGAGAAGCTTCGGCGATTTGTTGAGCTTCGTCTACGTTCGCAGCGAAGCTCACGGTGATTTGTTCCGTGCGGGGAGATTGAGTTCGACAGCGTGAAGAGTCCCCGGATAAAGGAACCATCTCTTGCCTGGCTGGCTCCGCAAAAGCAGTGTTAGCCTGCGTCGTCTGCATACATCCGCGAAGGATATCGGCATAGGAAGTGGAACCGGGAACCCACATAGGACTGGGCGAACGTCCTTTTTGTTCTTCACGCGGTGCCAGAATGTTTCTTGAGGATTCGGTTCGGGCTTCTTGCCTGCGAGTCGCGTTAAATCGACGATTGTCGTATCTGTCAACTTGTTCCTCTTGAATCGCCTTCGAACCTCTCCCATTAGACGAGTTCATCTTGCGCGTAGGTGATCGTCCTCGATGAGTTACGGGCGATTCAAGAACTTCAGGCGTATCTTGCTGATTCTCTTCTACTCCTATTGCAGCTTGATCGTCCAATGTCTGCCCGCATTGCGCCTGCATTTTAGTTTGTGGTTGCGTCTTTGGTTTTGGGGTCCAAGTTTTGGGGTCAAAGTCAATTTCCTGAATTTGTGCTTTGGACATCTGTGCTTCATTTAATGGAAGACATTCTACGGTCGATTTCTGAACTATAAGCGCAGGTCGTAATACTTGCGTGACCGTGGTAGAAGGGGTAACATCCCGTTGCTGTCTGTACGGACTACAGTTTCTCGAACTCGGGCTAGTACGTCCCGCTGCGATATCGGCATACGAGGCCTGACCGATGAGCCGGTATTCGTTTGAAGATACGTAGTACGGATCTACCGCGTATATTTGATCCAGCAGTGTTTTGCTGCGTTGCTTCCAATCTTCCATCCGTTCCTGCAGGCTCTGCTTTATCCATCACGGAAGGTCAGCCAAGGCACAACAATGGAATACATATGTCAATTTCGAGGATTCTTTTTACATTCTCATTATGGGATAGGGGCAATAATTATTTTTCAAGCTAAGATTTATTTGAGCGAGGGTATGAAAAAAAATCTCTATCGAATCTCGCAAGATACACAAGTTAACTGAATGGGTTTCGTGAATGAATCAACAATACTCGATTGGCAATAAACAGGACTTTTATTTCCCTTAATTATATCGTGTGGCTATTTAAGCAAAGATATTTAAGACGAAAGAGAGCGCTCATATACATGATAACATAATCCTTTTTTTTCCTTTATTATCAAAGATAATATAATCCCGTTTAAAATATTCGATTAGAAAATCAAAAATCGATAAAAACTCTTACTTAGAAAAGTTGTGTAAAGCTAAAAATATATAATGCTTGATTTTATCGAGGAACGCCGACGACGAAGACGAAAGTTTCATATTATATTTTCACTAGTTTGTCCTTGTCGTTAATATCGCCTCCGATCAAGTTTTAGACATGGAACTTGATACGTGGCAGTTATCGTCATCGTTATTCTTCGATTGTCACGGTAGCAAATAAAGATATTAAAAAAACTCAAGAGTGATTTGATTCGTATAATTAATAACCGAAGTTAACGACAATCAGATCCGAACACATCCAACGGCAATAGATCTTTATTATCATGGGTCCGAGGGTTCTAAATCCGGTGTCCCTCGTTGCACGATTAGCTTGGATCTTTCAGTACGTGCCTGAATTTTACTTTGCAAGGATTTGATTTTTTCGCGGCAGATCTAATCGCGCATAGAATCGTAAACGCAAAATGAGAGCGCATAACACGTCGAACGAGCGAGAGAAAAAGAGTGAGGAATAGGGATGTTGAGGAGGAGGAAGAGTATAGAATAAAAGAAGTGACAATCAGAAATGACGAATGATGAGCAAAATGAAGACGATCCCGATAGCAGCCCCGAGGATGGCGTAGACGATAATGATTGCAAAAAGGGACGAGATACGATAACGACCAAGGTGATGAGATAAAAGGATGTGATAGTGACAGATAAAGTAGCACAGGCAATCGTTGGAAGTAGCGAAGGTGTAAAGGAATAGGAAGTATAGCAAAGAAAAATTCATAAATGAAATAATTGGTCAAATGTGAGCAACAAAATAATAATCAACAGAATCTAATTATAAATCGTAAGAAAAGAAGGCTTGGGTATTCTGTCTGTATGTCCTGCACGGTCTCTCGACACGCTTCTTGACATCGGAGGTCACTTGATTTTCGTGGGACTTTCGTAAGTGCCCGTTTCCACGTTAAATAAAGGTCCAAAGATTACATAAGGAATGTGTATATGTGAACGGTGCATGACACATTTTAAGTGAATGTGCGAGAATATACTTCGCGTTTTGCCATGATCTTTCATCCTAATTAGCGTGTGTGCGTGATTGCTTATTTACGTTGATGCACACGCGCGCGCGCACGTGCCCGTGTAGACACATATGTATATACGTGTAAGAGCGAATATATACGAAAATGTAGCGATGTACATCGTACGAAGTAAACAATAAAAAAAATAAACCAGAAAAAGAAACACAGAAAACAAGCAAAATCAAGTAATCTCCTTCAGAACAACAGTTCGAATCATTTTAGGAACTAAGGTACGTACGTCTGTGAAGTAGATTATGTGTATACGTAAGTGTGAGAAAGAAAAACGAAACAAAATAGTTAGAACATGATACCAACCAGCACCCCGTAAAATAATGTACCACCATGATGAACACGTAGAACCAAAATCTTTCATTTTCCAATTTGTTAACAAGTGATAAATATTATCATGTAAAGAAGAGTAGAATAAATTACTTCCTAATCAATTTCCAATTTTCGCATTGTTTATTGCAAGAAGCGTAGGATAGGCAAATTTAATAATTATTAGTAGATTATATAATTATATGATAGTAAGATTTGATATAAGAATTTTTAATTAGACATTTTTTTTTAGAATTATGCGTTAGGCAGGTAATTTATCTAAAATTTAATATAAATAATAACAAGGAGTTTGATTGATAAATAAAGTTTTGCAGGTGAGGATACGAAAATAAGGTTTGCAAATGAAAGAAAAATGTAAGATGTTATGAAATGAAAGCGGGTATAATATACACATGACCAAAAACATCTTCATACAAATTAATTATATTAATATTATTAAATTTTTAATATAATTTAATTAATTCATATTATTTGATAATTAAATATAATAATTTCGACTTGATAAATTCGATCATAAACTGATGAAAATGTTTCATCCAAGAAGATGTTTTCGCTGATGGTTGTTTATACATATAGTTATTCGCCATTTCTTAATAAAATTTTATATTGAAAAAATATTACTCGATAATATTCTTTTCATCATTATAAGTTTGTGGAATTTATTTTAGAAATATTTCGAAATATAGGTTTCTTTCTGACATGGTAAGATAAAATGGCTAATAACTCGGAAACATGTTCTATATACATATATGGTTAGTGGCTCGATCGACGGTTAGTTAGAAGTGCATTTCTGATTGTGCTCTATTGCTATTTTTAAATAAAAAAAAAAAATTTGCCTAACCGCGCACGTGAAAACGCTGAAAACTACCTCCGACAATAGCACGCACGATACAATAATTCAAAGAGTTATAATAATAAAGGAACGCGTTTTTTCTTGGTGGTGGTTTTGAGTTGGTATCGAAAATGTCATTAAATGCCAAAATTAACTGCTGCTTCAGCGCACTTGTGCAAGTAATGGAAAAAAGATTAGCCTACCTGTTGCTCTTGGAAAGCCTTTTCTCGATCGTTTGTCATATACGTCGGGCTGAGCACTGTTCTCAGCTGTTGCTCCACCTGCACGATACATTGTCTCAATTGTTGAATTTCCTGAAACGAAAACAAAACCATCTTTCGCTCGCGATACAGAGAAAAAGAGAATTGTGAATGATTTGTGATCGATCGGCACTTTTTCCCAATCCGCTAACCTGTTGATATTGATCTATCTGCGCTAAACAGACTTCTAGAGAACTGGTTTGTTCTTTGACAGTGTTGTGAAGAGCATTGAGTTCGGCGATCAAATCGTCAGCTGCGTTTCTCACTCGGTTATCACCGCCGATACCGGACCTAAAGTGCACCTCGAGCTTCTCTACCGAGATTGTGATCTTCGTCTTTTGGATCGCGATGTCGCTAAGCATTTTCTCGCGGATCGCATGCTGATCGCGCAACGATTTCTTCTTGTTCTGCGGCGACTCCAATGTCTGTCTGGCTTTCTCCATCCAATTTCGCGCGTCCTTCATTTTCTTCTCACATTGCTCCCATTCTTCGCTGGCCTCTTGCAGCAATGCGTTCTGCAATACGGGGACTTTCGGTTTAATTGAAATAATAATTGTTTAGATATCAATTCAAGATTCACTAGTTATTCACTAACCCTTTCCAATAGCTGACCCTCGACCTGTACTTTGCCCTCTTCCGCTTCGGCCAGCTTTTCTGGCAAATCCCCTACGCTAGTTACCTGACCGATATTTTCTAATTCTCTACTCATATCGCTAAGATTTTTATTCACTTGCTTGCAGCTCTTGACCGCCGTCTATAAAATGAAGATAGTGTCAGCTGAGTACCGTTATGTATATTCTAGAATGCGAAAATGACTGTTTCTCCACATACCGAGTATTCGTGCAGTCTTTGTCTGGATTGCACAAGGGTGCTGAGCTTGAGCGGCTCGACTAGAAATTGTTTCTTTTCTTCCGTCCATGCTTTAACATCCGCATAAAGAGTTAGGAACCTCTGCCAGGCATCTAAGGTGTCGCCTACAATTTGTTTCTTCTCCTCCAACCAGCTTTTGACTTGCGCCAACTGCTCGGTGAGATTGTTGATTGTGCTGTTGATCAACTCCTTCTCGGCGTCATCTCTTGTATTCTTAATGATGGTTTGCCCGTTTTTCGTCAATCGTTCGAGCCTGTCACTGATTGTGCCCAGCTCATTCTGTATCTGTCTGAGATGTTCCCTGAGAACGGCCGGCTCGATCGATCTGTTTTGCACCTTGAGTTCAGCCTGTCGGATCCATGCCTGCACTTCATCCACGTCGGTCAGATAGTCCGATCTGGTGGTCCTGGCTCGTTTCTGCTCTCTCTGTTTCTCCTCCATCGCTTGTGCTGTTGCCTCGGCACAGAGTTCGAGTGCGGTCAAATGCTGAGTAATGTCGCTCGGTACCAGCTGCTGGCTAGCTTGGTACCGCGCCTTAATGCTTCCTGAGAATTTTTTCGCAGTCTCGACGAAGTCCTCGACTTGCGACTGCAAGCCGCCTAGTTCAGCCTCGATTGCGTCTTGATCAATGCCGTAAACGTATAAGTTCGAGGCGCTTTCGCGCGCCTCGTTCAATCGTTTCCGCAAACGCTCGATCTCACGCTCAATGTTCTCGAGCGCCTCCAAATCTTCGCTCGCCTTTTCGGACTTGCCACGAAGCGAGCCAATGAGTCTGAAATGACGATTCAGACAGTGACTTTTTGTGAATAGCGAGAACACTTCTCGCAGAGATTAAAGAAGCGGCGCTTAAAGATATACTATTTTTACATAGACGCATTGAATGCATGATAATGTAAATAAATACAATTAAACATTTAAAGGAAGATTTTTTAAGAACGTTTTATTGTTTAAATAAAACTATATATCTGATTAACATATTTATTCCTATAATATCTCTCCTGATAGAAAAGATTGGATATAAATACCATTAATTATCAAAAATTTTATAGTACAGATTATTTATAAATTAAGTGGTATAAAATGTATAATTAAAAATAATTTTTATTTTCGGCAACATTGCATAACTCTTTGAAATATTGCTCCGACGACATAATAGTACAAATAAGTATAAATTAGAGAGACAGATATATTACATTAAAGATTCGCGTAAAAAAGATTTTATGAAATTAGTAGATTGAAAAACTAATTATTTACAGCGAGGTGAGACAAATTTAGAATCGGAAATGCGTGTCGTTGTGTTTTCGCCTGGCCCGATCCCAGGCGAAGTCGCAGAGTCGGGGCAGCCTTGGCTAAAAGTAGACGAAGAAAGTATGTACCAACGGGAACTTAGCTAACTATGCATATTTGTGGCACACTACGAGGAAGACTACTACACACAATTTTTTGAGAAAGGCGATTATTTTATTTAATGCTATTATGTATTTTTAGTTTTGGAATTTTAATTTAATAATTAATGTTTTATTTAATAATCGGTGCCCTTTGAAGCGAAATGTTATTACATTTTTATTTTTACTCTTTCCATAATTTTTAAATCAAATAAGCTATTCAAGACAATAAAAATGCGCCTAAGATTAAATAAAATATTGATTCTTGTAGTAAGACAAATTATAAATGTAATTTTTTTTTATTTTATTCTCCGCACGAAAAATGTTTTCATTTTTTTAGTGTAAATGTAAAGAAGCTTTTTATTTAAATACAGAGATAATGCAAGTATATAATCTTTTCATGTCAGCTATCAAATACGCAGTCAATATAATGCAGAATAATTTAAATATTGATGTCATCTGCCAAGAATTTGCATGCTGTCATCATCCTTTCGAAAAAAAGCGTCATAATTTCAATTTAGTTAACACGAAATAATCAATTTTTCAATGATTACAACATATATTTTTACTTGTTAAAAATGTGCAAAATTACAGCTTTAAAATATATCATGATTTTGTCTTCTTATCCTTCATAAAGAGAAAGTTTACTCCTGATGAAAAAATGTAATTATTAATCTATTATAATTGATCGCGTTACAGCATAATCTCTTAATTTGAATGTACAATTATAATAAATTATCATCGCATTTTTGCTGATTTTTGTTCCGTTGCTCGAAACAACTCTTTTCTTGTAGATTTTCTTCTTGTGATGACATCATCACATAAAATTAAATCATCGGTTGGATGCAATCTCTTGCTAAATATAATAATTTCGTTGTGCGTAATATTAAAAAAACGTGGATCTTTCAGGCGAGAGAAACTTATTCAAATTTATATGATAACAATTTTTTATACCGCTTTATGCCCACGCAATAACAAAATTGCGTATCTAAATCAATAAGAATTTAATAAATTGCGTATTGCGTGCCACAACAGCCGAATTAAATTTATTAATGAGTTTCGTTTGAGAAATTATTAACATTTACATATTACAATCTATTTCCGGCGCTATGTGTCGAGTGCAAAATGATTATCTGTTCTCACGCGGTTTCGCGTAATTCACAATGATTTCATCGATCGCGTAATTTGCTAATCACGGATTGTGCGATTATTTCATTAATATAGCTGCTATAAAAATTTCTCATTAACGCTAACATTTGAATGAAATCACTTTTAATTTCTCTATACGAATATCCCTCTCTACACGATATTTATAGTCATAATCAACGCGTGGTAAGTCAACAATATGTACCTATGTATCCGTTATGCGATAATCGCGCGGTATTCGCGGTTTTCACAATATAATCGATGGCGAACTGAATGCAAACTTCTCACTTTCTTCTCTTTTTTTTTCTCTCCGCTTATTTTTTTCTTTAATCCTCGTTCTTGTTCTCGCGTTTATTCGGACAACAATATGGCGCGGCACTATCAAGCTAAACAGCAGGGTTCGTAGTTCGAAACGTTATTGGAAGGATGTAGTCAGATGTGGTCGCTAAAGCTAGCTTTCGTCGGCATGTTCGTCGAGACGCATTGGCCAGGCGCCGCGACGCATGCGGCCTGGTCTTAAGACCGGCTCAACTAGCCAAGAACGACATCCTAAGAATAATCGGCTGAAGACCGATGAGTTACGGGGATCATGTGAAACAATTTTGAATGATAAAACAATTTGAATGAAAAAATATAGCATTTATATCGCGCGATTTGTAACCAGAACATTTACTATAGCTAGTTTCATAGTTTCTTAGCTTTTTATTATAAACGTTTTTTGCACGATGCGTTATATATTTTTTTGTAATTTGTCATTAATTTTTTCTTGATGAAGATGTAAAAGAAATGGCAAAAGTTTATACTTCAATCAAACTGAGCCAGTAGATTTTTACATTTGTATTGCATATTAAATTTAATCGGTACTGTGACTATCATAATGAAACACGAGTCATAAAAACAATTCCGTAATAGTATGACGATTGAAATCGTGACGAAGATTACATGCATATACTATTGTTCAAAAAGACAGAGATATATAAATGTTAGAAGATATAAATTAAGATAAAAGTATGAAAAAAATATAATAAAAAGAGAACCTGAATCAATCTATCAATTTAATCTTTATTAAAATCAATTGATGAGGAAAATAAATTAATTTTGCATATCTTAAATATGTAGAGAATTGACGAGAATATGTAGAGACTTGTAGAGAATTTATATATATATATATATATATATATATATATCGTAATTATATATTTCGAAACAAATCGCATAATATATCATGTAATTTTTATTATTTAATATGCTAATATATATATTATATACAATAATGATATGATCTATATTTATATTTATATATTTTTTCAGATAACTAATCTGAAGGAAAATTGAAAGATCAAGCAGTTATATTTGTTTAATACAAGAAAGTATTTATATTAAAAAGTAATATAAAATAATGTAAAAATTGAACATTCTCTTATATAAAATTAATTTTTGTAATATAAATATTTATATGCGGAATCTCTATAAGCATATTTATGAGCATATAAAAGAATTGATTGATTTTTTTATTTATAAATAGATATATTTAAAAATACATTTTTATTTAAATATATCTTTAACAGAAGAGATATATACCAATAGAGATGAATTAGATCCACGTAACTTGGTTGTTTTTTTTAAAATAGTTAAAGATAAAAGAAAAATATTATTAAGCAAAATTAGAAATAATTTTTGTTAAATACGGCACATTTCTATATTATTTTTATGTATTTTACGGACATAGTTGCAAAGCGCAATGTAATTCATCTATAAAAAACTATCAAAAAGTTATGCTGAAAAATTATTAAATTGCCCATAAAAATCTGGAAACAAAAATGTTTGTTTCTTTTGTAATTCATTTCAAGAAATTTAGGTAGCAATTCAGCCTTTGAATTTGATTTTGAAGCTTTAAATTGTATTCGAAAGAAAATTAAAATATGTAATTTTTTTGAATTTTTAAAATGCAATGAATTGTGGATTTAAAAACAGATATCTTTTAGATAATTTTATATATTAACTCTTGCGAGTTAATTAAAAGAGACACTATTGATAAAAGACACTATTAATAGAAGAAAATTTTTATTTTCTATCATTATCTTCTGTTGTTGATATCTCTTTTATCAATTTTTAGAAAAAATGTAGATTAAATTCTAACTTATAAAAATATATAAATATATAATATATAAATATATATAAAAATATATAAAAATATAAAAATATATAAATATATAATATATAAATATATAAATATATAAAAAATATATAAATATCGATCAGAATCCAATCAATATGTTTCTTAAAGTTTTGTTTCTTTTCGCGCTTTTTCTGAATTTTAATTATACAAAACCAAAATTGTTGTTGATTATTAAATATACTCTTTCAAGAATTTATAAACAGCATAATCTCTCATGCTGATTGTGTTTTGATACACGTTTTGATTAATGACGAATTGTACATTTTTAACGTAACATTTTTTCCTATTATTTTTTTCTATTTTTATTTAACAAAAATTATAGCTCTTCTTGATTATTAAAATAACTCTGTACATGTATAATTAGTAAAAAATTGATAATCAATTTGTATGCGCTAATGCGAAATATTTATCAAGATATTATGGCAGCTACTATTATGGCATCAAGTATTATAGCACTATTATGGCACATGTTATTACATAAGTATCATAGATACATCGTTTCTTGTATTGCATATGTTACGCAGTATGTTGTAATACACAATTTAGAAGTTTGATTCTGTTTCGGGCATCATACTTATATTTAGCGCGTATTCGATTGGCATCATATCTTGTGATCGGCCAGCGAACTGTGTATCGATGACACTAATGTTAAATAACTTTACGAAATCTACGATATTTACAATAAATGTGTGTAAACGTTTTCAGAGAGAGATCAATTTCTGTCTATATGTAACATTTTATATATGAGATGTGTAAACCAATTACATAATAATTTAAAAATATATATAATGCATCTTAACTTAAATAATTTTTAATTATACTTTTTAGTTATTAATCCCAAATAATGGAACAGAAAAAATTTAGAAAACAAAATTGTAAGCAGGATTCGCACCGAAAAATTTAATTTTACAAAGTATTAAATGTTTTCTCATTGAAATAAAACCATGAGTTTAATTATTTTAATTTTTCCCAATTATAAGTAATTTATCTCTCAATTTATCTTTCAATTTATCTCAGAATATACATGTGTCGATATCGGGACAATATATTTTGTTGCGTTTTGCGCGCATGCGTGTATATATTATATATATACAAGAATGAACGTTCTTGTATGACGTTTGCGCCGTGAGAAAGATACGGTTTCACAAGTTTCAGCAATACATTGCTACGATTAATTTGTACTATGGAGGAATGTAATTCTGCGAGTATTCCCAATCGAATTGATACAATTATTCCTCTCTCTCTCTCTCTTCCTCCGCTCTCCCTTTTCTCTTTTTCCGTCTTCTTCTATCTTTCTCTCTTTTTCCTCGTTGACATTTGATGTAAACAAGTAATGCCGTACCTCGGAAGAGCGGGTCTCCCAAAGTGTAAGCTCATTTCTGTCCAAATAACAGTATCTATGACAGTTTCTTTTTCGCGAGCTGCGTCCCGCGTGCAAATAAAAATTACGCCACTCGTACATTGACAGTGCAACACACGTGTCAACTGTAATTATGCTACGAAAATGTTATTTTTGATGGCGATTTCCCACTTGGCAAAATGTCAACATGCACGTCACATAGCGACACGTTATCCGTTTTAAACGTTTATAAACACGCGCGATTATCGATGATATTCGCCGGTAACGCAAGATGCGATTGTTAGCGTCGTGCGCGACGTATTGTCGATGCCGACACGGATATGACTGGATAAATTAACGCGTGGTCATATACGAGACGGCAAAAAGTATGGTAGAGGGGCCACACATTTTCCTCTAGAATGCATATCGACCTTCCTCGGCTACAACCTTCTTATATCGAGTGTTACACAGCGTCGTGTTACGTCATACGATGAATTTGGCGGTGACATAGCACGATGTGTAATGGAGTAGCAGTGAATCGATGGATATTGATTAAATATCAATATACGTGATTTAATTTTCGCAGCTATACGAATTAATTGGAAATTTAAATCCGCTTTAATAATTTTTAATTGTTTCTTGTTATTATTATTTTGTTTCTTAAAAATATGTCCTTTTTTTGTTCTTTAAGGATATGGCCTTTTAAAAGAATCGTACTGATTTGCGATATTACGGTCTAATAATTGTTTTATAATAATTGTCATATATATTATTGCAATTATATCGTATTAAAATTTTAGTTTTTTTATTTATTAACGAAATATCTCGCCACTTTGTGACCCAAAGATTGATTGTTTATGTCACATGTTTTGGCAATGTTTTAAATCCTACGTGACGCGGAATAAAATCATATTTTGGAAAGCTTTGCCAAAAACTGCAGCATATATTGTTGGTTATCAAGTTGGTTTATAAAGAAAAATGCAATTTAACTTCTTCTAGAATTATATATGTATATAAAATCCTTTTCTAAACGTGCGATACTAAAATTAAAGAAATAAATTATACCTATATGCAAATAAACACATATAAATATTTATATTACCTACATACATATGTACATGTGGATTTATTATTATTTTTATAATATCTTTTTATAATATGTTATGCGACTAAAACAATAAGATCACCTGAAAGAAATATTATAAATGCTGATTATATCAATAAAAATATAAAGATGAATATAGAATTGCTGAAAGAAAAAATGCATGTATAAAGGAAAAAGAAAGCATATAAGCAGAAGCCTCAGATTCACAATTATGCATGCGCATGCAAATCTGCTCGCAAAAGGACTTTTAGCACCGCGGTCAGTCAAAGAAAGATCGTGTAAACTAACTTAAAATTATACTAATATAAATTACAGAAATTAATATAAAGTTACATATAATAATATATATAATGTAATATAAAATTTTCTAAACTAAAAATTAAAAACTTAAATTACAATTTAAAATATAGTCAAGTTTATATCGTCATCAAATAATGAAAATGAATATACGAATTTCCTAATATTCTATTTCATATTTTATTTCCAATATCACGATGTAACATCAATAAAGAAAGACTTTAATATCTGAAAGTTCAACTTTATAAATTCGGAGTAAATTTATAATATAAATATGAAATTATTATACTTTATAAATTCGGAGTAAATTTATAATATAAATATGAAATTATATTTTGATAATATATACATATTATAAAATGAATTTAGAAGGAGATGAAAAGAAGAAGAAAATCTCTTTTTCTCAGAATAAAAATATTTTAACAAATATTAAAATTATATTGTTTCTATTACTTCTCATTAACTTATTGAAAATTCTATCGTATTAATATTTGTCACTTAATTGTTATTAAAATAATATTAAACGATCATCGACTGACTTAATTGGCCAATCAGGTAAGATGGTGCTGGTCCATACTGAGCAGATATTTACAAAAACAAAACAATGCATTTTCTAACTCACGATTCGTTGAACTTTTGTAGTTTTTCGAGGCGTTCCTCGAGATTTCGTGCTGATGCTTCTGAAAAGGCTGCGAGGTACGCGAGTACAGTTCCTGCCAAATTTTTCACTTCTTCCGTCGCAGGTTTAAGATTTTCAGTTTCCGTTACGAGTTCCTGTTTGCAACAAGATCAGAAGAAGTTTGTTAAATCTATCATCGGCGATCAATTTACACCAAATTCGAAGAGCGATTTATTATAAAATTTAATAAAAATATTTTAATTTATAACGTCAGTTATAAATTTCAAACTGAAGCAATAACTTTTGATAAGGCATATATGTGAAAATAAGTAATTTTATAAAAATAAAAATGCCGCCGACATATGCGACGATTCTTCACGAGCGTTCACCGTTTGATAATTCGTGAGAGACTAAAATAGATAGTTTTGGAGGACCGAGCACCTGTGGTGCCTGGCTGTACTAGTCCGACACGTTTGGCATTTATAAAGGGTGCACCGGAAAGAGAGAAAGACAGAACTAATTGTATATCTGTACCGTTGGCCCACAGTAAATCGATAAGAATATGTATTCACATAAAATGCGACACCGTACAGGCCATTTAAAGGATCAAAAATATGCCTTGCGTGACGTACATGTTATTGCAACCAGTTTTATATTTCTATACATAAGTAATAACTATCGAGCACGATATTTCGGTATCTTTAATTATTCTTATATAATAAATTTAAATTCCCAGGACTTTTCTGATGCAATACAATTTTAATGGTAATTAAAATAGAAAAATTATGACTATAAGAAGCATTACTTACTTCCAATGCTTTAACGGTATCAATCAAATGTTGCTTCGATCGTATCACTGGATCTATAAGTTTGTTCTTCTCTTCGATCGCAGTTAATCGCGTTTCGATGAGAGCCCATTGCGTTTCCAAATCTTCCCAATGCTGTAAAAGCGCATCGAGGGCATTTCTACGTCCTTCAAAACCTGATATTAATTCGTGCCATTCTGCACTGATCTCTGAAAGCTGCAATTCTATTGCTTTTTTATTATTGGCGTCTGCAAGTTGAAGAACCTCTTGTCCACGTTCGTTTAATAGATCCAGCTCGAATTGTTGATTCTGCGAAAAACAACGATAAAATATCAAAAATAATTAATCAAGTTATTATGCAGTAAGCACAAATTATTTTTTTTCTTTAAGATATATCTTATAAATATATATCTTATAAAAAAATTTAGTATAACATTTGTTAAAATACTTTTTTATTCATTTTATACATATGAAAACGATATTTTACTATAAATATCTAGAAATATAAATTTAATATGATTTAATAAAAAGATTCAACACTATTTTTTTAAATTCTGTATAAAAATATTGCAAAAGTTTAAATAGAGGGAAATAATTGTTCGTGTTTTGCTGCTTTTTAATTACCTGGATGTCATTCAGGACATGCGTAATTTTCTGAATATTGAATTGTAATCCAGCTAACGTGGTGACCGGTTCATCTGTGAATCTAGTCCTACTGATAACAGAACGAACACGTTCCAAACTCTGCGTATAATCTCTCCACATCTCTGCACCTTGTTCTAAACGTGAACGTTGCGATTTAGCTGTATTGAGAGTATTTTTCAATAACTGAGTGTGTTGTTGTTGCTGGGCACTCAGCTCTTCTTGCTCGTAACTGTCTAAAGAAGGCCAAATTTTGTCCGCCGCTTGTTGGATTTGTTGTGACACGAGCTCACGAATCGAAGATTCAGTACTAAAGTATATCTATAAAAGAAATATACAGTTGATTACCAGGCTTATTAAATAATCCAAAAAGTAAAAAAAAAAACAAGAAAAAATTTCTCTCTTTTCACCTTGTGTTCTTCCAGATCATTAAAAATGTTCTCAAAATCGAGACCTTCTTTATTACTCTCCAACCGAATTTCAGCTTCGCGAGCCCAATTATGAAGCTTATCGGTAAGAGCGGCGTAATCCAACCTCATCTGCATATTATTCTCGAGATAATTTCCTCGCTCTTCCATCTCTCGCGGTAAAGACGTCACCAGAGACATCGCTTCGCTTAACATCTCCTTCAAGGATCCAGGCATTCCTTCTTCATGGCGCACCGATTGCTTTAAATTTCTAATCCTATCGAGATACTCGTTCACATCGGTACAGAGAGTTTGATGTTTCTTCAATTCTGCCTCGACGCTAGTTGGATCTCTCGCCAGAAGTGGTCTGGACTTGACTTCTTTCTCTTTACTCTCAAGCCAGTCGAGGATGTCGGCCAGTTCATCAGCGAGTCTTCTATGCTCGGCTGCCGCCAGTTCGTGCTGTTCTCTTTGGGTCTCTACTGCTCTGCGAAGAGCTTGTAATTGTTGTTTTAATGACTGAAGCTGTTCTGTCACATTGTTCCTATCCACAGCTGAACCTTCCGTCGCTATTTGCTGTCCCTTGTCTGTCGCGCTTGCAAGAGTGGCTTCGCATTCTTGAATTTTTAATATAGCGTCGTCGTATCTATTAAATTCACAAGATTATTATTGTTTTATAAATAATATAAATCAATAAAAATTGAAAATAATTAATAAAGTTAATAAAATAATTAATAAAATAAAATTTAATTTAAAATATTGCCTATATTATATTTACCTGATCAGTAATTATAGTTACCTTTTAATTTTCTCTTCCGTCGTTTGCCCGGATTTCTCGATATCGCGAACAATTTCAGTATATTTAGTAATAAAAGTAGTAATCTCTGCGATTAAGGCAATAAATTGTTGTCGTAGCAATAGTAATTGACGAAGTTTCGCTATTTGCGCTTCGAGAGCTCTTATTAGATCATCCTGTTGAGCTAGCACGCCATGTAAATCTCCAACGTTAGTGGATTGAAGATCGAATAATTTTGCTTTGTTTGCCTTGAGATCGTCGAGAATTTTTTCGTAAGCAGTTAACATTCCTTCCACGTCCTCTATACGAGCACCTATGGGCTTATTCAACTCGTGCAGCTCTTTCTGAATATCTGCCATGAATTGAATGGCCTCCGCCACTCGTGCGGCAGCTTCCTCAGCTTCATCTATGCTCTTTTGAAGCGCGATCGCTCTATCATTTATTACATTTGCTACTCGTCCGTGAGCTTCCTTCATGTTCTTCAATTGCTCGCTCAATTCCTGTTTATCCGCGTCGCTCACGGTTGGCAAAATTGATTTTCCTTGTTGGTTTATCTTTTCTATGTCTTCGCCATATTCTTGCGCTTCCTTTTTTAATCGATCATACTGAAAAAAAAAGAAATTGTTATATTAAATGCACACATTATAAATAATGTAGAATAATAATGTATATGAATATTTCTAAATCTTTTGATTATAATTTTTTTATTAGTCGATTTGGAAATGATTATTTCTATATTTGAAAGATATATATTATACCTTAGCAAGTTGCTCATGGAGAATATCAAGGCTAGAAGGTCGCAATTCGGAAGACGTAGCCACTTCAGCTTCCTTGACCCATCGTTGGCATTTATCGAATTCACTTTCGAAGGCTTTGCGGCCCTGAAGAAGATCTGCTAAGGAAGCTTGCTTCTCCTTTGCCTCTTTCTTTAACTCTTCGTAATCTTTAGTCAGATCGTCCAAGAGGGCCTGGAGTTTAACGCGACTTTCTGCATTGCAATCCTTCAGTAAATTATGTCCCTGTTTTTGAATGTCTTTAAGAGTGCCTTCATTAAAAGAATCGATATCCGTTTCCAGTTTCCTATGTTGTATAATATCTTGCTCTACTTTCGACGCTTTCAGAGGTAAATATCCGCTAAGTTTCTTCAGATCATTGCCTTTGGATCTTATCCAATTTCGAGCTTGCTCGATATCAGATTCTAATTTACGACGTGCTTCAGCCGCCACACTAACGATGGATATTTCTTCCCTTAAAAGGGTGCATAACTCATTCTGTTCGCCCCGCAAAGCCCTCGTATCGGCTTCTAATTGTTGTTGCTCGCTAGTTTCCAATTCGTTTTGCATATTAACGACTCTCTTTTCCAACGTATCGATGATCAGTTGTTTTCCGTCCGCTTCTTTTAACATAGCCTATATAAAAAAAAATTTAACGTAATATATTAATTAAAGACTAATATGTATAATTAATTTTTTAAAGTTAAAATAATAAATAAAATTTCTTTACCTTGAGTACGAGGATTCTTTCTTCTGCCTGCTTGCTTTCAAAGCCAAGCAACTCGGGCATCTTCACTTGCTGCTTCTTTTGTTCAATCCATTCGCGATTCTCCTCGATTTCTCGCTTAGTTGCTTCGATACCTTGCACTGTCATGTCCAGAATCTGAGCTTTTCTTTGCAGCTTCTTGCTGATATCCGCGTAGCGTCTTTCCACTGACTTGATTTGTTCTTCGATCTGTTGAGAATCCAAATTGCTGACCGAATCCATTACCTGGTCGCCTAGTTTCTTGATCTCTGCCAGTTTCTCTGGCCCCTGTGACTCGAATTCAGCCGTGATATCCTTGAGATTCGAAATCTTTTGATCGATAGTTAATCCGCTACCTTTTTCAATTACATCGACTTTTTTTGACAGACTATCGAACCACCCTTGGATATCCTGCACTTGCGATCTGTATTTCTGAATAAAATCTTGCGCTGCTTGCTTTCCTGCGATGGCATCGATCAACTCGGCCTCTAGTTTATTCAAGCCCTCTTCGATATCTTGGTCCTTATCTTGAATCGATAATTCTGTTAATGCACGAGTGCGACGTTCACACACGTTGGTGAGTAACTCGTTCATTGCTTGTAATTCGGCCTGGGCAGCCTCCGCTCGCAATTTTGCCGGTCTTGATTTCCATTCGGCACAAAGTGCTCGTTGCTGATTAATCCAAGCACGAAGCGCCTTTTTCTGCTGTGATTGTTCCTCAAGCTCGCTTACAGTTTTCATTACATTTGCTAAGTGTGTTTGCATCTGGCAATTTTAAAAATATAAAATAATCAAGTTGAAATAAAATTAATATAAAAATGTTATAGATTCAAATAAAAAAATTTTCTAATACAAAGATCTTGGATACAAAACATTCTTAATTATATATTTTTACTTATATATTGCGGAAATTTAAATATGTTTGACTTAATGAAATTAATTAATTAATTTTATTATTAATTATTAATTGTGTTAGTAATTATCGATTAATAAATGAATTTAAATGCATACCTGATCAATGAGATCGTCGAGTCTTGTTCTAACTTCAACTTCCCTCGCAGGAACTTGAATAGGTGGAGCATCGAGAGGACTTCCGGGTCTAGAAACACATGTCGCCGCAGCTTCGCAAGCTTCCACTGCTAATGCTAATCGAGCTTTCTCGGCTTGCAACTTGTTATGCAAAGTACGAGCAGTCTCGAGGCTCTGCTCGGCAGAAGTCAAGCTATCTAGTGGAGCATCTAGTTCCTGAGTCATTTCCGTTTCATACGTGTCCAGGTTCTTCATGATGCTCTCCAGAATGTTTTCGTATTCCTGGAATTTGGCTAGAGACTCCGCTAATCTGTTCTTGATTTGCAAAGCGGTATTTAACAGAGAATTATAACTATCTTGCACATTCTGCAATTGCGTCTCTATAGTCGATTTAATAGCGGGATTCGCATCAACATATCGATTTATTTGGCTATGACCCTTCAGCTTGAGTTCCTCTAATATTTCTTGATAGTTCTGGATTTCAGTTAATAACGCCTCATGCTGTTTGATTTGATCGATTGTTTGTTCTTTGTTGGTGATGTAGAGAGAATTGTGTGCCATTAGTTGGAAAGAGATCTGCAATAGCCACTTTTCTGTTTCCTGCAGAGCCGTGTGATATGTATTGTATTCCTGTATTTCGTTTTCTATTAACTTTTTCCTCTCATCAGCAAGATCGCTTAACGCCTTCCATCGATCTAGAAATTGTTTCGTTTCATTCAATATCATGTCATTCTTTGCCCACTCTGATAATTCCGTTGCTTCTTCCATCAAGTGATCCAAATCGGATTTTCTATCGCAAACCTCTTCTTGAATATGCTTGTATCGTTCGAGCATTGTTTTCATCTCGCTAAACTCGCCCTTTGTGTCCGAAAAATTTCTTACAACATTCTCGTTCTCCTCTAACCATTTTGCAAATTTATCGTGGGCATCTGCATGATCCTCCCAACGACTCAAGACCGATTTTACTTTCGCTTGCACCGTATTGAGGTCTATGCTCAATTGTTCCCAACTAGAACGTAGATTAGCCATATCCGATCGTAATTGATCTTGTTGCTCTGGAAGAGCTATGTTAATTGCCTTTGTGAAGGCATTTTGCAACGTTGATAATAGATGTTGACCTTCCGTCATGCGTGTTGCAACCAGCTATTGCGTGAATTATTATAACATATTTAATTTGAAATAAATATTACAATACAAAAGTACGTATTATTAATTATTTAATCCATAAGCTATTTTCTAAAATATTTGATTTTTTCCTCAAATCCTACATATTTCATTAATCACTGATAGAAAATTATACATGTAACGCAAAAATATTTTCTTTCAATTTTTAAAGTCTGTCAAAAAGTCTGTTTTCAGAAAAAATATACAATTTTAAATTTAGTTATATGATACTTTTTTTACTGCAATTAGTAAAATATTTTGATTTGGCCAAATGTTTAAGAAAAAAATTTAATTTAATATAATTAAATATAATTAAATATAATAATTAAATATAATCAAATATAATATTAATTAAATATAATATAAATATAATTAATTCAAAATATAATTAAATATAATATAAATTTAATTAAATTTTACTTAGGAAAATATCATACATTATGTTGCTTGAGATAACTCACCTTCAAGGTTTCTAATTTATCCTTTGCCCAAGTCGTGTCTCCTACACCGATGCAATCTTCTACTGAACCGTAAGCCGTACGTAGCCAATCTTCCATCTCCTTTTTGGCTTTTAAGAATTCGGTATGATCCGCCAAATTCTTTTCGACCTTCGAGACGAGCCCTTGCACTTCAGTTAGAAGAGACATATATGCCGACTGCAATTGTACCGTCTTATCTCGAGCCCAACTGCAAGCACTGATCTCCAGCAAAGCTTCACATTTATCATTAAAGTCCTCTAAGATTGGTTTCTGTTTAATCGCCTCCTCCATTAAATGCTTGCAACGTTCTAAATCATCCGGAGTATTATTGTCTTTAGCTTGTTCGTCAGTGATTTTCTTCTGGAAGTTATCTATCCATCGCTTCATGCCATCTAACGCGTTGGTAAACTGGGACCAGCTTGAAATACAGTTGGCTAGAGTACGTTGCGAATCGTAGCATTGTGCTTGCAAAGATTTCCAATCCGCTTGTATCTGTTTCATGTCCTGCTTGATAGAATCTTGACCCTCGGGTCCTGTTTTAGAAATCACGACGTCGCTTAACTCCAGCATCTTTGAAATCAAAGCGTCGCCCTTCGGTAAGGATGAAATAATTTGGTTGACTTTATTTTCTCGTTCGATAATTTGTTCCTTTTCACCGTGAGTATCACTATATTGTTGAAGCTCGACCTTTGTGTGACGTACCCAGTCATTTATCTCATTCAGAGCTTGTTGGAATTTCTCGTGATCCTTGACTTGATTTTCCAGATTCTAAAATAATGAAAACAATGTTATAAAACTTTATTACCATTATATAAAATATTATTATATATTATTATATATTATTATATTATTATTATATATATTATATATATATTATTATTATATAAAATATTATTATAATATTTTGGTCCGCAGTTTTGTAAAGAAATTTTACTTACACGAATCTTGTCGGAAATCAGTTTCTTTAAGCTGTCGTACTTATTGATAGCCAATTCGTAAGGACTTTTCGATATGCTGGGATTTTCATTAAGGTGAGCCTTCAAGTGATCTACCGTTTCACCATAACTATGAATGTCTTTTTGCAAGATCTTATATTTTTCCAACAGAGCGCGTTTCTCGCTGAGGTCGTTTCTGCAGGCATCTCCTGGTTGAACTTTGCCTTCAATTTCTTCCAGCCAATCTGAGATGAGTCGGTGAATCTTGTTGAGTTCCTCTAACATGCTCGTTCTCGCTGACAATTTTTGTCTAACATCTTCGACATCGGCCAATAACTTATCAAATTCGCTCTTCAAGTTTTCAGTGTCTTCTTGAATTTTTGCCGCACCGTTTTGTTCGGTGTTCATAATGACTTTTTCTTTCAATTCCAAAGCGTAACGCAATTTGTTTTGCCCTTGCTCCAATGTCTGTCGAATAGCTTTACACGTGTGTAATTTATTGTTAACCTCGGTCAATGTGCTAGGAATACTTTTGCATTCGTTTAATTTTTCTCGCGTGCGCTCAATCCAATCTTGGCATTCTTGATACAAAGTATTGTGCTGTTGATGCTCCTATAATTCATATTTTATATAAAATAACATATTATTTTTTATCTGTATACACAATCTTATATAATTTCTATATCAAAAAAGGTAAACATATGTAAATAAATAACTATAAGAAATTGAAATATTGAAAGAATATAAATTCATAAATATATTTCCAACAATTACATAGTAAATAGCAATTACCTGATAATGCAATTCCAATCGCCGCATGATTTCCTTAGCGAGAGACAACAGTGCGTTATATTTGGTGGTGAGTTGCGTTATGGCGTTAGAAATTCTCGTATCGGCGCATGTTTCCAGCAGAATTTGAGCTTTCATATTTAAGCGATCTAATTCTTTCTGCCAATCAAACAATGTCTGTAAATGAACTTGGAATTGCTCGAGAACATTTTTCTTCTCTTCGAGACTGTCCTGTAACTTATTAAACGTTTGAACTAATTGCTCAGTTTGCGTAAGCCACTCTGTAGCTTCGGAGAACTGATCCTCATATTCCGTCCACTTTACTATGCCGACTTCGAGCAAACTCTTCGTGTTATTTAATGAATCTCTATAATAGATTAGAAAATATTTATATATTTGTATAATTAATTATATATATGTATATATAATTAATTATACATGTCATATATGTATAAAAGATGTGAATATAAAATAAGGAATATAAAAATATAAAATAAAAATATAAAAATAAATGTTAATAGAAAAAATAAAAAAAATAAATATAAAAATAAAAATACACTTAAAAATAAATTTATAAAATAAAAATATATAGTTATACATTTTGTATATGCTTTAGAAAATTAAATTTCATCTACTACTTACACATAATTATCATATTCTTCTTGTAAAATTGCCACTTCTTCCTCGATTATCTCTTTATCTTCGGCATCTGCAATTTGACAGGCGGCATTGCCCTGTTCCAGAGCTTTCTCCAGTTTTTTCTGGCCTTCGGGACATTCACTTTCTAAAACTTTGAGCTGCGTGATTTTACTGGCCAAGGATTCCTTGTCTCCTGTAGGTTCTGAGCACTTGCTGAGTCTCTCTTTAGCTGCCCGTATCCATTGAATAAATTCGTTGCCACTGTCGATGAACGCTTGATGTTGTTCGACAGTCTCTTTCTGCTTTGCATACAGTTCTTGAGCTTGCTTGCTCAAAGTTTCATATTTAATCGAGATTTCCGTAGCCGGCGTCGCCTGTTGCAAATCTTCAGCCTTCGTAGCGACTGATTGAATTATAGGCTCGAATGCCACGATATCTTGTACGATACTGTTCGTCTGTCGTAAATTCGCTTTTCTTTCTCCGATCGCCAAAGAACTCAATCCGGCTAAACCTTTCCGAGCTTTGGAGACTTTCTGTTCGCACACCTGCTGTAGCTTGGCTTCGCGATCGTTGATCCATTGTTGCAGTTGCGAATACGAAGAACTGTAGTCCGCCCATTGTAACAGACTCGTTTCAAGATGCACCTTCGTGGTTGAGATTTTCTTTACCAGTCGCTCCCAATCGTTTTGAATCTCCTTCAACTGATTGTTGATCTCCTCTCGACCGTCCGATCGTGTGTTTCTCATGATCTTCTCGCCGCAATTCACGGTCAGGTGTACCAGATTCTGACCTTCCTCGCGTTTTCTCAACAGTTCCTGGATCTTGTTAAGTCTGCTTTGTAATTCTTCACGACTGCTGCTCGAGGCCGCTTCTGTTCCTTGACGTACGATTTGTTTGGCATTCTTAATCCAATCACTGGCTTTCTCAAGATTATTCTCGTATTCTTGATGTTGAGCCAGATTGGTCTCAACTTTGTTCAATACATCTTTGACGAGATTTACTTGCACCTGATAACGTGAATTCAAATGCCGCAGTTGATTGTTAACATAAGTGTCTAAATGGGACGAAAGTAGACCAGAAGCTGTTTTGTTGAATTTATCAATCTGCTCTTGACCTTTTGTCAAGTCATCGCGCAATTTTTTCACCTCTTGTACCTGCTTTTCCTTCTCTTCCAAATTTGGCAAAAGAGCATTTTTCTGAGCTTTAATAAGAATGTCGAATTGTTGTAACCAATCGCTGAGCCTTTCGTATTCATCCTTATAGTCACGCCATTGACTTACAGTAGCTTCCAATTGATTCTTTTGCTGCTGAATTTCTATAAGAAAATATAAGTTTGTTAATTAATATATTTGTAAATCGTGTAATGCTAAATATAATTATGATAAATATAAATATTATTTAAATATTATATAATAAAATATAAATATTATTTAAATGATTTTACCTTTAAATAAGCCTTCAAAACTTTCCGTAAGTGCTCGTATTTCATTCCTGATAACTTCTTGTCCAGCGGGATTGGTGCTAGCGCAGGCAACTTTTCCTGTATGTTGTAAATGCTCTACCAACAATTCGCCCTGAGCTTTCTTGTTCAACAAACTCTCGAGTGGCAATACTGCGTTTTCGATCGCTAACTTATCGCTGAGTGATTTCTGCTTCATAGATGGTATTTTCTCGCGAGCCCGACTGAGCCAGCCGATGAGGTCGTCATGAGCCTCTTTGTAAAGACGATGATCCTTATACTGTTCTTCCCGTTCGGCCAATAAAGATTTGATCTTTTCGAAAAGCTCGTCGAATCTGTTAAGTATGTCCTGGGCCTGAGAGGCAGCCAAACCTTGCTGACTGCTCGCAATCATTTCACTGACCTTGGATTTGAGCGCATCGACTTCGATATTCTCGCAGCGAATTTTTTCTTCGAGCACCTTGATTCGTTCCAGTTGACTTCTCTTCTCCGACATCGTCGTCTGGAACTGCGAAATCTCATCAACCGACTTCTGCATATATTCCACCGTGTTATTGATAGATTGTATCTGCTCCAACAAACCGGCCCATTTATTTATTGAGTCATCTAAGTTTGTTTTTGTCTCTAACATCTTCGACGCTAAGGCACTCCACTGTTCCTGAAGTTTCGCTACGGCATCATTAATTATCTGATGACCAGCCGGAGCTGTATTTGCTAAAACGGCCTGGGCTAATTCAATGATACTCTGAACTTTTGCAAAACCGTCTTCTTTGTACAATAATAGAGCTTGCACGATATCCATCTTTTGTTCCAAATCTTTCTGCGAGGATGCACTTAAATCAGAGCAGTAGGCCAATTTGTTTTTGATATCTGTTAGCCATGTAGTGCACTCTACTAGTTGAGTATCAAAATCTTGATGCGTGGTGACATATTGATGCCAACGGTTATTAAGTTCTTTTACTTTGCTAGAAATCTGTTGGTATTTGATACTCAATTCTGACATATAGGAAGTGCGGGAAGTAATATTCTTATGAAGCTGCTGAGCTCGCTCGGCGACAGCATCGATTTCCAACTCCTTGGCGCGAACCTCACCTTGAAGAGCACGCAATTTTTCGAGTTGAGTCTTCTTCTCTGCCAAAGTAGATTTAAGATCGATGGCGTGTAACTTTGTATCGGTGTCTTTCATCCACACTAGACATCGCTCTTTCAACGTTTCGAACTCGTTCCATTGTTGGAGCTTGTTTTCCAACGCTTCAATGGTGAATTTAATGGTAGAGATCAGACCTTCCCATTCTTGCTGTGAGGAATCGATCTGCGAACGAATATTTATCTGTCCTGATTCCAAAGTGCCGGGTATTACTTTCTCACCCAAAAATCTGATTTGTTGAACTCGCGACTCATCTTCTGGCAGACTATGCAATAGATTTTTTAAACGATCTAGGTTTGTGTGTAGAGACACTCTCTCCAGCTCCACATCACCCCAGATATTTATGGCGTTATGCGTGGCATCCAACCATTCGTGCGTGTCTAAAACAGACTTGCTATATTGCTGATGATCGCTCACTATACCTTCGTATCTTTCCACGAATTTAGCCGCGCGTTTTAATAATATATCGTATCTGTTTGTCAAATTGTTCAGCGTTTGATCGATTCTGTCGGTGCGATCGGGTAAGTTATCCGCCTTATCACGGAGATCTAGTAGATTTTGCTGATGCGTTTGAGCATCGTGCAAAATAGTGCGGTAGATTTGTAGCTGAGCGCGTTTCTCGTCCAGAGTAGTTTTCAGTTCGATTTCTGGCTTTAACTGAGCCTCTGTGATCTTCAACCAGTTTTCGATGGCCTCGCTGCATTCGTTGAAACCAGACCACCGCGAGATCTTCGCTTGCAATTCACGTTCGGTTGAAGCAACAGCATCATAAAGTTCTTCGAAGGCTTGCTGGAGATCCAGCAGCTGCTGACGAATAATCTCTCGGCCGTCCGTGCCTGTCGTTGGATACAATCGTTCTCCAGCTTCGACAGTGGTGTTTATCAAAAGTGTAGATGAAGACTGACGGGACAAAAGTTCTTTCAAGATATCGACATTCGACATCAGCTCTTGACGAGTACTACTGGCAGTTTCCTTGGTAGAGTGATAACTGGCTCTCGCATTTGCTAGACATTCGGAACATTGCTTGTAACGATCCAAGTAACTGGCGTGATCTATGGCCGCTTGTTCACATTTCTTTATGAGTTCCTGAAGTAGAATTGTATAATGATTTTTATACGAAAAACTAAAGATTGATTGGCATAGCATATATAATATTATTGTTAGTTATTTCATTAATTATTATATATTAAATAGAAGAAGAATTCTCATTTTCCTTCCTCTTTTTCTTCTTTGTTAATATATTAATTTTATTTAAAAAAAGTAAATTAAATAATATTAATTATGATGACAAAATCATTTATATATTATTTATATATTAAATATACATTAATAATAATGATTTTTTGAGAAAGCAAAATGAAATTTTAAATAAGAGAAATAAAATTATATAAATTATACATATTATTACATATTATTATAAAATTATACTTTATCCTTTTATATATTTTGTGATGATATTATTATGCCTACCTTTGCAGTTGCCTGAATTGATTGGAAACGTGATGTCACTTGTTGAACGCTGACAGAAAATCTAGTTTCGCCACTAATCTGCATCAATTCTGACGAATCGTCGCTCATTTTATCGAACTCAGCCTCATTTTGTCGAAGATTCACGATCAATGACTGCAAAAAAAAAAACTTTTAGTATATTTCATCTATTTATGTAAGATTCGTTAAAGAATTGTTCTGCATAATTTATGTATATACAAAAGGTAGAGAACTCTCTTCCTGCGTGAGCAGAAGAGAGGCTGTCTAATAGAGACCTGCTTAATAGTAAGTTAATTACTTAGAGTTAGATTTTCTTATTACAAAAAAATATGCGTTATATATAAAAAATTATAAAAAGTTTAATGTTATATCCAAGTCAGAATCGCTTATCGATATAAATCTTAGCGCTAAAAAAGCTCTACTTCCGTGCAGCAAAAAACAAAATTCTCTTATTACGAATTTTGAAGTTGAAAGCGCAATATTCATTAAATATACGTCAATAGATCGCAAAAATTTAACAAAGATTGAGATTCTTGTTGATATGAAAAATAAATAATTGATTATATTTATTTTAAGATATCATTCAATGATTTCGATCTTAACATATGTTATCAATACTCCGTAAGATTTTAGCCGTTGTTTATATTGTTTTGAACAAAAATTATTAACAAATAAATAGATTTAGATATCTTCTCTGAACATAAAAAAATTGATAATGCTTGAATAAAAATAGATATATAATAATATGATTACATACATTTATACATGTAATCATTATATTATTATTATATACAATTATATATGTGAGATGTCAATAAATATTACATATATTTACGTATAAATATATATAATTATATATAAAATATATTTTCTTTCTCATAATCTTTGTATATATATATATATATATATATATATATATATATATATATATATATACACACACACAAAATAATTAATAAGAATATTTTTAAATTATATTTTCTTAAAAACAATACAATTTCAAATGTAATGTCAAGTGAAAAAATTGCTCATATATATGTATAATATCCATATATTTTTATATATGAATATATTTTTTAATTTTGGAACGATTTTAAACACTTTCTTCACATAAAAATCTGTTTAATTATAAATATGTACATGTGTAAAGAATGGATAGAATAATATGCACATAAACTGTATGGAATTTTTCATTGTCAGTTCAAATTTTGCTTTCCATGTAGCAATATATAGCTTTTCATTTGTCTATAATTTTTTAATAAACAATGCAATGGCTAAAATCTCTTAAAGATTATTAAAGATCATCTGATTAGTCAACTATTTTTTAAAGCAAATATTTATCAATAATTGTTTATATTTGAAGTGTTTAACAGTCATAAAATAATTTAGATAATTTTTAATTTTCCAAACTTTAAAACTAGATCTATTGGTATTGATGAAAAATAAAGATTTTATTCAGTAAAATGACAGACATATCATCGTATCTCATTAATTGTGCGTATTGCTCAGAATAGAAAGAATAGAATCGCAAAATAATGAAGCGTTGATATCCTCCATCTTTGGCAAAAGTTATAAAGCTGAAAGATTAAAGAAAAGAGCAATCATATCGGAGAGACTCCTCCTTTTGTAAAGCTGTTGCAATCATCCGCTTTTCTCGCACAATCTTGCCTTTTTATAAGGTAATATTTGCAGTTTCGCACATTACTTTCTTACTTGTTCGAGATGATCACCAAGTACAACTAGTTCTTCCACATCCGTGTTCTGCGAATCGGCAACTTTTTGTAGTTCCTAGGAAAGTTTATTATATAGAATCATTGTGCATGGGAAATTATTATGCTCTTGGATTGAAGCTAAAAGCGTAGATAGGACGTGGTTTCCTCTTTTTTTTGTCGATTCAAAAATATCTGCATAACTTATCGTATCGAACATATAAAAAAGTAAATTATTAATACTACTAAAATTTATATTAGTGTTACATTTTAATAATGCGGTAAATAAAAGAGCTAAGAAACGATTATATCTATGAGATTAAAATTGAACATTTTAAATGTGCACACTTTTCAAATTATGGTACTATTTCATATCGATGAAAATTGGAGAAAATTCTATGACATAAGAGAAATAAACAAGGTAATAAATTAATATTCGTTAAATATTAAATATTCGGGACATTTATCAGATTTGCATAAAGCGAACAAAACTGCATTTCTGTAACGCAATATTATTGTAATTCCAAACTTACTTGATATTTTTCAAGCTGCTCCTGCTTTTCCTCGAGTGTGTTTTTCAGGCTATAGTTCTTCAACGATGTTTCGGCGTCAGAAAGCCAAGCAAGTAGTCGTTCCAACAAATTTTCATATTCGCTCCATTGTTGTATTCTTTCTTCGATGCAATGTAGCGTATCGCATACGGCTGTAGCAAATTTCTTATTCTCGAATCTAAAAAAACAAATCCCTCAACATATATATTTATTTAAAAAATTATTAATTTTAATTTTAAATATTTCTTAACTATACAAATAAAATAATTTTTTATTTTTTATTTTGTAAACTACTATTCACCTAAGATTGGCTAAATCTCTTTCCATAGATTCCTGTGACCGAGATGGTAAAATATGCGCACTTTGTATTACGTGTTCCTCAAGAACGTTCAATTTCATCTCACCTTCGCTCTGACTGTCTTGTATTTCTAAAACTTTAGCCAATCTGGCTTGCAAAGTAGTTTTGTTCCCAGTATAATCGTTATAATTTGCTAAGCGTTCCCACTGACGTTTCTGATAATCTTGATAAGCTTTCTGAAGATCATGGAATTGTTGGAAAATATTTAGTAATGTTTCTAAGCTGGATATTCCTTTTTGAGATGTATCTATTAGCTTCTCGTATCTTTTCGATACTGAAGTGACTTTTTCATGAACATCCGGTTGAACTTGGGTGACTTGTCCCAGAGCGTTCGCTTTTTCGGAAACACCTTCGATAATGCGTTTATGAGCCAGAATCTCTTGATGTAATGCCTGCAATAAAATGTCGCAGATAATATAATTAATGCTCCTTTCTCCTTTTCATACACAAATAAACACAGACCTTTAATTTGAGTAGTTTCGACTTTATTTCCTGCAAAGAGGACCACACAATCGAAGAATCTTGCTTAATGGCACGTTCCATCATATCCAACCAAGTCAGAATCTGTTGCATAGTCTCTTGATAGCTGAACCATTGCAAGGATTGAGCATCCTGCTTTTTCTGTTGCTCTGTGATACCTTCGGCTAAGCGATCCCATCGTTCACGAGCATGTCGCAATTCGTGTCTAATTGTTTCGCGTCCTTGAGCGGAAGTGTCTGGAAGAATTCTTTCTCCGAGAGACGTTAGACTGTCTAAACGGCGTTCAGCCTGTTCTTTCTCAGCTAATAAAACTTGCAAACGCGAATTTCTCACTTCGAGATCTGCGCTGATCTCATCTTCCTTCAAGGTGGCTAGATTTTTCTCAAGAGGTGTAAGCCAAACGTCAATGGCTGTCAATTTCTCTTCGTAAGCACGATGATCGTCTACGATACTTTGGCAATGATTTATCACTTCCTTACTGAGCACATGCAGCGACTGATACCTAAAAATTTTATTATTTTGTGCATGTACATATTTACCTTTGTTACATCTCTTTATTTAAATAGCAATAGAAATTTTTATAAACAAGTAAAATACAATAAAGTATAACGGTTTCTATGAAATTAATAAAGTATTTTTAAATTTTCAATATAATTAATAAAGTACTAGGTTTTTTAAATGTTGTGTGATGTTGTTGAGATCAGTTTCTTATACATTTTTAAAATAATTTTGATTAAATATAAAAAATTGAATATCTCTTTTGCGGAAATAAATGCTATTTATGTTCTCGTTATACGAAAGTTGATAATTGAATGAATTTTTTATTTTAATCAAAATCAATTTGAGTTATAATATTTTTATAGAACTTTAAAGATGCTATCTAGAACTTTAAAAAATGTGTTAGGTTTTATGTATTTTATGATTATGATTACATTTTCCAGAATCCATTTATATTATGATAAAATTTATATATGCATATGTGCGATTGATAAAGAAAAGAGTAGCAATCTTTTTATTGAAAATAATTTAACACACCTGTTAGTGACTTGGGAAATCAACGGTTTGATGCGTTCAATATTGCTTGTTTGTAGTAAATTATGTGATTTATCCACAAACTCGTCTATCTCTCGTTCTTTTCGCGCGATAGTCTCACGTTCCTCTTTACATGCGCGAAGTCGTGCTTCTTTATCTTTCAATGTGGGTTGAAGTTGTTGATCTCGGAATATCGCTTCCATGGAACGGAACCATTTTGTGTGAGCTTCCAGCTGATCTTCGAAGTTCTGCCATTTCTCCAAAGCCGTTTTCTGTCGCTCTTCCACAGATTCTGAAGAATTGAATTTAGCAATAAAAGAAAAATTACGGTAAATATAAAATTATTAAATGGAACGAATTAAATCAAAAGTGTCTTTAATTTTACTCTATATGCTTTAAATGAAAATGCCAATAATGCAAAGTCCAATCGATCAAATTCAATCATTTAATCATTCAATCATTCAATCATTTAAAAAACAATTTAAAAAATTTATATTCAAGCAACATTTCTTGTCAATAATTTTTTGACCGGGACAATTTATAAAATAAAATTTTTCCGCGTATTATAATTTTTTAGAAATTATTTACAACGTATATTTACCAATTTCACTCAGGAATTGACGCAGATTATTTTCCAAGGTGATCACTTCCTTATGTATAACTTCTCGACCCTTCAATGCAGTACTATTAGACACAGCCTCACTGATTTCCTTCAATCTCACGAGATGTTCTCTTCCCTGTGCCTGATTGCCTTTCAATATCGTCAAATTCGTTAATCTGCGAGAGATTTCGGATCGTTCGCCCGTTACATCATTATATTCGATCAGTTTCTCTCGTTCTCGACTTAACCAATCGGAGATACATTTGCATTGAAGATTGAAACGGTGATGTTTCTCACAGCAGTCTTCCAAATTTTCTAGCAAATCTCGCGACTTGATAACAATATTCTGGAATAGCTGCTTGATGGATTGCAGGTAGACGTTCAACGAAGTGTCTTTAGTCTGATCGACCAACTGTTGCGCTTTGTCGCAAACCGATTCGATTAACGTCTGATGCGACATGATCTCCTGATGCATAATCTTGTGGTTCTGCAATTGCGCGCGTTTTTCCTCTAGCGAGGATTTCAATTCTGTATGCTGATGCATCGCGCGCTCGACGTCTCGCAGCCAAGCCGTTAATTGTTCCTGGGACAAAGAAAATTCGGCAAACTGCATCAGACATTGGTCCAACTTCTGCGTCGAGTTCTGTAGATCTTCGGAGAAACCATCCCATAAACCGCGTAGATTTCTCAGCTGCTGTCGAATTATCTCCCTACCATCTGGTGAAGTGTGGACATACAGCTTCTCGCCGAGATCAATAATGGATTCGAAACGAACATTTTCGCGAGTCCTGACATCACTGAGATTTCTGATGTGTTTCTGCCTGCTTTGTAGGATCGCCAAATCACCGACAATCTCGCTATATTTTTTTAACTCGTCCTGAACTTCGGTGATCCAATCCAAAAATTGATTGTATCTCTCATTAAATAAACTGTGCTCTTTCATGTATTGTTCGTATCTTGCTATAGCCTCCCTCGCTTGATTCTTGATGGCTTGATACCTGGTAGCTTGACGGGACACTTTAGTAGCCAAATCTGCTTCTACATTTTGACTTTTCTCGACTATCGCGTTGATCTCTGCACCCTTTGCCATAATAGTCTCTTCTAATGATTTTAACTTCTGCAAATGCGCGCGTTTCGTTTCCTCAGAACTTTTCAAGCTTTGATCCTTGACTTGCGTCTCGATTTGCTTGAGCCAGGAATCTAGATTTTCAACCATTCTTTCAAATTCAGACCATTGATCGAATAGATGATTTAATTTATTTTTACTCGTGATACATCGTTGAAGGAAATCCTCCCATACTTTCTTCTGTTGTTCGAAGCCTGTTAGCAATGCAGGATGACCAGCTATCGAAGTCTGCTCCAAAATGATATTCAATTGTTGATTACAATCATCTATAATCCTATCGCCTTCAGACTTCTGCTGCAACACATTTTCAATTAAAGCAATCTTGGAATTAGCTATGTCTCGATCTATCGACAGATCCTCGGCGATGGACGCCGTCTCATTTACTATCGTATTGATCCAATCTCGCGTTTTCTCAAACGTCTGAAAATAGGCTTCATGATTGGCAACGTGTTTTTCTGCCACATTAATTCGATCTGCTACATCCTCGGATAATTTATCGTGTGCTTCAATCACACTATTAAGCATATCGCTGGCCTCGTCATCCGGTGTCGATCCGAGTTTGTCCTGAAGTTGTTGCAGAATACTTCGATGAGCTCCAACGTCTTGCGCGATAGTTTTATACAAATGCAAGGCGAGTTTCTTTTCTTGAAGTGTCGGTAGCAGGATCTGCTTGTCTCCCAACTTTTTCTGTGCCTCAATTATCCACTGTTTTATCTGGGAATATTTGTCCTCGAATGAAGATCGATGCATCATGTCGCTCTCAATTTTCTTGTAGTTTACGTTTGTGCGATCGGTTAAGGCTTCCACACGGTTGCGTAAGTTCCTTAACTCACTTCTGATAAGTTCCCTGTAGTCTGGTGTTATTCTCACAAAAAGCATTTCACCCGTTTCCGTTGTTCGATTCAAGATAGCTTGTCCAGTTTCGCGTTCCTTTTCAAACGCCTTCAATTCTTTTAATTTCGACTGATAAAATGTCATCGGCTTCGGGCCGCTGATCTCATCGAAGGTTCTTAATTTCTGTTCCGCATTTTGCAGCCACGATTCCAATTCCTTCACATTGGTAACGTAATGATCCTTGATCTGTTTAAATTCCTTAAGTCTGTCTAAATGTTGAGCCAAGAACTTGAGAACTGAATAATAACGCGTATTTAAATGTCCCACGTATTGAGCCACACGTGAATCCGGACTAACTTTGGTAATCTCTTCTCCAAGCGCAATCAGATCCTTCATCTCATTCTCGTAATCCTTGACCTTCGTCTCGAGTTGTATTATTTCGGAAATCTTCGTATCAATTTCGTCCGGATTTAAGAGCGTTGTGGCTTCTATTCTAATTCTATTTTCGTACTCTTTGATCCAGGAAATAACATTTTCCGACATGAGTTCGTATCGCTGCCATAAAGCAATATTCTCCTCCAGCACAGATTTGATTTTCCAATAGTTATCCTTTAAGGATTCCAAGTCGGCAGCGACTTTGTTGTGTTCATTTTTCAGAGTAGAAATAATTTCGCTACTCTCGACAGTGCTCAGAAGTTTCAACGAATTGTCCGTATCTATCTTTCTCGCCTCGCAATCGGCAATGCCAGCCTCGACATCGGTCAGCGAGGTCATTTTTACTTCGAGATTGTAGCGATCGCTACTCTGTTCGGGCTCGCACCAAGCTACTTTTTCTTTATGAGTCGTCACCATGCGCTGCAAAACACCGAATTTCTCGTGATAGAGTTTCGTTAGAAAGGCCACCAAAGTGGCGTTGACTTTGTCGGCATGACCGGCCACACCATCTCTGCGAAGTTGTAGTGCCTGCAACTCTTTTGGCAAATTGGATTTTGATATAATCGGATACTCTGACGCCATTTTCGTCAATCTCTCACCAATTTCCGAAATAGTATAATCGCATTTCTCCACCTCAGCTTTTAATTCTTGACACTTATTAATTCTCTGCAGAATCTTAATGTTCTCGCCAGTCAAATCGTCGCATTTGATTATCTCCTCGCGGATTTTCGATATCATGTCACTGCATTTTTTCAACTCCTGTTTGATACTTTTCTTCTTCTCATTAAAAATTGATGTGATTGATGCGAGTTTATCTGCGGTCTCTTTAATAAGCTTAAATTGATCATCTAATAGAGTGTTAAGCGATCTCAATGTCGGTATATCCGTATCGTCGTTTAATTTTACGAGCTGTTCAGTCTTCGTGGCGATACCTTGACGAAGTTGCTGATACGTTGGCAATTCTTCGTTATATCTAGCTAATCGCGCTTGTCCGTTTTCAGCGTCAAGTAAACATTCGCAAACCGCATTGAGTGCTTCGTTCGTATCACTGAGCCACCTTGTAAGTTGGTATTTGGCTTCTTCGATTTGTTTCCAGATAATAACCTGCGTTTCGTACATTTGAGTTCGATCAGTTATCTTGGCGTAAATTTCATGATATTTTTTTCGTATATCGGACAAATCCGACTCAATTACATTAGCTTTGAAATTCGGCATTAACGACGTCTCCTTCACTAACTGTTGTGCTTTAGCATCCATTTTATCTAAAAATTGTTTACCCTTTTTCAAATTTTCCAAAGCTCTTTTATATTTATCTAAAGCCATGTTCGCCTGGGTGGTATCGGTTGACACGTGTTTTACCAATTCGCAAAGATTCTTCGCCTCGTCGATAGATTTGTTTAACTTGTCCTTGGCTTCCTGATACTGTTTCCAATCAGCGTCCATTTCGGCATATTGCTTTCTTTGCTTATGCAAAAGTTCGTTGACTTTTTCCCAATTACCTTCAACCGAAGAAATTACCACCTGAATATTAGTTATTGCTCGTTGATCTTCCTTTATCAAGTTATCACCTTCTCGATGAAGAATTTCTTTTTCTGGTTCTCGTCTCTGATGCTCTTTAATCAGATCGTCAATCTTCTCGATTGCCGGCGCGAGTTGTTTGCAAGTATCAACGGTATACGTAATATCTTGTAGACTGCTTTGAGTATTGACAATTTCCTCCGTAATCTTTTGTTGCAATTTCCTGAAGTTATCCCATTTAGCACCAAGATTCTCCAACTTGTCGCGTTTAGTGGATAAATCGGTCTTTAATGTTATGGCCTTAGATTCGAGTTCGTTCAGTAAAATAGTCGCAGTAATTGGTCTTTGTTGTTTGTCACGAATATGTAGTCCCAGAGTACTGTCCATTAGTGGAACATGTTCCTTCCAAGTGTTGATCTTTGTACATACAGTTTGAAGTTCCGACGAAAGCCTGTCAAGATCAGCAATAGCTGGTTTTCTAGCTTCAGCCTCGTATTTGCAATGATTCAATTGTGCGTTGGCGTCATTGTGCCAACTTAAAAGTTCGGTCCACTTCTCCAAACCGTTTTTCTTTTCTCTCAAATCATCTTCCAGCGCTTTGTATTTCTTTGCCAAAGATGTATAAGTTTCGTCTAATGCAGCAGCTTCCAACACAGAACCTTGTGATGATAATTGCTTCACTTCGTTATATATTGTCGTAAATGTTGATTGTTTTTCCGAATGTTCTTGAAGATAAGCGTGCACCGCTTGTAGATTAGTATCGACGTTATCTACGTTCATGTCTTCGATCTCGTTGATATTGGATCTCAGCCTCGTCATCCAGTTTTCGAAGTCGGTGATTTTCATTTGAAACTCTTGACGTGCCAACAACGAATCAGAGACACGATTAATGTGATGTCGAACTGTATCTGCAAGTTTGCTCACTCTAGTTTTCATTTCGACGACGCGATTCTTCAGCGCAGAGGCAGCATCCAACGATAAACCATGGCTGATGTGATCGGAAACTTGTGTAAGTGATATTAATTGAGCCTGGTGATCGGATATGCTTTTGTTGAATTCCTTTAATTTCACCAATTCCTTTTCCAATTTGGCAGCTTCGGGTGTTTGAACGTTGGGTTCTTTAAGAGCTTTTTCTTCGCTATTTTGCAACCATTCGTTGAATTCTTTTGCTTCCGACTCGAAGGTATTCCATGACGCGACTAATTTATCCAATTTAGTCATCGTTTGCACTGCTACATCATGAACTGCGTTCCATCGTGTGTATACAGCATCAACTTCATCAGATGCCACTGCTCTTCCAGTTATTTGTTGGCTAATCATTGATAAATTTTGAACCTTTGGAAGATGTTGCTGACATTGAACTTCAAAAGTTTTAGCCTCTTCTAACATTTGCGTAGCTTGGGCTAGAGTGGTGGGTTTGCTGCCCATCGTAGCTGCTTTAGATTCCGCTTCTTCAATCCAAGGTTTTATTTTTCGAATACCTTCTTCGTATTCTTTCCATGTGGTAAGATTTTGCATGGCTAATTCACGTTGCGTTACTATGCTTTTGTTCAATGATTCAACCGCCTTGTGAATATTTTCAATGTCGTTACGAAGTTGTTTTGCCAATCCATCATCGTCGTCTTTTAAACAGAAAGAGAAAAAAAATTTTATCTACGTAGAATATATTTAAGTTTTTTGTAAATATTGGATATTAAATTTTATCTTAAATATATTCTATTAAATATATTTAAATCTCAGTCAATATATTATCTAAATCTCAATTTAAACCTGTTAAATATATTATATTCAATTTCAATTACATTATGTTATATTTTAATCTCTTTAATTATCATAATTAAATTTAATAAATAAATTTTATTACTACTCTAATTTCTTTGTAATATTAATCAGAATATTTCTTACCGAATAAATCTTAAATAATAGAAAATATAATATACATAAAAGAATTCATATAAAAAAAATTATATAGTTATATACAATGGAAACAGCAAAAATTATATATAATAATTTACTTTAATTTTTTTGTAATAACTAAGGTTTTTTTTATTAAATAAACCTTAGTAAAATAATAACAAATATAATATATGCGAAAAAATTTATATAAAATTAAATTATATAATTATATAATAAAATAATAAAAATTATTATATATTTAAAATTTATATAAAGTTATATTAATTAACATAAAAAGAGAAAATTTACAAGTTTAAATTTTCACACATGCTATAAGTAAAGCAACAAAAATTGATACTCACTTTTTAGGAGTTTCCGAGATTCTTCTTTAAGGACATTTAAAATCGGCTCTTTCTCCTTTATTTCTTTTTGCAAATTTTCTGTTTTACGAACTCTTTCCTCAGGGGAAGGCGTTGAATCTTCGATATCTGCGATTAATTGAGGGGCGGTTTGCTGAATCCAGGTTCGAAGTTCCATAAGTTTTGATTGAAATTTGTTCCATCGAGTACTGTGTTCTTGAAGATAAACGATTTTTTCATGCACAACCTTTAGCGTGTGTTCCAACTTCTGCTCAGTTTCTACCACTTCTTTTTCCAGTGTCTCCTTCTTGCTTGGCGGTGCGAGTGTCAACGTTTGAGAAAGATTAATATGCGTTTCGCGTAATTTTCTCATTATCTCTTCGGCTGATTTTCTCAAATTAGCGTTAAATTCTTGTTTTTTCTGCAGATCAGTAGTTACTTGAGCGGCATCATAATAAGATGTCAAGTCAATTTGTCGCAACTCTTGTTCGGCCTGCTCGATCAATTTGTAAATTTCATCCTTTTGCTCTTGATAGGTGTTCCAGAGTTTTTGCGAATCCTTCAGAGATTTTAGCCTTTCCATACTTTGACCATACGTGTCGTTCCAATTGGTTTCCAACTGTTGGATCTCGGAGGAAACGAAGGATGGCGCGTGCTGATCCTTAAGAATATCTTTGCCGCGTTGTAACATGCTGACAATAGTAGCTCGCTGTTGTTCTAATTGATTAAGACGAGATTCCTGATGAGCCACCGCGTTTTCTAGCTTTCAGGAATTTCGGACGTAATCTCGACTTCTGATTGTTCGCGAACTTTGCGCAACAAAATGCACACTTCATGCACTTCCTTTCGGTAGGTATAACTTTTCGAATAGATGTCTGTCTTTGTCATTGTAATTTCAATCGTCGGTATAAGATTTTATAACGAGTTATCAGCTGTTCCAAATTTTGTTGTGCCGTGAGTGCATCGCGATCTGAACGATTCAATGTTAGATTGTCAAGAGTTTGAACCAGCCATTTCATCTCTTCGCGTTTGTTATCAGCTTCGCAGCAAATTTTCTGTAAGTTAACATTTACGTTTTCGTTACATTCAATTTAAACGACGTATCAATCTTTTAATAAAAAAGAGTACTATTTTTCAGAAAATGAATTTTTAAGTGAACATTAGCATAGTCGCAAGTAAACATGAATATATATAATTTATATTTTTAGAATAAATTAAATAAACATTTAAAAAATATTAAAACTAAGTCGCGATGTTTAGTAAACATTTTATTTCGAGAGTAATTTTTAAATTCTTGAGCATGTAGCAATATTACAAGGAATAAGAAAATACAGATGCATATATATTTACCGTCAAGGTTTGGAGCTATCCGGGAGGAACGCAGAAAATCGAAGTATTTAAGCAGTATTTTTATATATTAATGATTTGACAAAAAATTCTATAAAAAATTGGTCGGAATTTACCTGGAATATGGCCTTTTCCTTTTCGAATTCTTCTAGAGTGTTGACTTCGCGTAAAATAGTTCTCAGAGTACTATCAACATGATCCATCCAATGTACCATCTCATCGAATCTAGAATCAAATATATAGTGTGTTTAAGAAAAAAAATCGATATCGATCTAGTAATAAAATCGTACGAATGCTTACTTCTGTCTGTAAGCTGCCCATTGTTGCGGAACTTCGCGCAATTGTTCTCTCAGATTTTCCACCTTCTGTGCGGTTTCTTCCCACAAATGTTCGGCGTTTTGCGCGGCATTAGCCAGACTAGTATCTTTCGGCTTAAGTTTGTTGTAGGCGTCGCTGATCTTCTTCAGAGTCTGTAGACAACGCTCGACCTCGAGAATAGTACCACGGTTCACGAAGAACTCTTTATTACGCTGCTGAATACCATCCACATCATCGTTATTAATGAGCGCTTGCTGCTCGGAACTAATCTCCATTTCAATATCTTTGAGATATTGAAGAAAGCTAGCCTCATCCAGGCGAAATTCGAGCTTCATTAGATGAAGTGGCGCGAAAGTGAGAACTTCTCTCCAACGATTCTGAAGTGCCTCCACTGTATTCGCGATAGGCAGCTGCTGGTCAGCTGGCAATGTATTCTGGAGATCTTGACCAGCTTTCACAAGATCCTGTATCCATTTTTCATTGACCTTACCGAAGAAATTTTTGTGGGAATCGACGGACTGACGATTATCGAGATGTTTGTCGTTGATCATTGTCTCCGCAACCGAAAGCCATTCGGTGATTTGCCGCTCGCATTCCTTAAACTTCGTCCAGCGTCGCATCGATTCTTGCAAACGTTGCTCCCAGACTTGTGCCGCCTGGGAAACTTTAACAAATCGATCATTGAGCTCTTTCAGAGTGGCTGTACCTTCGGCAGTTTCCGCATCGACGCAAGTACCTACGGTCTTGGCAATGCTAGCAAATACTTTATTTTTAGATTCTAACATAGACTTGTAATAGAGCATTCTCGAGAGGAAGGCTTTGTGACGATCTAATTGAGCCAGTGCAGCATCCCTGCCACCTGCGAGATTGATACTGGCCATAAAATTCTCGAATTCGTCCAGCCATGCAGATATCTCTTTCTGTCCTGCTTCTAAGGATTCTTGTTGTACTAGCAATTGATGGTACAAGTGAAGTTGCATCGGTATCAAAGCGCGTACCTTAACAAGTACTTCTTTCTCTTTTTTTAGAGTGTTCATCATCCTGTCGACTTCGTCGCGGGACAAATCCTGAATAAGAGCTTGAAACTTTTTGCTGATATTCTTGAAAAGATCTTCAATGCCTTCAACCTCATTATGAAGAGTCTGCAATTTTTCTCCATAAGCCTTTATCCGTTCCGTCGAGTTCAATCCAGTGATCGATAAAGCAGCTTCTGCATCTCTTAACCAGTTTTGTAAAGTCTCCACCCCCGCTTTATAATCCTTCCTCGTTCGAATCAGATCACCTGCATGCATATATTGTTTAGCTTCTTGGAAGAGCTGTTCCCATCTCGCTGTCAGATTTGCATAACGTTCTTTCAGGCGATACGCGACCGATTCATCGGACGTAGCAATCAGGAAGCTCACAGTATCCGACAATTGCTGATGTTTGTCCTTCCATACGCTGATATCTTGGAAGAACTCCATCTTTTCCTCCTCTGGAAGATTTAAAGCAGGCTCGGCGTGAAGTAACCATGCCTCGAATTCATCTGAAACGGTGATCCAACGACGCCAATAAGCGACAACTTCCTCGAGCATGCTTTGGGCGCAACGCAAGTCCATTGATACGTTCTTCCACTTATCAGCCGTTTCACGCATAAAGCGATCGATATTCAAGCTCTCTTCACGATCTAAAAGATACAAAAGATGTGTTATTATTCATTCAAATTATTTTTTGAACATATAATTAATTAAATAATTTATATTATATTTAATTAATTTATAATTAATTAAAGATCGTAATTAACTTCATTATTTAAATTAATTAAATTAGTATTCAATTATTCTAATTAATATATGTATGTTTAATTTAAATTTAAATACATTTTTATATAACTTTTATGTGAAAAATCCATATTAACAATCATAAATAAATAAATCATAGTCAAATAAATTAATCAATAATTAAGCAAGATATTATTATTTACCAATATCACCGTCGCGCTTGTATTCTTCAGCAACCTGCTGCATATCCAAATAAGCCTTTTGAAACTCCTGGAATATTCTGTTTCGGGAGACAAAATTACGATATTGCTCCAGCATTTGATGCACTTTTTCTTCCGTGCCATATTTAATGTTCCAGCCTTTCAACTTGGTCTCGACGAGATATAGAAAAGCGACCAAACAGCATTTGTGTTCTAAGAATTTTAATTTCACTCTTCTCTTAGCTGCGCGATTCGGCAAGCTGTCAAGTCGCGCGGACATGTTTTCTAATTGTTCAGACTGGATTTGCCGGGCCAGTGGCGAGTTCTTGGCCTGCTGGAATTTCTCTGACATAGTCGGCAAATCGAGGAAGAATTTCTTATGCTCCTCTAGCTTCTTCGAGATTATATTCGCTGTGCTTTCTGTCATTTCCTGCGGTATATCATTGTCCGAATGCAAGAGAGTTTCGGCTTTCGCCAACCACCTGCCAATTTCACCGAATTCCCCTGGTAATGCCGAATCCAAACACCAACACCAATGTAGCATCTAAAGACGAATATATAATATTTCCTAAAAGAAATTGTAAAACGCAAAATTCCGTTCGTTCATTTAGAAATGTATAAAAAAACTTACAAATAGTTCCATTTGTTGCCACAACATTTGTATATCTCTCCAAGAATCTCGAGTAATACTTATCATGCTGAGTGTGTCAACTAAACTTTGCATTTTTTTGTATATAATTAATTTTTCGTCATTTTCTGCTTTAAATAGCATATATTCCTAAAAAAGAAATGCACTATTAAATGATTTAATATTGCAATAATAAAAATTTTTTAAGCTTTTTTATGATTTTAATGAATTTAAATTTTATAAATTTTATAAATAATGATATTAAAAACTTAAGTAAAATTATATAAAATTATTTCATGTCATTGAAAATTAAAGCCTTAAAAAGTACCGCATAGCTTTGTGGGAAAGCATTGTTTCTATCAAGTTGCTCGAGATGCCTGACTCTCTCATTTAACCAATTAAGAAGAGTGTCGTATTCTTCTTGTATGGCAGCGAAAGAATCAGGAGCTATGTTTCCTGGTTCCGGATATTTGTGCAAAAATTGGGCAACGTATGTCATAATCGATTTTTCGTCAGGTTGTGGCACGTCAACGTCCTCGGGATCCAACAATCGGGCAATACCTAATTCGACTTCGGCGACTTGGAAGGCTGTTTCCAGCCGAGTTTTGTTCGATGCTTCTCTCATAGCTGCTATATTCACTAAATTAGCCTTTATGGCATCGATAATAGCTAAGAAGGCATTTCCGTCTCTCCAACTTTCACCAAAATCTCGAACTTGAATATTAATACCCCTGAAGAATAAAAAATTTCCAATCCCGACATTGTAAAATAAAGAACTCCACGTAGGTAAATATATTATACAAAATGCGACTCGATAAAGTACTGACTTGGGTAAGGCATTGGTGACCCACTGAAGCAAGGTTTTCCGTGCTCCTTGTTTCCACTTTTCGCTACTGATGCGTTTTCTTTCGCTTGCCGCCGAGCCTTGAGTGCCAAGGCTTTCCAGGCTGCTCTGGCTGCCCCAAGTTTGTCCAAGGTATTCGAGAGCTCTCGTGTTCTCCTCGATCTAAAAAAAAAATGCTTAATTAAATCAAGTATGACGTTTCCTCCTTTTCAAGCCTAGAAATAAAATAATCTGGCGTGCGTATTAATGAAATGCGCAATATCATGCAAGTGCACTTTGTCTTCTCGTCAAAATCATTTATACGATCATAACGATCTTGTTTTTTTTTCACTACTCACCCGCTTGCGATCCTTTGATCGTAGCTTGTTTATTGGAACATACGGTTAGCAGAATGACATAACTTACTATTTTTGCAACGAGGATTAATTTATTTGAATCACGTCATCGCGTCAGTTGAGTTACTTAACTTGCAGAAAAAAATTTTATCAATTTTTATCAATTATAATTAACATTTAAGAATTAATTTGAGATAGTAAACTTGCTAAATATATCTATGTGAATTTATATCACAGAATTAGAATTTATACATATGCTTAGAATTTTTTGTAGTCTCGTACATTTTTCTTTTGTTTAATTTCGACAATCAATTCGTGAATCCAACTTAAATTTTTACTTAGCATAAAATGCAATAGAAAATGCAAAATTAATCCTCGTATAGTAGTATAAGAGTTATAGTGCTGCTGAATCAAAATATAATACTTTAATTACGTGATGTTTTTATTATGAGCGCTACATTTAAGCAGCTACCGTAATATAAGTAGTATAATAATTATAATGGTGCTCTTTTACATGTAATTTTAATGTCCGAACGACTATAAATACCTGGAAATACAGAATGATGGTCCATATTAAACCCAATACTACTGGCGGTCGTCCGTCAACCAAATCGGATGAATTTATGTTCACTAATTTGATCTAAAATATTAGATAAAAAAGTTTGTATATATCAACTTTTTCAATTTAATATATTAATTAATAAATAAATAATTAATAAATAAATTTTATTTTATTAATTTAAAATAGAATATGCAATACTTACTTTTTTGCTTTGTAAAAATTGTAGCGCAGTATTGGCATTACTGAGAAAATGCGGTCTCTTCAAATTACGGCCTCTTTCTACGGGCTGGAAGATTATACATGATTTTGACAAAAGATTTTAATAATATTTGTTTCAAATAATGATTAGATTCGTAAATATTTCATTACCAGTTTCTCCCCTGAAAGAACTTCAAGTAGCGCGAGAAGACGCGTGCCATCTTTCAAATCCTCGATTAAATCATTGATATGAAGTGTTGGAACTCTCTGCCAAAAATAAACATTTGTTAAATTATATAATATAATGATAGACGATTCATATAACATTCGATAAATTGGAATTCCATTTTCCAGGAAACAATGTAAAGTCAATTAAATCGAAAATCAAAATTTATTGGTTGCCTCTTTTCCATGGTATTAATTAATTCTTTCACTGTGTTTATTACGTGAGCGAAATTGTACATTTAAAAATAGCAATATGATTTTATTCATTCAAGTTTAATGTATTATTTTTGAAAAACAAAGGAAATTATTGTTAATTATTATTATTTATTCCGAGTTTACATCAAAAACGTTGTCGAACGGAAGTCATCAAAAAGATTGCATATTTTGATGGCTCGAATATTCAAGGACTCACAACAATGAATAATTTTGTGATTTTATTCGTTAAGTATAAACCTTATATCAAATTTGTTTTCACAAAGCATAAAAGAAATGGTAACATTTTCTTATTAAATGATTATCTTAAACTATTTTTAAAATGACATGTTTTTCTCAGAGAATATTTTATGTCCATATTATATGCATCAATGCTTATATTTTTATGCATTGGTAGACATTTTTTTTATTTGTAAAACAATACATAGAGTAGATTTGCATTACTTGCTCTTTGTTTGATAATGTACTTCGTGCCAAAACGATTATTTTGCGCACCAATGGTGGCCGCTCGTTTTAACAACTTTCCTACTTTTGATACATGACAAGTGGAGTTTCCGTAGTAAGGTAAGTTCTGAAGGATGCGGAAGTAGGGGAGTATCGAAACTCGAGAGCCAGGTACGGACTAGATCAGCCGTTCAAGTTTCGATAGCATGATACAAGAGACAGCGTCACGTTCTATTACGCGTCACGTAAGGATGTAGACCATTACATAACGAGAAAAAAGTAGAGTTGGCTCATCGATGGTTTCTATCACATTATCGTTATCAACTATCGTCGATGAAACATAGTACGCTATCGTAAACGCGTAGCACAGGTTGTTACACGCAAATATCTTCGCTACCTTTTATGAAGGCAAAAATATTTACTCTTGACTCACCTTCGACAAATGAGAGTTAATCCAGTTTATGAAAGTCTTTTTCTGCACGCGTTCTTGTTCATCTAAAAGAAGAAACAAAAGTCAGATGTTGATTTTTATTGCCATTGCAAGGTTGAATTAAATAAGAATTTATTTTCGTAAAATTTAGGAGTTGAGCCTTGAAATTGCGGCAAATATTTTTTGAGAATGAATATATATTTTACGTAAAAATAAAGAAATGTGTATTTGTGCGTATGATGAAGGACATGTGAAATAGAGTTCGTAATTTCTCATGGCTTTTTATCGGATCGTTGAAATCAATTATGAAGATTACGCAAAATACATTAGTGTCGTTTTATTTTTAAATATACCGTCACTTTTGCTATCTTCCCACCTAAGGTTGTGTTATACAATGTGTGAGGGATATAAGCGTGAATAAATGCAACCGGCAGATGTTGGACCTGCAGGTGCATAATCGTAAGAACATTAAATTGTCACATTAAATTGTCACATAAATTGTTCGTGATATGCGCCTTCATTCTCAATATGATTTGCAGGAAGTAAAACTAATTATGTAAAAGTCAATAGAAGAATATGAGCGACGAAATAGATTACGTTTTTTGATTGTGCAATAGAAACGTTTTAAAATTTTCTCACAAAATATCACTTTTAACACTTTATTTATACATATTTTCAGTTACACATATCTTTATAATAAATATATGTGTGATGAAGTTAAAATATCTCGCTTATTTTTGAAAATGGTCTTTTAAATGGATATTCAATTATCTCTTTGCACATGAAAAAAATACGAAGATAATATTTATTTTACAATAAAAATATTCATAGCCGCAAAATTTAATGTATGCATTTTAAATTGTGATTCTTTTTTCTGTCAACACATGCGCTTGCGAAATAGTGTTGATAATTCCTGGAAGCAAAAATCTGCCTGTCCCCAAAATAAAACGGCGTTTGATGTCACCAGCGGACACCAACACCATTGCTTTGTAAAACAGAGTTCCTTTTCACCGAGCCCTCAATAGAGTCTCGTCGCAACATATTATATCTCTACGTTGTAATGCAATTATTTTGTGGACTCATGGGATCTACGCATCAACGCGCGATTCGTTTATTATGCGCAAATATAATGAGCAAAAACTGACAATTAACGAAAACGTATCGTTTGACACAGTTTTTCTTTATTTATGGAATTAACGAATTCTTCGAAACTCATTATTTAATTTCTCACTCGGATGATATATATAAATCGAGTTATTTTCACATAAATTTTCTAATTTTTTTTTTACAAACTGTCTCGAAAAATATAGAAATCAATTATACGACTTTACAAATTTGCAATTAAAAAATGTTCAAGAAAATATTAAAAGAGCATTTGTTTTCGTATTTAAGCTACAGCGTTCCGCTTTACGAAATCTTTTCTCGATAAGATTAACGAGAATGCATAATCTCAAATTCGCATTTTATCCATATAAAGATAACTAGATGGTAAAAAACGGAATATTATAAAGCTTTTGTATTCTCTGTAGCTATATTAAATTATGACGCCAGAAGCGAGAAATTATGTATAAACTTTTTTCTTGCAAAATACATCGAAAATGAATAAGTTCCTTTGGTTGCAATCACTCTTATTCTATGATAAAGATTATTAAAATATGCCGAAAATGTCTTCTTTTGTTATCTTGTATTAATAAATGTATATATAATTCATTTGCTATAATTTTAGCGAAAATATATCTTAGGATTAAGTCGATTTTATAATCGAAAATTTATAATAAGATATTTTTTTTATTTATAATAAAAGTCAGGATTAAATCGATTTTATAATAAAAATCGAAAAATTGATAAATGAGATAAAATAAATAAATTTTAATGATAATTAGAACTTGTGAAATCTCGATGCGTGATAGTGGTTTAGAGAAACAGTGACTTATTGAACTTTAGCGATATGCTTGGAAAACTATATGTTTGGTAAATTATTATCACTGGTCTTTATCATTGCTTTATTTATAACAGATATTGTGATGTTTGATCGCAAACTAAGGCCGAAAGTTAGAAACTATTTATTGCGTTGCAGATCGGTTAGTAACATTAAAAAGACAGGATATTTCCACGTATTCTCATTACCATTCATTATGAATGTCATGGTTACGATTGTTTGGCGAGTAAACATACGCAAAAGGCCGTGTCTCTAATGAATGCCAATTACATAATTTTCGAAAGTTCTCCGCTGTCTAGGTTACCTTGAATTATGATATTAAGAGCAAGAATTAGGCAAGAGGATTTTTACAAAGAGTACTAATATTAACTCATATTTTAACGTAGTCTTATTTTTGGGATAAAAATTTTATCATGAATAAAATAAAATTATTAGTAATAAATAATCTCTTTTTAAACATTCTTTTTAATATTTAATTTTTAAATGCATTAAAGTCCGGAATAATAATTATTATTCGAAAATTTGAAAGGCTTAAAAACTAATATCACGATAACTTTGTTTTTATTTTCACGATAAACTTTTTTTATTTCCATATTTAAAATAATTTAATATATATGTGTATATATATATATATATATATATATATATATATATAATGTTTAATATGTAATATTTAATATATTAATTTTGTTATAAAAGATTATATAATATTTATTATATGATACAAAAAAAGATAAATGTAAGAATTAAACTCAAGTCTATAAATTAATGCGCAGATTTCATACCCACTATATATTATGAACACCCTAGCGTAAACATGCTAATAAATTGTATTTAAGATGCCACAAATTTAACATTGAAATATATCGGTTGACTGCCTGTAGTCAAATAAGGGAACTCGTTTATACTCTAGGAAACTAATTTAATCTTACCAATTTTCATTTAAATCGATGGATTTCAATTTCAAGTCTTCCTTTGTTTGCAAATTAAAAAAAGAATATTCCTTATTGTACTGATTTTAAATTTTATTCAACAAACGATCTCTTTCAATGTATTTAGCATATAGTAATTTTTGTAAATATTTGTTGTCAAAATTTTTATAAATATTTATAAAAATCTTTTACGCTTGTATCATTTCTAATTTTAGATGTAATCAATCAGAGCATGATTCATATGACAAAATATATTATAGATCCTCGTATTTGAAAATGTTCGAAATTATATCGAGTGAAATGTAAATACTTTGCGTAATGTTTGTTAAGCACTTATGTCCGTGTCGACATCCAAAATAAATATAAACGAGCGGAAATATTATTTTGTAACATGCGCGATATATTCGCTTTCGAAAATAACATTTAGAATTCTGCGACAAGATTATCTATGATGTCACTAACGTTGAATAGTCCTTTGTTGAATAGTTTTATTTCTTTCTATATTATCACGTATATTATTTTTATGTTGGTTATTAAATTTTTCTCATATAATAGCAGATATTTGATTACTGAAATCGAGAAATATTTTTGTATGAGAGAGAGGAAAATTTCGAGAAAATTGAAAAAAATAAGATAGTATATTTATGATTTTTTAAATTTAAATAATCATTAATCGTATTTTATATTTTATTAAATTTATATATGATAGTAGTTATATAAAACATGTACGTATAAAAGGAAATATAATATTCCCTCTATTGAAAAAATAAAGTTCATCTTAATATATCTTACACAATTTCTCTCTCTCTCTTTCTTTGTCTTTTTTCCTTTATTTTCAATGTAATATAAATTATATAAATTGTTTTTTTATTGAATAAAATATTGTATTATTATATATATTTGTTTATATGTACTTTAATAATACAATTCAATAAAAAAACCACACAAGAAAAAAATTATTTTTTATTGAACTGTTTAATTGCAAAACAAATTCGATAATGTATGATATAAGATTATTAAAAGTAATTCAATCATAAAAAAGCGTAAATATATATTATTAATTTATAATCAATTTTTTCGAAAAGAAAATCTTGAAAATAACAAAAATTTTACTCGACATTTTTTATTTATTTTTATATGGAAAATTACTTTTTCTTTTTTATTATACTGCGTTTTCCAATCGACATTATGATAAAGAACACGGATGCATCTTTATCATAAGCAGAAACACGCGACATATTGATTATGTAAGTTTAATTTCAGTCGACCCTATATCGAATGTCGTGATTCTCGGTTTCCGTGACAATTCTAAATGGTAAAGTACTTCTGTATTCACAAGTTTGTCTGCTTTGAAAAAGGTAGTTAAAGGCTAAAGGCAGTATATTAATAGGTCTCATTATAGGCGTTACGGAAGATAACTATACGACGGTCAAAATGATAACAAGGGAATTGCAACATTTTCAGCGCTAAATATTACTTGTCGTTGTTTAACTAATCATGCAAGAAAGAAATAAATGTTGGTCGTTTACAGTACCCAAAAACAATCGCGTGCCGTTACAAAGAATCATGTAAGGTAGACATGGCCAATAATATAATTCAACAAAAAGAACAGGACTAATATTTTTTCGTAGTTTTTTGGGCGGTAAATATAATGTCAATTTTTAAATTATTTCATTATGTCACAGTTCTGAGAAATTTGCCGTAAATGTAAATGTTGTAATATAAATAGCTATTTCAATATATTTTGTCATATATTTGTAACTATAATATGTAACGTGTAGGAGACATTTTATTGCACGCAAAAATTAAGTAAAATTTTAAAATCTTAATTTTTAAAAATGTTAAAATTTTCAACTTTATAAATGCAATAAACCTTATATTTCACCTTAAATATCTTATTAATTCTATTCGACATAATGAATTATTTCTGAGAGCTAAAAATCTGAGCAACATATTTAATTTTGTAACTAAAATTTGTTTAACACCTGCATATATCGTAAATAAAACATAAAAAAATATATTAAAATTATAATTTTTTTTAATAACTTTAAATTGTCTCAAAATTACGATGCAGCAATTTGAAAAATAGAATTATATTTAGTATTAAAATAATTACAGGAAGTAACTCTTGTTCTTATATTCGAAAAAAGTTATTTTTGAACTGTGTAATATAGTTAGTTAAATGCGTAGATTCATCTCAATCATATAAATTTGCAAATCCCTGATTATTATTACGTACATTGTGTTTATGCAAAATCTAAAACAATACACACTCCAGAACTATAATATCAAAGAAAATATATATCTACCATACGTTGTGAAATATTTAGTATCTTTATTACTTTTTGAATATATAATCTTGAATCTCATTATAATATCATAATCTTGAATTATTTGCATAACGCGTTTCTTAGCAGATTATTCTATTTAAACAGAATACAGAACAGAATTGTTTTCCAGAATATGTATTTTAATTATTTTCGCAAGGATACTATAAAATGATTTTGCTACCATATTTGTAATTGTCAAACGATACCATAAAAGATATATGTACGTGCAAGAGATGGCAACGTCTAGAGTCAGTTTGGTTTTCATGAGAGAAGGGAAAAGAACATCAATAAAGTAGGACAAGTTCTTGAGAATGAGGTCAGATGACTCTTCTTCTCGGACGAGACAGAATGAATTATGAAAGAGGAAAACAGCCAAAAAACTGAATGAATCTTATAAATTAGTATATTACATATTTATGACGACATTTTGCATTATCGAATTTTTCACTAAAATATTGCAATAATATGTAACTGTGTGTGGCAGTTCATTAGATTTAAGAATCACAGATTTCTATAATATATATCCGAAAACTTCTGGAAATGTTCGATTGATTCGAATTAATTATAAATATAAGATTTTGTAATCATTTCGGTCTTTAGTTTCAATAAAATTTAAGGCGAAAATTTATTGTTTAAGTAAGTTTATTATAATTAAATTTAAATTTATTAATTTTCCTGAAAATATTTAAATTATATCATTTCTTATACATGTAATATATAATTTATTCTCAATCATTTTATGTAATTTAAGTGACATATTTTTATACAAATTTTTTTATGATATAAATAATAATATTCATAATTTTTATTAAAAAATAAACAACATTAGGATTTTTTTGCATTACGTTTTGTAAAAAAAAAATGATTACAAATAATTGTTGAATCATGTCACAAAATTATCAGAATATGTATTATATACTATATATAAGTGTACCTTGTTCGAAAAAATGTTATTCGACAGTTATTATCAAAGAATATATTCCATTGAATAAACTGCAAAAACTATAATATATTAATCATTACAGTCTTTTTGTAAAGAATAAATGACAAAATCGATATAAATTATAATGCAAGCAATATTCATAATGATTTAAATTTATATTTCTTTTTATTTCTTTGTCTCATAATTATATTGGCTTCATTTATATTTTACTTTTGAAATGTTAATACATATAACATATGATAACATGATATAACATATGATACGTTACTTTATTCAGTTACTTTACCATGTTTGTAACCATAGATGCCAATATTTCATGAAAATCATGTTTTATTAAATTAATGCTCGCAATATGGCTATTAAATATATTGTGTAAAAATATATTGTCATAAAAAACAGCCAATAAATTTATTTCTAAATAATAAAACTAAAATTATTACAGTTTTAGTATTATTTTACTATCGCATAAAAATTTGCAAAACATTTATTTCTTGCATTTTATCATTAAAATACTGATGTAAAAATATATAAACAAGCAAATGTTTAGCAAAATAAAAAATTCAGGAGAGGATTCTTATTATATTTCAGAAATGTGTGCAGAAATCAGCGGATATGTAAGATATGTATATTACATTGTTATGACAAGGGAAGCCTTTCTTCTGACAACAATCCGATCTAGTATGTCTAATGGCCAACCGCTGACCTACTTCATGTTTGACCAGTAAAGTAGGCTTAAAGACTTCAACACCAATCGAAGAGCCAGCCCTGAGATTAGAGATAACTAAGCATTGGCCTTGACATTCATACGATAACTCAAAGCGATTTATCAGACATGCGAATATATCTATTCTTTATGGAAAGGTGTTGTCTTATCGCGGCATTTAATTCGAAGCGTAGCGTGTCAAATACTCGTTGATCGATATCAGAAATAAGATTAATAAATAATTTAAATGATAAAAATAAAAATTTTTACATACGTAATAACATGTGTGTAATTTATACACGTAAACGTACAAATAATAGTGATTATTGCGTGTATCTCTTTCTCTCTAACACTATTAGCTACGTTAAAATATCAAACTTTCTTTTTAGAATAGAAATAAATTTAGTAAAAGCAAATTTAAAATAAATTTCCTCGAACAATTTGATAAGAATTTTAATTTGTTATAGCCTTGAAAATTTCACATTAAGCTTTTCGCACACATACATTATACTTTTTAACGATATAAGATCTTAGAAGATAAAACTTTGATCAAAACAAAGTACGATATCAAAAATCAAACAAAGACTTGTCGCAAATGAACTTGTACTATTTAAGATCAAAGTTCATTAGTATCAATTTTCATTAGTCCCGCGGATTCTATATTTGTTTGCGAAATTGTTTCTTAATTACTTGATAATTGGTATTTCACAAATGATGAAGTATGATCGCATGTTACGGAGTACATGCACGTCACTTCATCAGGCAAATTGCAGAAACTGCGGCATGCGAGAGTGCCACACAACTCATGCCAGAGATACTAGTTTTCTATCATTAAGGATGATCGGCAACCTTTCCATGTGCATACGCGCGAAGATATGATATGAGAGGGTGCGTGGGCACGTACCCTCGCTAATGAGCTTGCTTCTCAAAATTTGGCAGGCTCGATTAATCCGTCATTGATGAGAGCCAACATTACGACAGAATTTCGCTACAGACGTGCGAAAAGTGAAAATAACTTGAATCGTAGTCTCATTTATCGTACGATACTTATGTTTATCTAATCTTAAATTTTATTTATATTTTCTACACATGTATCAAGAATGTTCAAATTATGTAATGTTATAATTGCAGAATTGTTTTCCAATTTCCTATCTTGGTAAAGCATTAGAAATAGGAGAACGAGATACGAACTTTGAGATGAGTGTTTTATATGTAATTTCTTATTGAATCAATATGAATAGTGTTATGCATAATATCATAATTATCCTGTAGAAATTATATATATGTATATATTTATGAATTAAAAATTTTAGGAAATACTATCCCTAATTTCCTACAAGAAATTATATTATATTCTATTTATTTTAAAATGAAATGTGTGTATTTTAAAAAAAACTAAGATGGTTAAGAATTTGAAAGTTCTATGATCTAATTCAGTTCTATGATCTAACTTCAAATAATTAAATAAATTCGATTCCGCAATTCCTGTCAATCTAATTTTCAATGTATCACATGTTAAATGCCCAAGATCCAATATATTAAATAATCCTAAGCTAAAATGTCTCTTATTATTTAATCAAATATAATATTGCGGAAAATATTGCGGATAATCAATAACTACAATTACCAACTTATTAATCTATCATTAAATAGTGTCCACAATATTTGTCCATCAGAGATATTTGCGCGAAAATTTCCAATAATTTCTGAAAGATCATCAAACGAATCTCGCCGGCCGGCGTGGATGTGCTAGAGCATCATTAGAGATGATAAGAGAATTGACAGCAGCCTAGAAGTTCTTAAGTCTCGGATCAAGACAATGACATTTGTACCTTTGATCTCGGCAATGTGAGCGTCGTACTCGCTTCTGCTGCGCATATAGTCGATTCTCGCTGCGACATTTAGGAAACTCTGATTCCGATACTCGGCATACCACTCCGAGGGTGGCCGATCGTCTGGGCCCGATTGCTGGAGTCGAGGACTGCTGCATCTCCTATGCGAGAGACTCTCTTCCGAGGGGAATCTCATAAAGGAAGTAACCGAGCTAGATTTACTGCCATGACTATGCACACCGTGACTATGACTCTGATAGGCCGAGTCCTCGAGAGGATGTTCCTCGCTGGGAGTCCTGTTGGACTCCGTCAACATGTGTTGCTGAACGATCGCAGTGTCATCGCCGCTCGCATTATCCAGACTGATCTCCCGGACGCTCTTTTTCACGGTGATTTTCTCAAATTTTACAACCCTGGCGCCGTTTAACTCGCCCTCCTCCACCAGTCGCTCGAAGCTCTCCTCGAACGAGGAGTCGCTCGCTCTGGAGGATGGTCGCCGGTGCGTGGGCGACTGAAAGGATCTGCGTGCATCCGCGTTCTCCAAAAGATCCTCGGTGCTAGGACTACGCCCAGCCGACCAGATCTGTTCGAAAAAGCTCACCCGATCACGCAGCCGGCCACCGCGTGGCGTCCTAGGACTGCCGGTGTCGCCGGTACCACCAGTGCCGCCACCACCTGGGCTATCCACCCTCGGAGGAGTCGGACTACCTCTAGGTGGGGTTGTCCACGACATATTCGGGAGATTATTCTTCTACTTCATCACCCAGGAATCGACATGTCTCGAGTTCACCTGGGATCTCTTCTCCCCTTCCTTCTAGTTTCACGCTTTAGGACTCGGCTACCTAACACCTGTTCTCTCGACACCACACCTTATACACTGGGTTGCATATGACGCATATGTTGCGCCGACGTCACCTCGTTTCAGTGGTTACTCCGAGCCTGCGAGTGGCGACTAGGAAAGAGTCGACCAGCGTCTTATCAATCGAATCGATGGATAGCAATCCTTCGGAATATTTCTCGGGGCTGGTTTTTCAGCACCCACGACAGCAGAGCGCGCACCTACGTATAGATTTCATCAAAGGCGGGTGCGCGCGCGCCGGTACTATGTACATGCGTGTATACTTATATGTATTATATGGGACGCGCGCATGTGGAATGCACAAATACGGAATGTAAACGGTGACCGCGCGCGACGACCGGCGGTTCGATACTGCCGGCTTGTCGAGGTCTCCTCCACCTCGTATCACCGCCATTCCCCCTGCTCGCGATGACGCGACACGGAACGATGCGCAGCGTTCATGCTGGCAGACCCGATTGTAAAACCGATTATCCCCCTCCGAAGAAGGGAACTCATGGCTCATCCTGTGGCCTTCTTTTTCTCCTCGGTCCGATCAATTCTCATATCCTGCCTCTTCCTTCCGAGCCCTCGATCGCTCGGTTTATCTGCGACGCCGATCGATCGATTCGGTTCAGGTGTTGCCCCTTTTAGAGGTCGAAATTTCGGGTGGTTTTACAATTAATCGTTCATTGTGTAATCGTGGATCTAAAATATGTTTTGACATATAAACGAGTTTATGGTAACCATAAGGAAGATGGAGAAACCTCTATGATAACAACTGTAGATAAGAAAACTTTTATACAGATGTATATGTATAAATATTCTTTATACAGGTAAGATTATTTTTATCCAAAAATTTGGAGCACTTTTTCAGAGGACTATGAATTGAACGATTACAATATCTGTTATTTAACTCTCTCTTTATTCTTTCCTTCTAAAATTTTATTTATTACTTCTTGTTAAACTGAAGTTAAAATGTACTGAAATAAATTGTATGGCGAATTGGGGATGTTATAGAAACAAAATGAGATAATTTAAAAATATTTGATATAAAGTTAAGATCCTAAGATATAAAAACACATATACTTCCTCTTCTCTTCTAAACTATACGACAATTTAAAGATCTCTAGAGAAAAGATAAAACTCCAGATTTTAATTAATATATAATAATATATAATTAATATGTAATTCGAATATATTGCTATTTATTAGCAGATGTAATTAAATACAAATCCCAGAAATTGAATCACGTGAATGTAACACAATTGATTTGATTGTTTTATAGATCGAAAAAATTGCAACTTAATTGTCCATATTTATTATTATTTATAACAACTAAATTATAGTTATCAACTGAATCCCTCTTTTCCTAAAAAATCTAGAAACTAACAATATAATATTTTTAATATTGGCCGATTATGATTGTCATGAACTACTAAACTACTTCAACCACTTAAACATTGCATGTTGCAATTCACGGGGCATACAAAGTGTTCTCCACAATCATAAAGCATCCTGCATTTTGATACAAGACGCGATATCCAGCATCGTCAACTTGGGAATCCAGTTATCCGACATTGGATTTAATCAGGAGGCGCGATGTCAGTTTCATACACATTTATCTCGTTGAAGCATGAGTCATGCTCACGCTGCACACAAGTTGCAAGATTTATTAAGCATACGTAAACCAGGCGGCGAGGACGAGCCGCGAATTTTAATGAACGCATCTGGATTCGTCATGTGCTATTAATATTTAAATTCCAATTGATTTAAATTCCAATTGATTTAAATTCCAATTATTCTGACATAATTATTAAACATAAACATAAACAATTTTTCTATAAAATGCTTATTATTGTAAATAATATTAAGAGGCATCTTAAATTTTGTATATGTGCATGTAAATATTGCCAAAATTTGAAAACTTAACAGTAAAAAATTTTAATAGTATTAGTGAAATTAATTATAATATTTTATAGAATATTTTATTAGAATATTTTATTTCACGTTTTGATGTAAAAGGATAAAATGAAATTTTCTCTGAAAACTAAAAACTAAGCTAACAAGCTAAAACAAATTTTGGAGCACAATGTCGAAGACATTTTGTCGAAATCGAGAGCAATCTTGAGACATTTGTGTTATCACGCTATTAGCGAGGCAATATGTCCAGCAACGAAATGTCTCCGGACAGGAAAAGCGAACGTAACGATTGCGAATGCGCAGCAGGTGTTCGTCACTTCTATTTATAACTCGTTCACGACTCTACAGATTCTATCCTATTTTCTCTGCACCACAGTTCGATTCGACGAGAATGCGAGAGTCATGTCGCAAGTAGATGCTCAAGCTGCGCAAAACGATTAGTCATAAACGAGCCTGCGAATGCATATCGTGAATATATCAATAACTAACTTCTGTTTATTCCTTACACCTTTTTCTAACAAATTCGGGATCGCAGATGTAGAATTTACTCTCAAGCCATCTGTATATTTTCACTCTTTCAAATACAATGTACTATACTTTTTTTAAATATTTTATTTATTATATTTATTATATTTATTTATTATATTATATTTATTATATTTATTTATTATATTTTTTATTTAAATATTTTTTTTAATGTGAGAATATCATACTTAATGTCAATTATATTAATTATTATATTTTTGAGAAATCATATTTCTCCTACGTACACAGAATTTGATATTATACCGATTTGTACGAAAATATCAGAAATAAATATATGTAGGAAATAAATAAGTTTCATATGATATTTGGTAAGAATCTCTCTTTTTAACGAAACACAGAAGATCCTTCCGATACCATCTCAACAATTATACTCCCGTAATTTGCGTGTGTAACAACGACGCTTCGCGTGATTTGAATCGGGGAATAGTCTATAATTACGGATTTCATCGGAGGATGAGCGAGGGTTTAATGTTAGTCCATTATGCTCCCTGTGTAACATGACCGATACGATCCCATCGCAAAACAAATCAATCCCCTATAGGGGATCGTACAACTCACCTTGTAATTGCTGGATAGTAGCTTGATATTCGGCAAGCTTTTCATCCACGTAATCTTGGCTCTGACTGGCGATAATCTCGGCTGTGCTAGGACCACTGCTTTCTTCGTCTGTCTGCGTATGATCTAAGGGCACCCCGATATATTCGTAATCCCCGGCTCTATAGGGTGCTATCAGATATTCCGGCGGCGCGCATGGTATCGGCGACGCCGAATCGCTTCTGAAGGAACTCTGCAAGTTAAGAAAAATAATGTTTTACAATTATTTGCTACGTCTTAATTTCTACATCAAATTATTCTCCTTAATCTTCTTCAGAAAATAACATGAGAACAATCTATTAGTCTGTGATTATTCTAATTATTAACTTTTTTTCCAAATCTGTTTTTCTTCCAAATATATCTTTCCTTCACACTAAGTCAATTTGTTCATGTATTCTTAAATTGAACATCCGAATCTAAATGATCCAACAAATATTATCGATCTTCGTCATACATAGGATTAAATACCTGCATCGGTATAAACGGCTTCGGTGCGTGACTGCCTGGGATCGGCGAGGGCCACCGTGGTCTTGGACACTGGATGTAACTCGAAGTAGGACAGCCAAAGACCGGTGACATGCCGGGCGAGATCGGCATCCCGATCGGTACCGGGCTCATCGGATGCATCATCATTCCAGGATACGAAAGCGGTGACATAGGACGAGCCGAGTGAATCGGCGTGGGAGGTCCACGGGGGACCCGCCCTTGCGGATGAGGCGACGACGAGGGTGTATACGGCGAGGCAGACCTGAAGGTGCTCGGCATGCTTGGTGCATTAGCTCGTCCTGACCGGCCACCCCCCGGAGGCACGTGGCCTCCAGGTGTCCTCGACGGATGCTGTTGCGACATTTCGGACTACTTCGAATCACTTTTCGTTTCACCTCGCTCACAGACCAGCATTGCTACAAGGATAAGATTTAATCGAGAGGCATTCTTGATTATTTAAGTGTCGATTAATACTAGAAACATTCATATTTTTATTTCAATTCCTAAGACTCACAAAAGTTGTATATGCTATTTTCCGGAGCAATAATTTGGAGCAATAATTGTAAATCCTATCTAGATTTATATTGGATAAAAGTAGCATGTTAATTTGACATCCATAAGTGCAGCAACTATCTTATAATAGTGTTAATAAATAATTGTAAGAAAATAGCCATGCGGTTAATTACTATCGGTTAATCTACTATCTTGGATGCTTCCGATAAACATCTTAATTAGTCTTTTAACTGCAGCACGCGAGAGAACTGTTTTAAAATTATAGGATTAACAAGAGATAGAAATAACATACAAATTATATATATTTTGCCAAATTTTTAGTTTAAATTAATTAATTTAAAAATAGATTTATAAAAATATTATAGATAATGTTATAGAACTAAAGTTAATTTATTATTTATTTATAATTTTATTATAAAGATTACTACTGCGATTTTTGTTTAAATATATATCAAAAAATGGATTCGCATAACAATTTTTGAAACAAATAAAAATTATTATTATTATTATTATTTTATACCTATTATTTCTATATATTATGAAATTTATATCACATGCATATTATTATTGATTATGAAATATATACGTAATAAAATATAAATCACAATCAAGTAAAAAATATTAGATAAATTAAAGAATAATGAGGTAAAATAAAAATAATAAATATCTTGAAAAAAATAAAATTCGATTTGTTGAAAATAACCAATGAAACAAGACACGCTCTGACAATTGCCTGGTAAGCGAAAATAAAACTTTGTAGAACGAATTTGAAGATATTTATCGAAGACTTTTTGGACTGCATAATGGCGTCGGCTATTTGACGTGGCGCATGGCCAAAAATTTTTCGAAATTGGTGACTACTGTCATATGTATTACTTAGGGTTGAAAAATAATGCGTTATTTGTAATGTTGTTTTCGTTACGTTATTTTTTTTCGATAATGGTATGGTAAACAAATTTTATTTCTAACGAGAAAAATAAACTATAAAGTTACACTTTTCGATAATGAGTGACGAATTTAATCTTTATTGTTATTTCTTCGAATCTATTCGATACATTTTTCATGCAGAGAAACATATTGATCACATTTTGTGTTGAAATGCGGCATTATATATAAACTTTTTGTACCTCGTTTCTCTCTATTTAAAAAAAATATGTAGTTAGATAATTTAGTGATTACTCAAGAGTTCGAGATTGTGAAAATGAGTGTATTGTTTTAGGATTTAAAAATTTTTCAAGATTAAATATATGTAAAAAATACATAAAAATGTGATTTTAATCATATTTACAAATCTATTGAAGGAAAAACAAATAAAAACATTTTCGTTCTTTTTGTATTTATATTTACAGCATTTAAATCTTGATATTTTGCATTCTTTTAAGATTGTAATCAAAATTGTATTATTTTTATATATATTTTTTATATATATTTATATATTTTAATTTAAAATAGTGTATGTAAATTCTAATTTCTTAAACATGTAAATTTTGAGAGTATTTAAATTTTGAATGTTTTATTTTGTATTAATATTAAATAACATTATTGAAATTGTAACGATTCATTACTATTTAATAACAATAACGAATTACTCTATAGAAAAAAAAGAAAGGTAATAAATTATTTTTATAAAATAATTCTTTCCCGATCCTCTGGTATTACCTATGAACTTTTACACATTAATGTGAAAATAAAATGTACATGTATAATGTCAAAATGTCAAAGAGTATGCTGATAAATGAGAGAGTAAGAGAATAATGGAAACAATATACGTATAAATAGGTCAGTTCAGTAACTGAATCTGATAATAATTAAATTTCTATTTCTTTGACTATTAATTCACATGATTTTTAAACCATCATTTGTCAATTTTGTAACAAGCAAGTAATTTCGTGAGAGTGGCTTTGCATTATTTTTAGAAGCATACAGAGTATGAATTATTTCGAAAGATTTCGTTTGTGCTAGAGTTCATTGATACCAGAGATCTTGGCAACTGGAAACGATAGTGTGGGTGTGTACATGTGTATGTCTATGTATTTACAAGCATCTATTTAATTTTAAACTAAACATAATGCATCACATGCTTAAGTCGCAATTCATCTCATTTGTCATATTCATATATTTCCACAAAAATATTGCACATTAGCATAAAAGGTGCGTAACTTTTTGTACACATTTTTTTACAGCAAAAATTCGAACGATATCGCTTTCAGCTTTCAGCAGCAGTCTAAATCGTTCTCACGGTTTTAATGACACATGCGTTTACAGTAAGCGATATTTTTACCTTATGAACCCCACTTTATTGCTTCGCCGGGTCATTTTACCTACCGTAAAATCGAAAGAGGAAGTCTACGTGCTCCGAATGTCTACGTGCGCGTAGTCGAAAGTCTTAAGCTTTTTAGTTAGATACCGAGCGTAGGTCGACTAAATATAGCGCTATTTCTATTTTCAACCAGCGCAGCGTTTGTACACGCGTCCTACAAGTTAGCAGATATATTCGCAATAACTACGTCTGGTATTTCGGAAACTGACACGGATATTAACGACTGTAATCGTCATCGTGCGCCAATTTGACCATGCACATAGTGCAACCTAGATTATTCGCCAATCATAATTGTGAAGGAGAGTGTCACCAAGGTAATGATCAACCTTGCGAAAAGACACAAATTTCGCCGACTTTCTTCAGAATAATAATTTAAGGATGTAACTTGTGTGTGTGAGGATTTTCACAAAAATGTGTTTATTGTTAGTTTACGTTTTTAATACATTCATAAATATTCAAAAGTTAAAATTGCATCTTTTATGTACTTTTATCTTTACGATTTTTCAAAATCCTAACACGATACGCTAATAAATATTATGTTTTAAGAACGTACATATATAAATTTGTGTGCAAAACATGTGCGAAATATCAACGATAGATTTTATTTGAGCGAAATGTTTTTTTTTTGTCTGACTCATAACTACAAAACAAATGTTAGTTCAAAATATAATTTAAGAATAATTTATTGTGTTTCGAGAGTTTGCGAAAATTTGCCATACTTTATTTCTATTTGCATGCACAATATATTTAATTAATTGTAAGAATAAATTAAGAATATACAGCTAATATTGAATCACTAATTTGATAGAAATATGTCAAAAATATTGAAACGAAAAAAATGAGTCATTCGCGAATAATGTGTAATTGATACATATTTTTCTAATTGAAATATGAATATTATGTATTGAATCGCGATTGCGACGTGCTTATTTCGCGATTTAAAATATAACACCGAAATTTCGATCTCGGTCACGTAAGGAAACAAAAAAAGAAGATTTCGTGCAGACCCGCTGAAAAATTTAGTGCTAGGATCATCCGCTCGATCATACGTTAGCGGTTCACTGGATCCAGGACCTCGGATGCTGCATCCAAAAATAAGATCTCTGCCGAATTGATGATCAAAAATAACCGTGTTCCGAATGAATGTCGCTGACAGAATCGTCTGCAGCGACTTGTCGGTCAGCAATTATTATTGGAGCTCACCCTCATCTATTGACCCGATGACATCATCGGCGTCATGTTGTAAACGCAAACTCTACGTGCCGTTAAATAAATTTCGTAATGATTTAACTGTAATGCAAATGAAATTCGCTCGTTGCATTTGAGATCGAGCATTTCACATAGATTTATAAAACTTGATATTTTGCACACTATTAAATTCTTTCCTATTAAATTCTTGTATTAAAGATCATCTTTTCATTAATTCTTTTTCTTAAATAAAACTGGAAGTCTACAATTAAAACAAATAAATTTTTCTCCAAAAAGATTGTATTAAAGTTATTGGAAATTATATTTTGATTAATATAAATTTTGTTTTTAACTTTTTATTTGGTAAATAATGTTAAAATAAAGCTTTAAAATGTATTATTGTAAATTAAATTTATTATTAAAATATTATTTCAATAACACAAACAATAAAATTAAAGTTTTTTTTTCGTCAATTTGAAGTTTCTGGGTCTTTATTGACGTCATATTGAATTATGATACGAGAAATTATATGAGTTTTATTTTTGCGAAATATATCGAAAATAAATAAATAATAAATAAATTTTTCTGCATGCGACAACCATTCTCTTGTGTCATATAAATTAGTAGAATAAAATACATCTCACAATTCTTTTTTTCATGAATTAATAAATAGTTATAAATCTTGATCAATCACTGTACGGTTTATTTTCACTGAAAACGTAAAACACATGTATGCATTTTATTAATTCAAATACCGAATTTGAATAATCGCATTTGAAAAAAATGTATCTCGATGTATTTTGGCAAGAAAAAATTTATATAATTTCTCGTTTCTGACGTCGTAATTCAATATGGCTGCAGTGAGGACACAGGAACTTTAATAATTCACCTAATGTTAAAATTAGCATTCTTTGATTTTATCAATATCAATCGTAAACGACAAACCATAAAGCATAAACAAAACTGTATGATCCAAATTTCAGCATCATAAATAAATAACTAAAAATTATAATTATGCTTATTATTATCTTTATACTAATAAAATTCTCAAATTGCGCAATATTTTGTAATCATTGAAAATACGAAAACATGATTATATAAATTATAAAATACAAAAGAATATCAAGACTTCTAATAATTTTAAGGATAAATTCTTTGATTATATTAATCTTGTACATGTATTTCACAATTTATAGAAAAAACACACTTATAATTTATAAACAAAACTTTTGATTCTTAATTTTCTATTCTTTTCAACTCTCGAAAATAATTGATATGTAAAAAAATAGAGGTAAAGGAAAATTTACTGTAAATTTTAAAAAAATTTGGATCAATAAAATTA